GGAGGGGGGGGGGCATGCTTATGGGAAATTTGCGTGTGTGAGAAATCGTTTACTGACGCGTCGCAAAGGTCATGGTGTGGTTATGCGGCAAGGGTGGTGGGTACATCAACGGCGTGGAGATCGAGGTGGATGGAGGTTCTCGTTGGGCGCGTCACGGTGGGGATGGTGCAATGGGAGGCCCGAAGCTGTGAGTTATATGCCGTCGAGATGGTCACCCGGAGGGGACACGTCGGCCAGGCATTGGCTTCCGGAGCATAAGGATTGGCCAATATGTCATTTCCCAAGACTGGGCCGAAAACATCCAACGCTGGCCGGCTACCTACACAAACTCCAGATCGTCACTGTCATCATCGTGATTCGTAACACCGAGGCTCTCCCTCCCGGCTTCCCTAATACCCTTCTCGGTTAAGAAGCGCGTCTTCTTGACCGGCGACAGCCGCACATTATCGGCTGCTCGCTTGGTTCCTGCATCTGATTTCGAGCGCATGATGTTGTTCTTGATCGCTTGTGCGGACATGCGGTTGCTGGACTCTGCCCCTAGGTCCCGTTTCGTGGCGGTGCCGGTTCGATGTCGCATGTATTCTGCCCCAGCACCGGACGAACCCATGGACCCGAGCTGTTTCGCGATCTGAGATTCCTGCGCGTGGCGCTCTTTCCGCTTCAGCAGCTGCGCCTTCTTGTCGCGCGTGCGCTGGGCATCGCTGATGAATGGGTCGTCATGGTCGAGCGCGCGGCTTGCACTGATGCCGAATGGCTGACTTGTTTGGCCCTGTTCTGATCTGCTCGATTGTGTGACATAGTAGGAGCTGCCGGTGAACTGGTCAAAGCGCTGAGCCTGTTTCTGCGGTAGAAGCCCACTGCCTTTACCTGCAAAATTGTTGGGCCTTTTCGCGCCGGGCAGGCCGCTGCCAATGCCATTTCCACCACTGTTGAGACCCATTCGGTTCTGCTCGGCTTTGCGGAGTTGAAGATTCAGGTGCCATTCGCAGATCTCGGATTTGGCGACATGGACCCATTGACCGCACTCTTTTCCGTCTTTACGAATGGCATTGCAATGTCCCAATTCCCGAGCTGTGCCGATTTCCAGGACAGTGTCATCACCATCGTGCAGTGTCAGGCTGAACGCACCAGTATCTTCTTTGCCCTTTTTGGGTGGCATGATACTAGGGTTGAGGATGGCAACGACCGTGCCCGGAGTAAGTCTGTGGTAGCGAGGGACAGCGGTACCGAAGAGGTACAGGTCCACGGTCCATTCCAAATCGGTCAACGTCATCGCAATGAACTTCTTCTGATTCTGCGATCCGTCATCCCATTTGCGTTCCCAGTCCTTTGCGCCCACAGATTGCTCTTCCGCCTTCTGCTTTTGGTCCAACGCGCCTGATTTTGAGGCAACGATACCGAAAACAACGTAATCACCGACGTCGTCCGGCATTTCATATTCCGGGGATTTTACATCTCGCAAGAGGTCTGGAATAGTGTAGATCTTGAAGCGATCCTCTGGTAGGATCCGTTTCAGAAAGCTGTGTGGTAAGATACGGGTTGACAAGGAAATGCCAGAGAATTCTTCCCACAAAGTTGAGTCGGGTTGTGAGGAACTCTCCTGCTCGCCCGTTGAACCTGGTCTTCCGGCGCTCAGGTCAGGAGTTGTCCGACTCCTGCGCAGCTTCGAACCAGATTGAATGCTTTCCTTTGCTCTCAGTACTTCTGCTCGAGTGTAACTTTGACCTTTGAGTGGCACAACTGGTGATGGTGCAAGCTTGCGATTTTCCTCCGCAATCGCACGATAGCCTTCCATCTCGGCTTTGTCGAGACTGAAAGTTGAACTCCGCGCACCGTTGACGGCGTTCCGCTTCGCATCTTTGGCGCGATCGCGGTCGCGAATTGCTGACATGCGCTCACTGAATGATTTGGCAGCGGGTGCTTCGGCATTTGATCGACTCGACAGTTGGGAAATTCGCGAAGTAGATCTCTCCATCCTTGATGCGGCTCTTGAGATTGCAGTCGTCCGCTCGTTCAGCGATTTGACTCTCTTTAGCGAAACATCCGCTCCAGTCTTTCCTTTATCAATGCCCAGCAGCACTCGGCTCGGTGAGCGTGGTTCTGTTGGACGGACTACTCGTCTGGTGGGCGATAAGGCAACCTGCACAGCCTCTGACGGTTGGGTACTGCCAGCCGACGACGAAGGCACAGGTCCGTCGGTCTTCGCCTTGTTCTGCTGTAGTTTTTTCAATTTCAATTTCGCCTCGATTGCCGCCAGTTGCAATTTGAGTGTCTCCTCGTCTTCCTCATCCGCGTTGTCCCCATTGTTCGTGCCTCCGAGCAAGTCCTCGTCAGCCCTTGCTGCGCGCAGCCGATCGAGCAGGCCAGGGGTCGTCCTGGAGCGCTTGATAGGGGATCGTTGCATTTCTTCGTGGTATCGTTTGCGGCCAGTCGGTGAACTCAGAAGGGCGGCCTTGGGGGAAACGGGTGGCCATGCGACTTCCTCAGACATATTTGATTGTTGAGGTGCAGAGCGTGGTGAGGAAGTGGTGGCATGGGTCGCCTTGGTGTTTGTTTCGGTTGGGATGACCCCTGCTCCATCAGCAGCCTGCTTTTCCAATCCGAATGGAGTCTTTATCCGCAAAACGCCTTTGTGGTCCTGAATGTGTCACAGCAAAGCGCAGCGGCCAGACAAATGTATCCTAGCAATGTCCGCATGGCGGAAAGTCAACCCAGATGTGCGATGGGGACGTTACAGGTTGAACTTGTACCATCTCCGATTGGCTAGAAGATGCGTTGAACGCGACGAGGCTATCGTTCAGCCTTACCTGGCCGCTATCTTACGACCCATTTAGGTCCGTAGCCACGAGTACGTACATGTTTATGGAATCGGATCCACTACATTAGAGACGCTGCAAGAAGCCAGGCTGCTTAGCCTGTGCCGGAGCGCCAAGCACACGGCAGGTCTGAGTGAGGGGTGATCTTTGGACTCGTGCTGCCTGGCAATCTTCATTCGTCGAGGATATAGTCTACTAGCCTGGGTACATCTTCCGTTGCCTCCTCCGTCGCCTAGAGTAAACACTGTGATTCTGGTTATGCAGAGAGACTGGCGGCTAGAGTCTCCGGTTGCGGGGTTGCCCTTTCCCATGCAACCGGGGATGTACTGCGTTATGCCAGCCGAGTGTATACTTCATTGTGCGACCTCGAGTGGACTTGATTGAAAGCCAGAGCATAGCCGTTAACATCTTACCCGGAATATCTTCTGCTGAAATCGACGATCAGGTTGCGCCAGCGCTGGAAGCATCTGTGGCTGTCCTTATTACAGCAGTCAACAAGGCTCCACCTCTCGCTGCCGGTATACATGGTTGGAGGCGATTGTACAGTCAAAGGTACGGCGATCTGATAGGCTGAACACGAATGGTAAGTGCCTAGTTGTGGGCTCGTGCTGCGCTCATACAAAGTGGCAAAGACCCCAGTATATGCCGACTGTTGCTACGATTGAGGCCCCGCGTGCGACAGAAACCACAGAAGATCATATGCTCTTAGATCAGCCCGATAGATCTGCGTGGCACCTGATCGCCAGAGGTCTTGTTACAGAAAGCGTTCAGCCACTTGGATTTGCTGAAACGATTCAGTCGTGATTGGACATATCGAACAGGTGAGATGCGTTGCAGGCAAGGCAGCCTGGGCAAGTCATTGCCATAGGGGCTGGACAAGCTTGTACACCTTATCTCGCGGTTTCGCTTTAGGCAGCAGCGGAGCTTGTATCCAAATACCTGGGAAATGGACGAGGCTTTGGCTTGCCACAACGCCACCCACTGTGGCTGAGAAATGGTCGCACGCTGCACTGGTACCGGAGCAACTACGGGCGCGATCGCAGAATCGCCACAACAACCTACCTGGGTCAATGTTCTTCATGCTATCGGGAAGGTGTGGAGGGTCGAAATCGAGATCAAGCCGCACTCTATGTCTCAAGCCTCAGCTGCCAGGAAATAGATGGCGGTACCCGGTGCACAACATTTTGCTGACACCTTTTCATCCTATGCCTAAAGCACCTAGCTTACATGTAATGTAAATGAAGAACAAGAAGTTTGAAAGGAGATGAGATGGCAACCTTCAAATCCATTTGTAGGACAACCTGACCTTACCCGATTTTGGTTGCCGGCTCTGGTTGAGCTTAGAAAGATCGGTATTCTTGGGGCCACGCCGTTGCTTGGCACTATACGAGCTTTTCGGGCAGATTATCGAGGGGTTCGCACACAGACGCATCCTCGCTTGGAACGGCATCGGTCAATTCACAACAGCAATACTCGCCCCCACTAGCCATGCAGCCAGCTCACTGTGCTGGTCGCAACATGAATGTCGGAGTCACCAATCGGATGAGGCACGATGGTCAATCCCAGCTAGTAGACCCTCTACCGCTACCATTGCTTCATTTTCGTACTCTAGTCCTCTTCGAGCTAAAATGACCGTTATCCTCGAAGCGAGCTTCTGGGCTTTGCAACCCTCTAGCCGAGCTACAAAGTCGCACGTGGGAAAATTCGAGCGCTCGTCCACTTATCGATGACTTCTCTCAGTTTTCGTATCTGTTCGACGCTCATGACAATAGAGATGAGCCCTGTCAGTGCTCGCCGGGCTGATCTTACGACCGGCGCACCACGTCATTAATTCTGAGCCGACGCCTGTTCGACTAAGCGGCCATGGATGAGAAAAGTGCGGAACGGGAGATCCTTCAATCCGGCACCAACGGACTCAACGGCAGGATGTCCTCGGAAGTCACCAGAGCTGTCAAAGGCAACGATTTCGAGGCCGATGATGAGCGGCCACTCGTGGATATCAAGATCCGCGACCTGCTCGTCAAGGTTCAACCGCCACGGCAACCCTTTTGGAGGGCGAAGGTCTCCAAGGATGTTGAAGCACAGAAGGCGCCTAAAGTGATTCTGGACAATGTCTCGCTGGACCTACCCGGTGCATCTTTGACTGCCATCATGGGCTCGTCCGGGTCAGGCAAGACCTCGCTCCTGAACGCGGCTTCGAAGCGTGTGAAAGGCAAGGTCCTGAAGCAGACTGGAAATATTGCTTGCCAAAAGAATGCCGCCGCACTCGCCACCTCTAATACCTCTCTGGACGCCGGCGTTTCCTATGTCATGCAGCAGGATGCTTTACAGGCATCCCTAACCGTTCGAGAAACTTTGCAGTACGCAGCCGACCTCCGTCTAGCACCAAAAATGTCCCGAGCAGAGCGCCGCGCCAAAGTGGAAGACGTTATCGTCGATCTAGGTCTGGCTGACTGCGCCGACACAAAAATCGGAAACAATGCACAGAGAGGCTGTAGTGGCGGAGAAAAACGCCGAACGAGCATTGGGATTCAGTTGTTGGCTGACCAACCAGTGGTAAGTGTCTTGGTTCCCCATGGCAGTGACTCTGCTCGCCGTTCATTCCAATCCATTCGCAAGTCAAAGGCTTATCATTTCAGCTCTTTGCAGACGAGCCTACAACCGGACTTGATTCGACCTCAGCCATGGGCGTTGTGCGATGTCTCAAGAGACTGGCGGACAAGGGCCAGACCGTGGTGATGACCGTTCATCAGCCTCGCTCGGAGATATGGGGCATCATCGACAATATCGTTCTCCTAGCGCGAGGAGCGGTTGTGTACTCTGGCCCTCGCACATCCTGCGTCCAGTACTTCGAAAGGCAAGGTCACCAGCTCCCATCTTTCGTTAACCCGTTCGACTTCATCATCGACGTTGCTTCAATCGATGTGCGCTCCGAAGAGGCAGAGCGGGGCTCGACAGCTAGGGTTGCCGCACTCCATGATGCTTGGAGAGATACGTCAGCAAAAACGCTGCAGCCGCTCTCGGAGCACACTGGCTCCCTGACGCCGTTTGACGCTAATGCTGAGAGTACCGGAAAAGCAATCATCTACTGGAGCCAACGCATGTACGTACACACTCATCGTAACTGGGTGACGACGGTCCGAGATCGACTTGGCTTGCTCGCTGCTATCGTCGAAGCTGTAGGAATGGGAGTGGCATCCGGATGGATCTACTACGGTCTGGGTTCGGACCTTACTGGCATACGCTCCCGACAAGGTGCCTTCTTCGCCTGTGTCAGCTTGCAGCCGTATCTCATCATGTTGTTCGAAACCTATCGCCTGACCATCGATATCACAGTCTTCGATCGCGAACTAGCTGAAGGTGTCACCTCGGCATTCACTTTCATTACAAGCAGACGGCTGGCGCGACTTTTACTCGAAGATGTTCCGGTTCCCTTCATCTTCAGCACGATCTTCTATTTTATGGCAGGATTCCGGACCGATGCAGCCCAATATTTTACCTTCTTTGGACTAACGCTGTTATTACACCTGCTGTCTGTCATGGTCGCGATGTTCTGTGTCGCAGCGAATCGACATTTCATGATTGCTTCGATCATCGCCAACGCTATGTTCACAATCCAGTCCTTTGGCTCTGGCTTCGTCGTTAATACTAGAAACCTTGCAGTCTGGCTGAGGTGGCTCAAATGGATCACATATTCTTATTATGGCTATGCTGCGTTCTCTGCCAATGAATTTGCCGGCCATTTCTACGACTGCCCTTTTCCCGGTGGAGAGGAGGATCCTCAATGTGCTGAGTATACTGGCGACTACATCCTAAAAGCGTTGAATCTGCCAAATGACTGGCTTGCGGTACCGACAGCGGCGCTAATCGGCTTTCTTGCCCTCATGTTCGTCGTGGACGGGCTTATTCTTCATTTCATGACACACGACATCAAGCCAGTCCGAGTCAATGTGGAAGACTCGAGTCTGGGTGAGGTCGGTGCCATTGAGTACACGCCAAATGCGGTCCGGCCAATCACTGTTGATTTGGATGCTTTCGAACTGTCAGTCACATCAAAGCATCTCTTTCAGAAAGAAGTCACCAAGACAATTTTACACCCGACGACTACAACCTTTCAAGCCGGGGTACTCAATGTCATCATGGGGCCTTCGGGCAGCGGCAAATCTTCACTCTTGAACGCCATCGCGAACCGTTTGCGAACTTCGACTACAACGAATTATGCGAGGAATGGACGTGTACTCCTGAACCGCGCACTTCCATCCAGTGAGGTTTTAAAATCTGTCATTTGCTATGTTCCGCAAGACGATGTGGGACTCCTCCCGGCTCTTACGGTGCGTGAAACGCTACGCTACGCCGCTAGGCTGCGCCTCCCAGCGTGGATGCCTCACGGTGAGAAGATCCGAAGGGCAGAGGATGTGCTCCTGAAGCTCGGGTTGAAGGACTGTGCTGACACACTGGTCGGTAATGAGATGATGAAGGGTATCTCCGGTGGTGAAAAGCGACGGGTAACGATTGCTCTGCAGATTCTCACTGAACCGCGGGTGAGTACCAAATCCCACTTTAACCCTCATTAGCTCACGCTTCGCAGATTCTGCTCCTCGACGAGCCTACTTCTGGCCTAGACGCTTTCACGGCAGCGTCCATTATCGCAGTATTGAAAGGATTGGCCAGCGAAGGACGCACAGTCATCTTCACCATCCACCAGCCACGATCAGACCTTTACAAACAGTTCGGTACCATGCTGCTGCTGGCCAAAGGGGGCCATGTCGTTTACTCTGGACAAGCATCTGACATGGTCTCCTACTTCCATGATCTCGGTTACAAGTGCCCAGAGAACGCGAATCCAGCTGACTTCACTTTGGACCTGGTTTCTACGAATTGGGATGAGAGAAGCTCCGTCTCGAACGAGAAGCTGAAGACGCTCGTCGACAAGTGGACAACATTGCAAGAGCAGCATGTGGCACCCGATCGGGAAATCGAAAATCCAGCCGCCCTGGGATCTCTGGCGCGGAAGAAGACGCCCTTCCGCATTGCTTTTCCGATCCTCGTAGTTCGAGCCTTTACGAACGTCAGACGGCAGCCGAACATCCTCTGGGGCCGCATCAGCCAATTCACCGCCTTTGGTGTCATCATGGCCTGTTTCTATTCGCCTATTCCCAACGATTACTACTCTGTCCAGACACGAGCTGGCTTTGCCAATCAATTTGGTTCTATTTTTTTCATGGGAATGCTGAATTCGATCGCCACCTATCCACCAGAACGAGACATCTTCTACCACGAAGACGATGACGGTATCTACCCGCTCGAAGCATTTTTCTTCCAATTCACCGCCTTTGAGACGCCAATGGAGATCACTGGGTGCTTGCTCTTCTCAATCCTGGCTGTCTTTCCCACGGGGCTGCATCGAACGGCTGAACTGGTTTTCTTGTCAGCTTATTGTGGCTTTGCTGTAGCAAGCTGTGGAGAAAGCATTGGCATCATGTTCTTCTCCTTGTTCTCACATCTAGGACTGGCCATCAATCTGAGCACGCTTGTTATGGCCCTGAGTGTGCCATTGGGAGGTGTTCTGGCAGTCAATGTAACTGGTTTCTTACAGTGGATCAATCACGTTAATCCAGTCAAATGGCAAGTCAACGCCATGGCTAGTGAGCAGCTGCGGGGAGTTACATTCACCTGTGAGGAGTCACAACGTCTATCCAATGGCGCCTGCCCGATTGAGACCGGGGAGCAAGTGCTGGCGTTATATAAGTTGGACCAATTCTCTACTGGCGAGGCTGCTGGCTATCTGGCAATCATTGTGGTGGCAATTAGGGTTCTTGCATATGCCGTGTTGAAACTGAGGAGGACAAACTTTCGACGAAAGTAGATTTCTATACTAATAGCACCCATCCATATGGAGAACCTCATAACACCTAGAATACCTGAGACACTCGCAGCGGAAGGCTTCCAACGATTGCGGTATCCGCCGTATCGCCAAGCCCTTGATTCCTCGGGCGGAGCCTCGCGCTCCACATGACAGCCTTGTAAGATGTCAAGCCGCAGTCGCGAGCGTCATTCTTGTCCTGACAGTTCCTCCAACGCAGCGCCAAAACGGAGCACCTCGTACGTGTCGCCGTGTACGAGCTGTGGATCCGACTGTCGACGAGCTCAATGACTTCCTGCTAGTCCAGCAGGAGCGCCACGGTTGCGCATCGTTCCACTTCACAAACGAGCCCTTTGTAGCCGCTCGCGATGAAGACCAACTATTCGATCACCAGTCTCAAGCGCTGGTCCTGCAAGTCGAAAGAGATCCCTGGCATACCTCAGGTCAAGAGCATTCACGTCTACGACTTCGACAATACTCTCTTCAGTAGTCCCCTCCCTAGCCAGCAGATATGGGCAGGTCAAACGATCGGCTTCCTCCAAACCTATGAAGCAATGGCGTATGGAGGCTGGTGGCATGACTCCAGTATCTTGATGGCTACCGGTCAAGGCATCGAAAAAGAAGAACCTAGGGCTTGGGAAGGCTCATGGAATGAGACTGTTGTTGACCTGGTCCGCTGCAGCGTGGAAACAAAGGACGCCTTGACAGTCCTGCTCACAGGCCGGGGCGAGACCAATTATGCAGACCTCATCAATCGCATCCTCACCTCAAAAGAGCTCGACTTCGATCTTGTTGCACTCAAACCCGAGGTTGGCCCATCTGGTGTATATTTCGAGTCCACCATGGCGTTCAAGCAAGCCTTCTTGCAGGATCTTGTTCTCACTTACAAACATGCCGAAGAAATTCGCATCTATGAAGACCGTCCGAGGCATGTCAAAGGCTTCCGCGATTATTTCGAGAAACTCAACAAGTCATTCTTGTCACATCCAGCCGATCAGCCAGCCCCACCGCGAAAGCCTATCACTGCTGAAGTGATTCATGTCTGCGAGCTCAAGTCATCACTGGAGCCCCAAGCGGAGATTGAAGCAGTGCAGAAGGCAATCGCACGACACAATCAATCTGTTCTCAACGGAGGCCCCAATCCGCACAAGGCCGTGAACAAGCCCCTCAAGATCGTCGAGAATTACCTTTACCTAGGTCATCTGATCAATCAGAATGACTCTGCTCGTCTGATCTCACTATGCAACGTACCATCACACCTCATCGACTCTGGAGAGGTTCGGTTCATGGCATCAAACATTCTTATTGCTCCGTCCTACGCTCGGAAAGATGTTGTTCAGAAAGCAGGTGGTCGTGGCAAGAAAGTCATGTGGCAAGTCAATGGCGTCGCCAAGTACGAGGACCGTATCTGGGCGGCCCGTGTTACACCGATATCTGAGGCGCAGGTCTACACCAAAGACCCCACCCCAACCGTCGTCTTGGCCATAAGAAAAGGCTCACGACCAATCGATGCCAGCAAAATCACCAATTGGCAACCTGTCAGCGCCGAGAAAGCCTTCATGTTCCAGACCGAGATCGGCGACAAAGTCATGCTCGAGATCCAGCAAGATGAAGGTCATCCCCAAGCCCAAGCCCGTGGTCGAGGTCGCGACAATCAGAACAAGCGCAAGTTCAATGATGACACTGATGTCAAAGAGAACTGGCCGAAGCCAGGGGAGCCGAACAATCGTCCAGGTGATCGTCACGGCCAAGGTCGATATTTCAACCGCTCAAAGGCCAATTTCAACAACGCCAACAACCCCAACGCTGCTGGCAATCCCGGCAAGCAATTGCAAGGCAACAACTTCGCCAAGGGCAACAACCAACAAGGGCGCAACCATGGCGGCAACGCTCGAGGTGGCGGTAAGAACCGCGGTAGTGGGAACCGTGGTCCTGCTTATAAAAGTCTTGACGACTACGGCCCCAATAACTTTGATGGGCCAAGCGATCCGAAAGGCCAGGCGCCTGGTGCTATGGTCATGGACTATTGAACTGCAAGGGAGCCATGTGCTGTCGGTGACATGGCATAGGTGTTACAACAGAGCATGTCAACGAGCTTTGTGTGGCTGTAGCAATAGCCCGCCGGGGGGGGGGGGGGGGAGAACATGTCGTCAACAGAATTGTGGCGCCTCCTTGGGCTGTGCCTTTAATGAATTGTATGAATAATTCAGTCGAGCGGAACTGGTTGCATGGTACCTCCGGAAGGTAAGAGATTAGCTTCTGTAACTATTGAGCCGGTTCCAGATATCGGTCTCGAATCTGTTTAGAAACGAATCTGTTGTGTTTTTGTACAAAGGTCTATCTATGCTGGGTATCTGTTTCTTGTTTTGGTACATGACATTCGAGTGTCCGTATGTCAAGTGAGTCGGGATTTACGCCAATCGCTGATGCCCCCAAAAGCCAGCCGCGAATGCAAAATTACCAGGCGAGGTCCTCCTGCGGACCTAGGTCGTGCCACCGACGTTGTACAATGTCCGATGCGGGAGATTCTTCGTCCTGCTGGCTGCTTCGCAGAGTCCGATTTCGCTCGCTCAACCACAGCTTCCGTCCCGCCACCCGTCCCTCCACCGCTCCTTCCACAGCGCACAGTCAAACTCCGTCTTGCCCAACTTCACATTGACGGCATTGTGCGCTCGGCAGGCCCACTCCCCAAAGGCGTCCTGGCCCTCGGTCCGCACCTCGTTGCCCGGCTGCTTCAACCAGTCGCGGAAGTCGTCGGCGCAGTAGCCGCAGGGGTAGAGCTGCGAGAAGGTCTGGATGAAGGACCGTGCCGTCGCTTGCATGCTCGGGCTGGCGGTGGAGGGGTACGAGGCCGCCATGCCGTGCAAGAGCGTCCAGGTGGCGCGGCCGAGTTGCTCGACGTTGGGAGGGCAGTCGTCTTGGCCTTGCGATTGGAGAGGGGATGGAGCTGGGTCGCTGGCGGTGGTGGCCGCAGCCCCTAGGCCGGCAAGACCCGCAGTGGCTCGTGAGGTTGAAGAGGAGTTGGAGGTGTTGGGAGAGGTGCGCTTCATCATGCTCATCCAGGCGGAGCCGGAGGTGCATTGTCGGCAGGGCTTCCCGGTGGCATCGAGCACGATTCCGGATGCGAGCTTTTTGTAGCCATTGGGTAGCTCTCTTACCACCGGATCTGAGGTTGTGTCGTAGGGTTGGGTGGAGGACCCGGCGGAGGGCTGGGAGGACGGCGATGTGGCGGCGGAGGAGAAGATGCGGTCTAGTGAGGATGGCATCTCGGAAGGAGAGGGACCAAGGGGAAGGAAGAGGTGGTGGTCGGGGGAGAGGAGGAAAAAGACACGATGAAGGAGGTGCAGTGGGTAGAAAGATGAGTGTCAATAGGGCAGTGAATGCATATGTTTGACGACGTTAGCTCCGCTTAGCTCCGCTGCAGACTACAATGCGGGGAAGCGCGATCACGCTACGCGTCTGGAGCCCTTTCAATGGTTTGGGACATCGACTATTACTAGCTGCGCAGTTGTCCAGAGACTCTGGCGGCTGTTTGATACAGTGCTGATTGAGCCAAACATGTCCGACTCTGAGCTATCGGACGCGCCTGACATAGGCATCCCTCCCGACTTCGAGCTGGAGAATAGCTTGCGGCGCGAGGTGAACCGCGCAAATCAGAAAGGCGAAGTTGTGACTGTGCGCTTGATACGCACAAACTCCGAGCAGAGACTCGGCCTGCCTGATAGCTTTTACAAAACGCATGACATATGGAAGGATCGGAGCAAGGACGTGATCCACGATCAAATGGTATATTTGTATCCAATGTTGCAGCTTACCGCGCTGAACCCACATAGATCAGCGAGAAGGCTGTGCCCAGTTCGCCTGTGCTTCATTCGAAGACTAAAGCTGCCTCACACGAGCAGAGCGACAGCCCGCGCCCAGCCAAGAGGAAGTCAGCTGAGACGCAAAGTCCACCGCCGAAGAAGCAGAAGACCAAGACAGAGAAGTCAGCAAACCTCTCGAGCATACCCAGCGATATCAATTCCGACGCCGAATCCGAGCCTGAAGCAAGACCGAAACAGGGAAAGAGGGCATCCAAACCCGCGAAAGCAGCCTCGTCACAGAGTAAGCAGAAAAAATCCACCAAAGCCGCGGATTCGAGCGAGGAGCCTGCAAGGGAAGACGATAATTCCGAGAGCGAGATGTCCATCGTGCTTGATGAAGACCCGAAACCGAGCAAGAGGGGAAAGAGCAGAGACGCCCCAAGCAAGGACAAAAAGTCCAAGGCATCCAAACCCAAAGCCACGGCGGAGGTCGATTCGGACCAGGCTGAGATCAAACGCCTCCAGATGTGGCTAGGACGGTGTGGCATCCGCAAAGTATGGGGCGCATACCTCAAACCCTATGAGACGCCTAAGGCCAAGATCAAGCATCTGAAGGACATGCTTGCTGATGTCGGCATGACTGGGCGGTACAGTCAAGAGAAGGCCAGGGACATTAAGGAGGCAAGAGAGCTCGCGGCGGATATTGAAGCGGTGAAAGAGGGTGACGAAAGGTGGGGCACTGGTGGGAAACCATCGGACTCAGAAGACGACGGCCAATCTCGAGGTAGGCTCGTGCGTGGTTCACGAGCGCAGTATGATTTCCTGAGTAGCGATGGCGAAGAGACCAGCTGATCTGGTCGTGGTCCGTCAGACGGTAGAACAATGTACGTGATCCAGTATGCCAGGTACACGGAAGAACCAGTCTTCGGTACCAGTGTTTGGGCCAGGTGTCGGAGCTAGTGCAAGACCTGCAGCACCACAGCGACGCCTTCGTTTGAGGTAGGCGTTCCAAAAAGTGGTTGGGGAGCTGCGCGGCTCATTTCAGGGCCTTGTTGTTGCTCATACGCTGGGCAACCAAGCTGAAGACCGCGACCGAAGAAATGAAGAGCACCAAATCTAAGCGATTCCTAGTTAGTGAATGAGGCCTCTATACGAGCTGAAACGGTTATTGATCGGTGTGGGTACAATGCTTGATGTCGGGCAATGTGCACTGGGAGGACCAGAAAGCTGGCACACTAACTGTAGAACTGTCTGCCTATCAGCAGCGCTTCAGGGAGCAGAAATCATGGCAAACTTACTGCATTACGACTGTACTCATTCTCTTCGGCTTCAGTCCGCGCTTCGACGAACAAACGCCTGAGGTTCGGCAAAGCCATGCCACCAAATGTCGGCGAAACTGAAAGGTCTTAGATAATCTGGGGCGGTGAAAGTCTGCTCAAAACGATCGAAAGAAAGGGGGGAAGCAATCAGAGGCGATGTTGTCCGAATGGTGGCAGCCTAATGTCAGGGATCTCAAGGGGGGCTGCTTAACTAATTTGTTATCAAAGAGTGGATGCCTAATGCCTGTTGCACGCCCGTGTCGGCCGAAGTGGAGGGCTCTTCGGGGGGCGGAGAAACTCTCCGGGTTCCGGCCAAGAATGCATGCTGGTGCCGAGGTGCTCCCTGACATCAACTTCGACGTCTGCCGCCCCATCACCGGCACTACGCAATATGTCTAAGCCTCATCGCTGACTATACGTATGTCTTAGCCTCAGTTAAAGTGGTACTCACCCTACGACGGCTAGGGTATCGTCTCTTGGCGCAAACCAGCAGGTATGCTTTGGATGCAGTCAACCTGAACGATCCCAACTTTGCAAAACACTGACTACCAGTCGCGGCTACTCCCTGCGCTGGCCGATAAAATTCCTCTACCTACCCTCTACAGTCCATGTAACTACCCTCTGACGGTTGACATGCCTGCTTCTTCACGCAGCTCAAAGGCCTGCACCGAGTGCCGGCAAGTCAAGCTCAAGTGCGACTCGAAGCTCAGCTTTCCAGAACCATGTTCTCGGTGCAAGACGCGGAACCTGGTCTGCACCTTTGATCCGACCTTCAAACGCACAGTGAGTCCACGTCTATGGATGCCATGCCATGTCGTCCGTTTCCCAGCATGGTGCTGACTCGAATCAGCCTACCAAGGGCCAGCTCGAGAGAGTGACCAAGCAACTGAATCAGCTGCAGAGTGCTCTGGGCCTTCCGCAACATCGATATCTACCAGACTATCTCCATGTTCCCTCGACCGGGAGCCGCACGTCCAGCGTCGGTAGTCAATCTTCAGTCCCCTCGCCTGAGACAAGCGCGGTGCCGCGCACAGTGCCCCTACAGCCTGAGACGTACTTCGGGCTTTCTGATTCAACCGTGGATGTGCCTGAAATCTTCCGCCTCGGGTCTTTTCAAATCTCTTCTGAACGCGTGAAGCAACTTTTCGTGCACTTTGCTCGACAACAGTATAGACACCTTCCCGTCATCGACACCCGTCGCAACTATGCAGAGCTGCACCACACAACGCCATTTCTCTTCTGGTCTATCGTGGTCGTAGCCATTCGAAGCTCTAACCTCATGAACGAGCTAATCGATACCATTGAAAAGCCCTACAACGAGTTCGTCGGCAGAGTCGTGGTCAAATCTCCATTATCCTTAGCCTCGATTCAGGGCTTGCTGTTGTTATGCCTCTGGCCCTTTGGTGTACGCCACCAGCGCCAAGATCCCAGTTGGAATCTGTGCAATATCGCTTTATCAGCCACGATCCACCAGGATCTTCCGGGCAAGATTCTGAGGAAGAAAGGCTGGCCGAACGAGGAAGAGCAAATTGGTTGCAGAACATGGCTAGCCTGCTTCTACGTCAGCTCTTGCCTAAGCGCAAGCCTTGCAGTTTCTCCTCCCCTACGAACCTCGGAGGACCTGACCAACGTTAGTAAAGCGCTGGCCATTGGGGGCTCAACTGGAGAATTCGCTAGTCAGCTCGAGATCCAGCGCCAGGTCGCAAATTATACCTCGGTCCTTCGCGACCAAAGTCTGATAGAGAGCTCTTCAGCTATTCAGATGTACGACAAGGAATTAAGCGCCATTCCTGCCCACTTCAAGGAGCATTGGACCAAGGAGAGTGAGTTCTGTCTATTGGTAGCCAAGCTCAATCTCTACACCTTGGTCATACTATCAGCAAGAAGTGGCCAGAGTTCCACTCCAACGTCTTCCATTCCAGGACCACAAAATTCGGTTGGCATCTGTTTGCTGAAGGGCTTTCACGTTGCCGTCAAGATGATTTCTCTGTATTCACAACTCATGGATCAGATTTCTCAGAAACCTTATGATGACACGGACGTCATTCCTACTTACTACACTTTACCCAAAAGCTATCACCATTCCTTTGCACAAGCTACCTTTTTCCTCTTGAGATTCACCACGGCTGGATCTCAATTTCCGGAAAGCGATCGAGATATTGCTCGGAACCATATCAGATTGGCACACGAGATCTATCTACGCAACTCTCAGAAGCCAGATGATGAGCCTGAGAGAGATGCCCATGTGATCGAGACGCTAAGCCGCAATGGAGAGGGCGAAAATGATTTCCCAGACAGCCAGGATCTGTCCATTGTGCGACTTACCGCCAAGAGAGCTGCGGCAATCCGAGGCAAGTCCTCTTCATACGATGCCCCTGTACCCGAAGTGCCTGCGCCAGCCTCGACCGAGAGCATTCCCGAGGCAGTTGGCGTGGGCACATCAAGCGTGCCCAATGCCCAGGGAGATTCAGCAGCATTCGATTTTCAGTATACTGACAATTGGCTGCCCTACTTCGACGTGCCCAACGAAGTATGGGACATAAATAATTATCCTGGCACGATGCCTCCGGTGGCCGATTGGTCGGGGCAAACGACGATGATGAACTATTCGACATATTGACTAGCCAAGCAAATCCATAGTCTTGCATTTCACCATTGTTCCCTGGCTATCAGTGCACACTGTACGTTTGCCATGCTGACTGTGCATTATGCGCCCCATTCCAAATTGCATCGATCGTCGGACATATGCTCCGGCAAACCCCGTCCCATGCGGCACACCGCACTGGCTAGCCTCCTCTCGTACGGGCGGTTTCACAAGTGCGATGCTCTCTGCAGCTTACTGATAAGCGAGCTTGGCAACGGAAGCGTCAAAAGAGGCAAGTACTCTGCGATCAAGAAAGCAACAAGAATCAGTAAGCTAGACTCAAACAGAAGGAGGATATGCGGGGGCTGAAGAAAGCAGGAATGCGACCACAGACTTGCTGGCTTTCCAGGAATGGGAGTGACTCACGCTGACTGCCATGGACATCCTCTTCGCCAAAATTGCCACTCACGGATCGCTTGCCGTTCAACATTCGAGGGACTGTGGCTTTATAAGCCAAGGCCTGGTCGAAGAAGCCGTCATAGATCATGTCTTCGACCGACAAGCCGTACAACCCTGCCACCGATTCCGAGGTGAGCACTCCTGATTCCTTAATGGCCTGGTAAACATATGGCGACTCAAAGAGAAGGTCAAATGTGACCTCGTAGGGGCCGGAATTCTTAGACCGCACCACTTGCGCAGCATCGCCAAGGGTCCGGATATCCTTGCTGGTCGTTCCCGAAGATGCGGTAAGGCCAGCGACAGTCAATCCTTTCTCGACCGCGTTCAGGACCACCGGATCCGTCTTGATTCCAGAAGATCTCGTTTCCGGCCAGGCTTGCTTTCCGACTTCGACTTGCCGCCAGGAGAACAGCACTCCTCGATCTCTCGGTGCAACGAAGCCTGACCTTGTGATGGGACTGCTGTCGATCTCGGTTGCTCCTTCTTCCCCTGCGCTCAGCTCCATCAGGTGATAGATGCAGAATTCAGCCGACGGCCCAGCCTCGATCTCGGTCTTGCCTGCGATACCAAACGCCATATTTCCACTGGTTGCCTTCTGTCCGGGGTACGGCCCGTGGATACAAGCAACGCGGGCGGCGTTGGCTACGCTGTTGGCCAGGTCTTGAGTCACACCACGCGTCTCGCCTACGACGCAGACTTCACCAACACCAAACTTGTGCAAAACCAGGTCCCAGTCCTCGTCTGCGTAGTGCCGATGTTGCAGCTTCACATACTCCCGAACCTTCTGGAACAAAAAGTCTATCTGCTCCGTTAGAGCCGAGTCCCGGAACGCGCCAACGAACATAGAGCGATAACCCTGTGACCTGGCACCTTCTAGTTTGATGGTGTACGGCTCTCCTATTGCGCGAGAATGCTGAAATTTAGCACCCATTGACCGCACCGACTTCCCATCCTCGAGCTCTTCGTAAGAAGCAGCAGTCAGGTCCAGACAGCCGCCTGGCCCAAGGAGCAGATCCGGCCTCGATTTCTCGTACAGGGTATGCGCGGCCACTGACACAGCTGTACACCGAGCTCCTTGGTCCAAGGGAATCACATCGAAGCTACCATCCCGGTAGATCGTTGCTCGGGCGGCTCTGCTCTTCGGTGTAGCACACTGGGCGCCGCATTCCAGAATCTTGCCAATGTGAAAGAATCCACCTAGTTGTGACCCCGGGAGTTTCGAAAGGGGTACCCTGGACTTACCCATGGCAGTGTATGCCATGAACGCGACGAATGGTGCGGGGTCGTATGATCTCCCTCCGACAATCACGTTGTAGTTGGGCTCTGCATACATGGCATCCAAGAAAGGCTCGGCGCCCATTTGCCCGACAATGGTGGGTGCCCCTTCAATGTCGGCGTCGGTCAGTAAAGGTACAGCGGATCCGCACCTATCAGACACTTTAGTGCTGTGCTTACATCAAGTTTCGATAGCTCTCACCCTCGAATCTTCCCATTTGCCAGATTTTCTTTCACCCGAGCCTTGGACACATCTGCATATACTGCCAAGCATTTGGTCTTGTAATTCCTTTCAAAGATCAGCAGCCAAAGAGTGACCGGCCTTACGGAGTCACTTACTGGTCTGAGACCTCTTGCACCTCGTTGATCACCTCAAGCATATCGTCTACGTGCTTGCCGCTTCCATCTCCACCTGCTGAGCTAAACAGCAGGGGCACCCGATACTTGTGGACCAGCCTCAAAAGCTTACCCAAGTCTCTAACATAAGCAGATCTTGGCGCAGATGTCGTGCCGTGCGCCAGCTTCTGGGGACCCGAGTCCGTTGACCCTGAGTCAAGAATAATTGCCGTTGGAATGTTGGTCTGAGACAGCCGGGCCAATTCCTGATCGCAGATATCTTCGTCTATGCCAAACCCGAGGCATCCCACGGGAGTCAGTACGTGGCAGAGGGGCTGTGTAATTGCTGCCATGCTCGTTATGCAATAGGCTGCTGTCAAATTGGGAACAATCACGATGAGGCGTGAACTCGGGCTGCTAAAGCAACAGGCAGCAACGTTTTGTCAAGTTTGAAACGCAATCGGCTGGGGAAACGTGCTTAAGGACTTCTTTAAGTGTGTCTGTTGTTGGCTCTGTTTCCCCGGTGGTTAACGCTTGCGAGAAACGGCGCCTCGTAATATAAGCGAAAGTCGCTTAGCGGGCCGAGTTATGCTTTGGCGGCGGGAATTGGGCAATATTCCACCTAGGCTCCAGAGTGCCCATGAGAAGTCATCATCGAAGCTTTCCACAGCTCATACGATATACGGTACACTGCGATGGCCACCATGGTGCTATGTAAAGCGGTAGCAGAATCGGCCCGAGATCGGATTCGCGGACGACCTAGCATTGACGAGCTGCGGCATCGGCGGACGATGTGCAGAGGCTAGCTTTAGTCCTTTGCGTATGCTGTATGCAGGAGGAGAAGTGTTAATTGCCTAGCATCTTGTGCTATCGCCATGCCTTGTAATGTATACCTCACATGTCTGGTCACAGCGCTTGCTTGAAGAAAGTATAGAAACATAACAATGTAAAGTACCTGATGGTCGCGAGCAGCATCGTCGCCGTGTCTGATCCCAGCTGCGAGTGTTCACGTGTAGTCTTTCAGTCCAGGGTCGTGGATCGAGCATCAAGTACGAGAATACATGCTGAGGCTGGCTTCGAAAGGGGCAACAAAGTTCCGGGGTAAGTTCGCCGCAAAGATTCTCCGTTCCGAGAGACTTGGCAACGGCGGCGGAAAGATGCGGTGCATTCGCGCAGTGACCGACATGGACCGCATCTGGCACTCGACTCACACGCGAACCGCCGACGAGAAGCTTCTCTGGAAAGGTCACCTCTGACTAAACAGTGTGCATCTGTTCGGAGTGGTCACCATTATTTCCAGCAGCGTTTCCTTGCGTTCCATCTCGATCATGCCACGATAGCCTCTTTCGCAACCGACCCCTCCTTCTGGCTTACCCAACACCACCCAACCACCTGCCGGCAGCATGGCGATGAACAGGATGAAAAGTGCATTTGCACCGCCCAAGAAGGGCGAAACTTTCGAGTTGCGAGCGGGTCTCGTGTCGCAGTATGCCTACGAACGAAAGGAGTCCATCCAGAAGACCATCATGGCCATGACACTCGGCAAGGATGTCTCAGCGCTCTTTCCAGACGTCTTGAAGAATATCGCCACTGGCGATCTTGATCAAAAGAAACTGGTGTACCTCTACTTAATGTAAGGCCTTGGGACTGTCGCAGTAAACGCAGCAACTAACTCGTCCAGGAATTATGCCAAATCACACCCTGACCTCTGTATCTTAGCCGTCAACACATTTGTACAGGATTCCGAGGACCCCAATCCTCTCATTCGAGCGCTCGCAATACGTACGATGGGCTGCATCCGCGTGGACAAGATGATCGATTATATGGAAGAGCCCCTCCGGAAGACGTTACGAGATGAATCACCTTATGTGCGCAAGACCGCTGCCATCGGCGTGGCAAAGTTGTTCGACCTAGCTCCAGCAACATGTCTAGAAAATGGCTTCCTGGAAATCTTACAAGAGCTACTAGGCGATTCCAATCCTATGGTGGTCGCAAATGCGGTGACGGCCCTCGCGGAAATTATGGAGACTGCTCCCGACACTCACGCCCTCAAAATCACGCCGAACACACTCAAGAAGCTGCTTATGGCTCTAAACGAATGCACCGAATGGGGTCGAGTTTCGATCCTGAGCACGCTAGCCCACTACAAAGCACAGGATGTCAAGGAATCGGAACATATCTGCGAAAGGGTTGCTCCACAATTCCAGCATGTCAACTCCAGTGTTGTTCTAGCCGCAGTCAAGGCGGTGCTCCTACATATGAAATATGTCAGCCCCGAGCAGGCTAAGACATACCTCAAGAAAATGGGACCTCCTCTTGTCACACTCATTTCATCCGCCCCTGAAGTTCAATACGTGGCACTACGGAACATCGATCTCATCCTCCAGAAACAGCCTGACATCCTCAGCAAAGAGTTGAGGGTGTTCTTCTGCAAATACAACGACCCACCATATCTGAAATTCTCGAAACTCGAAATTATGGTCCGAATAGCAAATGAGAGCAACGTCGACCAACTCCTGATGGAACTGAAAGAATATGCCCTTGAAGTCGATATGGACTTCGTTCGTCGGGCCGTCAAAGCCATTGGACAAGTCGCGATAAAGATTGAAGCTGCTTCAGAACGATGCGTCAACGCCCTACTCGATCTCATCAACACTAAGGTCAACTATGTTGTGCAAGAAGTCATTGTGGTCATAAAAGACATCTTCCGCAAATATCCCGGCTACGAAGGTATCATCCCCAAGTTATGTAAATGCATCGACGAACTTGACGAACCCAACGCGCGCGCCTCTCTGATATGGATCGTTGGCGAATATGCCGAAAAGATTTCTAATGCTGGTGACATCCTTGGAGGCTTCGTGGATGGTTTTGGCGAGGAGTTCTCTCAAACGCAACTCCAGATTTTGACGGCCGTGGTCAAACTATTCCTGAAGCGACCACAAGCTGCACAAGGACTTGTACAGAAAGTGCTCCAGGCTGCCACCGCCGAGTGCGACAATCCAGACATCCGCGACCGTGCTTTCGTCTACTGGCGCCTTCTCTCCAATACCACAGATCAGAATGCTCCTAAGAATATCATTCTCTCCGAGAAGCCCGCCATCACCACCACGATCCAGTCTTTGCCGCCCTCACTACTCGAGAAACTGCTTACGGAGCTCTCCACCCTTGCATCGGTCTACCACAAACCTCCCGAGCAGTTCATTGGCCAAGGTCGCTTCGGCGCCGACGCGGTCCAACAGGCTGCCATTGAGGAACAGATGCAAAATGCACGTGAGAACCCACTCGCGGCTGCCGCTGCCGCAGCTGCAGTCCAAGGCAAAGCTCCTCCACAATCACAGCAGAACAATGCCGAGAATTTATTGGATATCGATTTCGATGGCGCGGCGCCTGCGTCAGCGCAGAAAGAGCCAAGTAATGGCCTCACCGGCTTGGAGGGCTTAAGTGGCACGCCTGTGGGCGGCACGCCGGCGCGAGTTATGAGTCCGGTGAGCGGCGGTGCCAGTGGAATGGACGATCTGATGGGTGTGTTTGGCAATGGAGGTGGAGACAGCAGTGCAGCTGCACCTTCCTCGGCCGGCGGATTTGGAGGTATGAGCGATTCAGACATCATGAATGGCTTTGCGGGCATGGACCTGAGTGGGCAGTCTGGCCAAGGGCAGGCTCAGCAACAACCAGGTGGGAAGAAGACGAATGAGGACTTGTTGAGCTTGTTTTAAGGAGAATCGGTGTAAAGTTGCTGAGGGAGGGAATGAATGGGAAGAGGTCAGAGCACTCAATGCAGGTTTTCGTTGTTCGTCTCTGGCTGGCCGACTATCTGCGTTCTCGTGATCCGTTTCCTTATCCGTCCACTGTACTCCATCATGACTTGCTGGAGGAGCAAGCTACCGTGTGCTCACGCCAGGAGTGGAGGGTGGTGAGTTGACGCTGGTCCTGAATTGTAACAGTATCTCAAGGAGCCTATCTGCGAGTCGCTGGCACAGGAGCAGACTAAGAGTCAATCAGTAAAAAAAAGGAATGGATTCTTGCATCTAATCCAGCCGGCACCTGACACGCGAAGTCTCGCGATAAAGGAGACCTACGGGAACCTATTTTACCTATGGCTGACTATGTGGTTTTACGTTCACATTGTAGCAGGAAGGCTATAGTAGAGCATCCTCACTGGTTTCGTACTCCAACTAGGACACCCAACGTCGCTAGGCCGAAGATCATGTGTGGACCTCCACTGTGTAGACCGTTCCAAGTGGTGGGGACTCGAGGGACCGTTCCACCCAGGCGTTTTATGCCCAGGGTTCCTGCTGCTAACGCACAAGAATGTGCTGGGTAGGGACAAGCAGCTGTGCGGAAACTCGACGGTCAGTGGTTGAGGCGCTTTCGCCCAACCGCCGCCGCCGCACCTCCGCAATCTGCCAGGTCTTTCCAAGACCTGTCTCTGTGCCATGGAAGACACGATCAGGGTGTTGACATGACAAGATGCTTTTCGCAGTCAGACAGTTACGCAAAGCAGCATGGAAGGAGGATGAATGGACAAGAGAGTACCCATAGTGGAGGGCTGGCTGTCGGGAGGCTGGAAACATTGATTGAGTTAAATTTCGTTAAGCCAGGGAAAGCGGGTGATGATATCTCTTGGCTACAGAGTGGCGTGAGCGGACGCGAGCTGTTTTGCAACTGTTAGGGGCAGAGAGGTGTAGTAGAAAGTGAATGAAGAATTTCGGAGAGACGACGTATCCTACCTTTCACACAGTGTCTCATTGGCCTCTATGGCTGTAGCCGGCGATAATGTCCATGGTTTCAATTTTCTTTCTCCAGACGGTTGCTCGTCGAGGTCTTTTTGTTTTCAAGAAAATGTGATTCAGCTGAACTCAAAACGTGCTCGCTCTCCCCTGTCATATGGAGTTGATACTTTTCGCCTCACGATTGTATCAGCCTCCCTTCGTCGTCTCCTGCCTTACCGGAGCTTCTTAGGCTTTGTCGCTGCATTTAGCAGTTTCGATGTGCATATGCCGGCGACAGGGATCTTTTGAAAGGGCGGGATGGTCGCCATTGGGGGTTGGCGATGATGGCGTCTAGGATAATTTCCATGCCTGCAAGCCTCCCGACGTCCTCACGGACCATGCGACATAATGCATAAGAAATCGCCGTACGCAGTCATCATCGTCTGTTTTGTTTTGGATGAAGCCAAATGTAGATGCAACAGAGCTCAGCTCCTCGAAGCATATCAGAAGTACATCCATGATAGCATTGTTCAAGTCTTCGGCTTGCCACATCTTTGCCAGGGTATAAGCCTGCAATGCAGACTTGGACGCTTGCCATTAATAGCAGAAGTTAGGGATCTCGAGGTTGTACGGCAGGCGGTCATGATAAGGCCAGTGTACTATCGGCTGGAATGCCTCGCTCTCGGCCTCAGGCAGGCGTACCACTCCTTCTTGACTTTCCTTCATAGCTGCATCGGACAGGCTCGAAAGAAAGGAATGCGACGCAGGATATGTGTATGGATGATGAACTTGTGCTCTGGCGCGCCAACCAGGACCTCAGTGAGCGCTGCCCAGTCCGGATCAATATATGAATGCTTTCGGTTCGTGCCGGAAGAAGGTCTCGCTTGTGGTGTTGATGCGACAGTGGTTGAAGAGTTGGCTTGAGTTTGCTCAGTCATCATGGCGGTATAGGAGATGGCACGCTGCCAGAAATGGCAATGCAGGGCTTGTGGAGGAGAGGTGGAAAAGACAATCCAGTGGAGAGAGCACCAAGATGTATGTATAATCAGCTTGGGCGTCGCTGTCACCCAGAAGTCAGGCAAAGTTCAGGTCGAAGATGAGGCTTGCGGATGAGATTGTGACTCGAGAAAGAAGGTGATGTTGGATGCAGGCGGAAGTCAAGGCCTTTCTGCCTTCCTGGCAGACAGAAGCAAAGAAATGTGGCAATAGCTCTTCTATAGCCTGTGATGCTCGACGAGCACAAGATCTTGTGTTCCGGTGACAGTCACTGTCCAAGCCCTGGTCTTGGCATGGCACAGCCGTTTTAACAATGGCAAAGTTCGAACCGCACCGACAACAAGGCAAAAAGAAACCCCGGAAGACCAGTCCAAAGATGCAAAAAACCAAGACCTCTGAAAGGAGGTCCCCCGAAACGGTCCAGCTTGCAAGCAAGCCTATACGAGGCGGAAGCCGTTCTAGTATTCGCTAAGATTAGGCCGTCTACAACTTACGCTCTTTAGCCAGGAACTTCAGACTTCTGGTGACCCCACGGTGTACGATTTGAGAGGCCTTGAAGTTAATCAAGGACCTCCGCCGGACGCAGGGGAGCTAGTTGACCTTTTATGGTATGGACGAACTGGTGGACTAACACAGATTGAAGGCTGTTGCTTGCACCAGGGCCACACCGGATCTTGTGGTGGAATTGTTAGTAGGGTTTTTAGAATTTCTAATATATAACCATCAAGGGAGTTGTCTGGTCGACAGCCAGACTGCCTCCTACTGCCCGCAGGCAGCTGGACGAGGCTATGAGGCTGGTATGCCGCAGGTCTGTTTGCGTGCCAAGCTTCGGGCATACTGGCCTGTTAGCCGTGTTCATTGAGGCGATGTCACAACGACAAGTAGTTACAGCTTCATTGTCTGTGAAATACACCCACCACTGGTGCTGGTCCTGGCGACGGTTCATCCGCATCATGCGCAAGACATGTCCTTCAATGATAGAGTGCTAATCTATCAGCGATTCTGTGGGTGGAAGTAGGTCAGACAGCGAGGCAGACGGTCCACTGGACCCTTCTAAGTATCACACGCTACGCACAGCATAGTCCTGCTCAACATCAGTTGATAAACGAACTGCTAGGAGAAGTATGTAGTGTCCTGAATGGTCCATTTCTCTCGAAGCAATATCCTCAGCTATCACTGGTGTCTCCGCAAGTCTCCGCAGATAGAATCACGCTAAACACACATCTTTGTGGATGGAGTCGTTCGCCTTCAGTGTGCTGTGCCGCTGATCAGCTTACGAAAGGCCGGAGTATTAGTACCGTCGCCGCGAAGGCCCTGATGGCGTAAGGGATAATTTACAGTGTTGTTTGTGTGGCAACGGAAACGGTCCGTTCTCGTTGATTCCCTTGTTTGTACGCGTATTTTCAGTGCTGTCTACCAAGCCCGCGAGGCCATTTTGGCTGAGAAAGGCTCTCGCCTAGGTCAGATTGCCTGGTTGCCTTGCTCAAATCTTGGCAGCAATTTACGGTTAGCGCCGAATCTACTACTCCGCAAAAGTCTGGCCTGCGCAACTAAGCTCAACGTCACTCGTCCCCGGCCCTCTCCTCTACGTTGGGAGAACGGGGGCCGCCTGTACGCACATCTGTGCCATGCACTTTACAGTGAGGGACGTTCAGATGTCACTGATTATGGGGTGCAAAACCCACTCGAGTATCTGGACGGATATGATTCTCGGAGAGCTGTTACACTGCAAGACTCAAGATGAGGTCAAGGCGTCTATTCTTCCGCAGGGCTGGATGACGAAGGTCGTTCAAGATTCCTGAGCGAGGAAAAGGATGAAGTTCGATGGATAGTCGGATACGGCCCACTGGCTGCTGCATGGGGTGTAGCCTTGCTTTGGCTGTTGCTGTGGCAAATCGTCCGCGTGCGGCGAATGGCGTTTTTGGAGATGGAGGGTGCCTGCCGACCTTCGTGTTCCCTGAAGATACCAGAGGTTCTCCTCAGGGTCCGATTTCAGGGACGTAAGATGATATGCTGGCGCTTCAGCGGCTATTTGTCGAAGAGCAACGGACAACCCAGCCGACGCATCAGATGCCATGGCGAGCTGTTGTGGAGGAGGTTGAAAAATTGCAGCTGATCAGGCTGGGGAAGGTCGAGATGCTGGTAGCTGCCTAAATGACATTAATGAGCTGACTGAAGGGACTACGTGGGGTGAGGGAGGATTGGCACTGTGCGCAGCAGAAATACACCCACTGAAGCAGATGCAGAAGCGGCACCTCTCAACGGCCTTTTTGATTTCGAATTTATTGATTGCAGTGGGCCTTGCCGTGCAATTTTGAACCGCAGTTCGTAGGCCATACGATTCCCCGAATCCCATTCCCATGAACCACAGTTTCGTAGGCCATACCATTCCCATCCCGTTCCCATGACCAGAGCGCCTTCGCTAGTAATAACATGCGACCATCACATCGACTATCGGCGAGCTCTCCTTCTCAGATAAGTCGATAGGGCCGTCTCATGCCGGTCCAACCTTGCTGGAAGAAAGTGGCCTTCTTAGGCGGAATCTGCAGACGTCGGAAAGCCTCGCGGACGTGCTCGGGCTCGACAGGTGTACGACCTTCCTCGGTCATTGAGAATAGACTGCACTCCTCCCGCTTGCGCTTCTTCTCGCCTTGTCCCTTGGAGGTTTTGCGGTTGGCGAAGTCCTTCTCGGCCTTGACCTTGAGGGCAGTCTCGGTGAGTGTCTGAACGATTTCGAAGGTGAGGAAACCGAGAATATCGATGACATCGTCGTTGGGCTTGGTATCGACGATAGTTCCAAAGCCAGCCCACTCACGAAAGCGCTTGCCCTTTCTGAAGGTGAAGGACGCTTGACGACAGTCGGACCAGTAGACATATTCTTCCTTCGTCATATTTCTCGTGCGTTCGTCGGCGGAAGCTAGGCGTGCAAGGGTGGCTTCATTCTGTTCGTCTTCCTCCTCGTCTTCCTCGTCATCACGCTCCGGTACCTGGACAGCGTAGTAAGACTCAACATCCCAAGGTAGGATCAGCTTCTGCTTCTTGTTGGCCTTCTGAGCAGGACCACCAGCGGCGGGAGCTTGAGCACCATCGGCTTCAAGGTCAATATCGCCAGCATCGCCACCGCCGCCCTTGTCGTCAGAGTCCTTGACATTCTTGCGCACATCCTTCCAAGACAGAAAAGTCTTCAAGCGAGAGACCTTGGATTTGTCGTGGCGGATCTGGAAGATGAGATCGGCAACGGTGATGGATTTGTGACCTCTACGGTTGGCATACTCGGTCGCGACTTTGAGCTGTAGCACTTTAGATAGAATCAACAAAGTAAAGAATAGGCTCACCATGTGTACGACTTGTTCTCTGACGATTTCCTCGATCAACCATGTGGTCTCGGCGGAGGGTTCGGCAGTCTCACCAGAGACAAACATCATCTTGCCGAAAACGTCAACAAGATATTCTCGATACTCACGTAGGGACTCATCGGGGAAGGGGCCAGGTTTCAGGATAGCAGGTTCTGGCAGGCGTGGCGGAGATTGAACTTCGGGCTCGTAGACCATGCCGTTCCCGTCGTGTACCATGCGGTTCCCAAGATATTCGTCGGCTCCGACATGGCGATTGTCGGCTGGTACCTCGAGCGTGTTCCAGAACTCCATTGAAATGCCGCCAACATGGTGATCGCTGGGTGCATGAGTCGGGAAGCGGCCGAATGGTGCGCTCTCGATGGATTTGTTAGGACTCTGCAGGCTGCGCGGCAGGAAGCCGAGAGCACTTGCAGACTTCTTGCCACCTTGACGTGTCATAGTGGATGTTCCGGTATTCGGTGCACAGCAAATGAGACGGAGGCGCGAAAGCAGTTGTCGAAACCCGATCGTGGATTTTCAGATGATGAATGGCAACGCGAGCCTTGTTGCCGCGTTGCCCCGCAGGGAGCCGCATGGTGGCAGTCCACAGTACGCCTCCTGAGCCTGGCCCGAAAGTGCTATGAAATATCAAGACATACCTGTTGGATCTCCTGCCGGTACTTGGCCGGTCGCTCAACCGCCATTGCGCATGGATGTCGTAGACTTCGCTAGCAGCGCTCGAACGATGCTAACAACTTCGAATAGGCTGTTGACCGCCTGCGATGTTATGATGCCAGGTCTTGGTAATGCGTGTGTGTGAGTCAGAGATGCAGTATGTGAGTGGTGGTTAGGAGAGGGTATGTTGGAGAGCAGGAACGTTAGTCTTGGCTTTGAGGCCTTGTTCTCTACGGTGAAGCAAAGACACAATCACGCAAACAGTCACTCAGCTGCGACCTCTCGCTGGGTGAACACATTGAAAACCTCCCTTTTGGCAGATCAAGCTGGTCCAACGTCAGTCATGCTCTACCTGGTCGGCCTAGGCCTTGCAGACGAAACAGACATCACCGTCAAGGGTCTCGAGGTTGTCAAGAAGGCCGACCGCGTATACCTCGAGGCATATACCAGCATCCTGCTCGTGGATAAAGAGAAACTTGTGCGTTCCTACCATGTGCATCCTACGCGCGCGCTGACTCTGACAGAGGTGAGTAGGAGTCCTTCTATGGCCGAGATGTCATCCTTGCCGATCGAGAAATGGTTGAGTCGTCCAGCGACGAGATTCTCGCTGGTGCTGACAAGCTGAACATCGCCTTCTTGGTCGTCGGTGATCCGTTCGGTGCAACAACGCACACTGATCTCGCCCTCCGCGCTCGTGAGCTCTCCATACCCATGCAATCGATACCAAACGCGTCTATCCTGAACGCCGTTGGCGCTACGGGTCTACAGCTGTACAACTTCGGGCAGACAATTTCCATGGTATTCTTTACCGAGACCTGGAAGCCTTCGTCCTTCTACGATCGCATCAAAGAGAACGTGCAGATTGGGTTGCATACCCTTGTCCTCCTTGACATCAAGGTGAAGGAGCAGAGTCTTGAGAATATGGCACGAGGTAGGAAAATCTTCGAGCCACCGCGATACATGACTGTGGCACAGTGCGCAAGCCAGATGCTCGAGACCGAGGAGGAGCGCAAGGAGGGGGTCTACTCGGAAGACAGCCTCGCCATTGGTGTTGCGAGACTGGGCTCCGCGGATCAACAGATGCTGTGCGGCACTCTCAAGGAGCTAGCCGACTCGGATCTCGGCCCACCACTCCACAGTTTGGTCCTGCTAGGTAAGCGAGCGCACGAGCTGGAAAAGGACTACATCAAGGCTTTCGCGGTCAACGGGGAATCTTTCGGGCAGAGCTGGTCCAAGCATCACCACCAATAGCGGCCGTGGAACGGGAGAGCTCGTGAACCCCAGCTACTACGATCCTTTAGATCTCTTTCTCTCCTAATCAATGAGGCAGCTCTTGCAACTTCAGACTGTACAGAAGCAAAGTCGTGTGATCTGTCCAAAATTTCCGATGTTGATCCACAGACGGCGCCGAAGCTTGCCACACTTTTTCTACCGTGATACAACAGCCGACTATTCAGACACGCGATCTCCCTTCCGGTAGGTGTCTCCTAATATTCCATCTTTGTGGCTGCTTCGAGTGCTTACCTCATGATTTAACTTTCTGTGAGCCTAGAAGCTGAGGCTATCCTGCGCCGTCACCTGGTAGGCAAGCACAACCACCTTCGTAATTTTTCGTGGAATTGGCCGATGATAGACCATGCTCGGACCACAGCATTTCTCGAGCTCACCAGGTTTCCCCGACATTCAGTTTGTGGCTGCAGCTGGGCCCCGGTGAAGGTCCCCGAACATGGGAGCCCCGGCGGCCGTTTTGCCGGCTGGTCATGCACCAAAATCGCAGTCTTGAAGGCAGTGGATGAGTCTCTGCAAGCCAGGCAATACAGTGCAGGGCAATAAACAAGCCGGCTCGCCATGTCCTGGCTAATGGCCGCGTCAAGCACCTATTTACGCTTTGCGCTCACCAAGTAGAGCCAGTCCTGAGGCATTGCTCGTCCGGAAATGGGTTTGATGTGGCGTTTTCATTTCGCTTGTCGTATCCATTTCGCATCCACTAACCCGACATCTCACGCAGCACACCCTGCAGGAAGTCCATCTTGATGACGCCGCCGAATCTGTATCCAGCGTCAGTCGCGATATTTTGGAAAAGTCGAGCACCGACCGGCGCGTAGGGCCTCGCCGCGAGTGCAAGTACACACGAAAACACGCCTCCAGAAAACGGATAGTATCACTTACCCATAGCACTTGATATGCACCAGCAACTTATCCGACAAGCGCTCCAGCGCGGAGGTGGTGAGGCGCGCAAACCCGGCGTGCCCTTGCACGCAATGCCAGGCCTGCACTGGCGTCACCTCGCCGCCCTCCTTGGGCAATTGCTCAGACGTGTGCAGCAGGCTGGACAGGATTGAGCGAGGGGCATCCCAGGTCTGTGGCGGCGTGGGCGGGAGCGCTTTTGAGGGGCTGGGCCAGGAGGAAGTGTCGGCGCTGTTGTCTGTCTCAGGAGGAGGTGTGAGGGTGGGTCGCGTGGTGGCGGCGGCGGTAGGTGTAGAGCTGGCGACGCAAGAGAGCAGCGTGGCGGAGAGGAGGTGCATGTGGCCCTGCGGTGTGTGGGCGTCGACGGGACAGGTGGAAGGGTCGTGGATGTGGGGAAGGCAGGGCGACTCGAGTCTGGTATCTCGTGAGTACAGGGGTTGGAAAATAGGACGTTTTGGGAGCGAAGACATACTTGAGGACGAACTCCATGGCAACGATTACCGGATCCAGCTCCGCCACAAACCCGGACGGCTGCCTCTGATGCGGCGAATGCGCCATCGCCGGCCTCGCCGCTCCCTTTTGCGTTCCTCGACGCGCCAGGTTCGGCGAGCTGAAGTTCGTGTACGTCGTCGCCTCTGGCGCCGGTGGTGGCCCACTCATCTCCGGAGCGCCCATCAGCAGCTGGTGCGGCTTACCGTTGACAATCTCGAGCCTGATGGTCGTCACAGGCGGAGCAGCGTCCTCTAAGAACGTGCCGCTGAAGGCCATGAAGCGGTCCGCCGCGCCATCCTGGAACCAGGACTCAGCTGGGTCGGAGGAAGCGGGATTGCTGCGCTTGGACAACCGCAGAGCCTCCTCGCAGAGGTCGAGGCGGCGCTGCAGCGCGGCGACTTCGCCGCGTAGACGCTCGGCGTCGGCGGTGAGGCGCGCGTTGTCCGATTGGAAGCGACTGAGTTGGCGTTCGAGGAGGCGGAGATATTGGTCGCGGCGCTCGCGGAATGTTCTATACAGTGTCAGGCACCTCACTTGAGGGAATAGTGCCGCTGTGGCCTTACTTCTGGGCTCGCCGGACCTGCTCTCGACGTTTCTCGGCTCGTTCTGAAGATGTTAAGTCAGCAAAAGCATGGAGGCTGTCGCCGGTGTTGCCACACCTTCGGACGACCGAAAGAACGGCCTAATTTCCAAGTGCACCATCGTTGCCAAATTGTCCCGCTTACCAACTTTGCTTCGCTATACAAACTCGGGTTGGATTAGAGATCAGACAATCTCAGCTACGGAGTACCAGTACGCGAACTTAAGGCAACCTTCCAGAAACACAGAGATCTGCATATCAGACCCACGGTTTGATGAGGGTGATCATTCCTTCGTCACGACTTGCCAAAGGGGGCCCGCGCCCACGCGTCGCAAAGCCCTGCCCCTGTGCCGAAACGTTTCCCCCTTCACGTGAACGGGCATATTACGCTTCCCAGCCTTAATCCGAGACATCCGCTGCGGCAGCAAGGGGCGCGAAGCGTTTCTCTGCTTCGGACGCGGCCGAGCGGTACAGCCCCAGCCGAGCAACGTGTTGGAGATGATCGATAATCGAATATTTCTCGATTCGGTTTAGAAGGGCAAGGGCCAATCCTCGCTTGAAGTGTGGCTTGGGGGCCTCATCTGATACCCACTTTCTTTCTCGAAAAGGAAGTTTTGGATAGATAATACATACTTGCTGGCATGCTAACGACATACAAGCGCCGTGGCTCAGAGCATCTCGAGCACCGAGGGATCGTTAGTTCGCAAGTGGAAGGTGTTGATAGGTAATAGTCTTTGTAAACCTGTAGCGTCAATATGCTTGGAGCTCCGAAGCCAGTGTGGTATATAAAGCTGGGAGGAAGAGCGGCTCGATTGATCCTCGCAACAAATCTTGCAGCATTCACTCCCAACTCAAAGTCCATATCCCTCCTTCCATCATGCACTTCAACAGTCCCAAAGCCCTGCTGCTAGCAACATGGCTCGCCCAAGTAGCCACCCCACGTCCGTTCTCACCGCCCTCGTCAGCAAACGCGATCTTCTTCCTGACCAACGACGCAACCAACGCCGTAGTCGCCGTTCCAATCTCCAGCGATGGAAAGCTCTCAGGCGGCACCGTGACTCCCACCGGTGGCGCTGGCTCCAACAGCGTCAATGCCATGACAGGAGAACCTGATGCGCCCGATGCCCTGATCGGGCAGTCTGCACTGGCTGTGTCCGGGCAGGTGAGCCTCACTGAACCAAGCCGAATAGCCAATTTCATGCTGACTTGTCTCTCACCAGCACGTCTTCGCAGTCAACGCAGGCAGCAATACGCTGACCATGCTGACCATCGACCGCGCCGATCCCACGAAGCTTACCATCCTCGGTCAACCAGTCCCGGTACAAGGAGAGTTTCCCAACACGGTGGCAATCTCGCAAAAGCATCGACTCGCTTGCGTGGGCACAACGGGAGCCCAAAATGGCGTCTCGTGCGCGCCCTTTTCGCGCGAAGGACTCGGGCAGTTCGACGGTCTGAGGTCCTTCGGGCTGAACCAAACCACACCGCCCGAGGGGCCGACCAACAGCGTCTCCCAGCTCTTGTTTTCGGAAGATGAGTCGGCGCTGTTTGCGACCGTCAAGGGGAATCCCGCGGTCAATACCACGGGATTCTTCTCGACGTTTCCGGTGCAGACCCAGGGCAAGCAAGCCAGCGTTTCGACCCAGGACGTTCGCAGCTCCCCCCACGGAACAGCGGTCCTCTTCGGCTCAAAGACCATCCCAGGCACCTCGTCCGTTTTCGTGACCGACGCCTCGTTCGGCGCAGCCATCTTATCAGTGAACCCCGCAGATGGCGAGGCTGCGTTGGTGGCAAAGCAAACTATCGAGGGCCAGCGCGCCACGTGCTGGGCGACGATCTCGTCCACGACAAGCACCGCGTTCGTGACGGACGTGCTGAGAGAGCGGCTGGTGGAGATGAGCTTGTCGGACGCGAGCATCTTGAGCATCACGGACCTAAATACGGGCGCGCCGGGGCTGCTGGATCTAGAAGCGGTGGGCGATATGATATATGTGCTTAGCCCTGGCAATGGATCGACGCCCGCGGCGGTGTCGGTTATGGATGCGTCGGGTGGTGGCGCCGCGTCGGTGGAGTTAGTGCAGCAGTTCGATGTGTCCGGCCTCGGGGTTGGGCCGAATGCGCAGGGCATGGCGGTGCTGAGGCCCTAGCTTGGTTGCGTCTCTGTTGACATGCGGATAGGCTCTCTGGACTGGTTGATTCTGGCGTACCTTTGTACATAAGATAGGACGAACAAGACACGGCAGCGAATAGAATAGACATCAAAGTTGCCAAACAAATACAGAAGAATTTGAATCGAATCTGTTGATGGGTTGCCTCAAGATCAAGGCTAGTAATGCCAATGGCGAATTCCTCCAGGTTTAGAGGCCTTGCACTTTTTCCTCTGCACGCCGTCATTAGATCGTGAATCGTGATAACATACCCATAAGCCCGAAATGATGTCGCTTTTCCAAGCCTTCTCCTGTACCGCGCCTGAAACCAAAACCACATGGGAGGCTATGCAGCCGGCGCCGCGTCTCGCCAGATGATGTTTATGTCGCGCCACAACGTCAATACACCACACGCCTGTGCTTCAGCCAACTTTTGCCAGCTCTGCCCGTCTTCTACCCACTTTTCTTGCCGAAAAACTTCTTTCGTAGACCCTCCCTCCTAACGCTATCTTTTTCCTTCGCAATCGCTCTGCTCGGGTCTGACTCGACCTGGGAGTTCATCCGCCGAAAGTCTGCTGGCGAGGGTTTCCGCAACCCTTCCCTTCGCACGCCGTCCTTTTCTCTTGTGACAGTCCTGCTCAGATCTGCACCGGACTGAGTATTGGACCGCTGATGGTCGGCAGGCGAAGGTGGCAGCTCCTTGTCTCGGCCGTTAGTGGCGGCTTGCGGGTTGGGGTTGGATTCCTGACTCTTTATGGGACTTCTGGTCTTTTTCGACGGCGGAGGCACAGGAGGTGGAATGCGGCCACCGGTCGGACTGCGTACTGCTGACGAAGTCGAGCTGGGGTCCTTCACGTATGTTACAGTGTTGTGTTTTACAGGTCCCACATGGACTTCCTTCTCTTCATTCGAGGGTCGACTTTCTCGTAAAGGGAGAGCCGTGGAGAGTGTGGGAGCTTTGGGGGTTTGAGCTCGCGCCGTTGAGACGACAGGCCGGAGTTCCTTAATGCCTTCTTCAACACTTTCGCCCATCTCGGTGTCCTCGCTATCATCATCGTAATCCTCGTCGTCACTGGGATCAAAGGCTCTTACTGGGTCGCCATTGTAGACGACCCACCAGCCAATCTTCTCGTCTTTGGCCAGCTGATCGCGAAGCTCGGCTAGCGCGTCCCACGCGTCTGGTGAGATGGGTTTGTCAGTGGTGGTATCGTGTAGATTGGCGCTCAAAGCTCGAATATCCGGCGGCGAGTTGAAAGGCTTTTCGATTGACATGGGCATAGTCCTTGCTCGTGGCTTTTTCAGGGGCGGTGCCGTTGCAGTCCGCTCTGGTGAGGACGATTTTGGACCAGATTCAGTAGATGATGGATTTGAGGATGCAGAGTCTGGCTTTTTCCGAGCCTCTTTCGCTGCATGACTGGCTTGTGTCTGAAACAGATCATTGAGATGGTCTTCCGCATTCTCCCCACCTGCTATCATGGCTATTCGATCGCAGACGAAGGCATAAGGCTGCGTGACTGCGTTCGGAGAGGTATCGTTGGGATCGTACTGTTCGAGGAAGTCGACTCGAGCGCCGGATTTCTCTAGCCGTGTCATGATATCAGGAAAGAGAGTGCGAAGTGAGGAGAGCAACGAAAGGCGCGACGGAGCATTCTGGATGTACTCAACGGAGACAGGCTCCAGGTTGTGAATGATGGCATGGACACGGATGCCGGTGAATCCATCACGTGGCCAGCGGAAACCATGAGCGAGGTAGATGGGCATGCTGATGGCGATCCGGAAATGTACGCAGCTGCTTCCAGTTACTGACGCTACCAGCTAGTACAACAAGGTGTTGTTGGGCTGCCGGGAGCGACTATAAAGGCTCGACACTGGGCTTAACGTAGTTTCGAGGCAGGGAAGATGGCGGATTGAACCTGTGTCAGGGCTGGCACGCTCGTGCAACGTGGGGGAGGGATACTATCACGGTGTAGTTCCTGCGCTGCGATGGGGCTATTCGCATGGTAGACTGCAGCCCCGACTTGCTGCCATGAAGCTCAGGATTATGCCGGGGTAGTACAATCAAGTATGCCCCAAAGTGACGAGTCGTCAAAAAGATGCGATGGATCGTGGGTAAGGTGGTTGGCAGATGCTTCAACTCGGTTCAGCCTGCATCACAGCTCCGACTTGGCGGGGTACCATTACTAGCGGACCCTCCATGTGGCTTCAGCATTCTGACCTGTTGGGGCAGAGCTGAAGATAGCATCGATGAAAACGTCTAGCCTTACCGTTGCACTCATTGCAGAAGAAAGGAGAGGCCCGAGGTGTGAGAGAGGGGCTGATCGACTTTTAACTTAAGAGTCCCGCCCAGAATTCTGCTGAGTAGCCCCCATCCCCCGAAATTCCAAATTATGTATAACGGCCGTGCATAATATCGTCGGTTAGCGAATATTGCCGAACCACATGACATCTATGGTTTGATGCAGCGATTGACTTCACGATTGCAAGCAAGTAAATTGGGTTGATGACCGTCTCGACGTCCAAATCAAAGCATCTTCTACAGTGCAAGTGACGATTCAATAGGTCTATTTCAATCTCAATGGCTGTCGCCGTTCAGAGAGCTATCAAGTACGACTCTTCAATCGTGGGTGCAAATCTCTCGTCCACCTTTACATACATTACTAGCCTTTCAAAGGACGTCTGTGCAATCAGCGAGATTGATAAGCGCAGATGCATACGAGCTACAATAATGCATCCAGTTCCATCACAGAGGGAAGCATAGGCACTAATTCGTGCCGCAACTTTGAAGCCAACGCCCGATGTGCTTGTTAGGAAAAACACGTCATGGCAATACATCGAGGCTCTGTCAAGCTAGAGCAGTCGACAGTAGGGCAGCCGGGATGTTAGCCATGCTCGCCTCGATGCCAGGGACTATTTGGATCCGTAAGCTTTTGCTGGAGAGGCGTCAGCTTGTGTCGGAAAAGCTGTCCGCTCCCGCAAGGACAGTGCGATCAGGGCAAAGAGCACGCTCGAGGGTCAATATCGAAGCAAAAACGCGAGCGAGATTCCTGTCATGAGTCGCGAAGGCACGATGCTTATGCGGCATTGAGTAGACGCTGCCTCACAAGACGGGAACCCGCCGAGTCTGTTTGATCACGTTGGTCTGGCCTACAACGGATCGGAGTAGTATCTTGGACCACAGTCAAGGGGCCATTGGGTTGTCTCGGTCCAGAACAGTGCAGTAATCGTTGCCATTGATACAAAGTAATGAATTTCGAATGAATCGCACAAGACTTGCCTCGTATCCATTCTGTGTGGAGGTGGCCGTCCCAGGTTTGTAGGTACAGCGCTTATCGCTTTTGGTTCGTCTTCCGGCCAGCGGGCCTATGACGGTCCTTGTTGCTGGTAAGGGAAAACAGCGCCTATGGATACATTTCTGACAAAATCCGACCAAATGTGTAACAGTCTTGTACCGGCCAGGGTCCAAATATGCAGCAGTACAATGTCCTGGAGTGGTCACCCGCATGGTCTGAGCCACTGGTCTCATTGAGTGCCGTGGTTCCTAGTAGCGTCGATCCTCGTAGCCTCCATAGCCTCCGCCATAGCCGTAGCCACGGGGAGGGCTACGTGGGCGCGCATATGGATCGCCTCCACGGGCATAGGGATCGGAGTAGCCACGGCCTGGTGGTGGGGGAGGACCACGGGCATCGTAAGGGTCATCATAGCGTCTGGGAGGTGGGCCATAGTCGCCACGGGGTGGAGTCCGACGTCCATAGCCATCTCGTCCATAATAATCATCCACAGGTGGGGGTGGTCGGCGGCCAGGAGATCGCTCACGGTATCCGCGAGGACTCCAGCCACGAGGTGGGGGCGGAGGGCCACGACGATCGTAGTAGTCATCGTTACGGCCACGTGGCGGAGAACGTTGACGATAGCTGCGAGCATCGGGGCGTTCATCTTGAATCTGATAGTCTTTAGTCGTTGATACAGGGTGAGATGAATTCCTAGCTTACATCAGGAGTGCAGTGGACCGTGGCTCCCTTGAATTCACGGCCGTCTAACTTCTCAACGGCACTCTTAAGGTCGGCAGAAGTCTCGAATTCGACGAAGCTACCCATCGGTCAGGATTGGTCGCAACTTTTCATACGATAACGTACCCATAGTAGCCTTTACCCTCGCGATCGCGGCCAGTCTCGGAATAGACAACATCGAGCTGACCAGAGTTGCGGGCGAAGTCTTTCAAATCCTGCGTGTGCTGTGAGCTGCGTGCTTCCATTTGCGAGATGCACAATTTGGAAATGTGATTTTCTAACCTGCCAACTGGTCTCGGGAGCCAGCCCTGTGAGATTCATGCGATATATAGTCCGTCGAGGACGTGGGACATTGCGCTCTGGAGGGCCTCCAAAGTCGTCCTTTCTGCGGGGACCTCGGGCGAATTGGACGGTCAAGCGTTCGCCTTTGAATTCGGAACCATCTGCGAATGTCAGAATCGCTTGTGGGGATTTTGCGGGAGGAGATATCTACGGAAAGCTATCGCTTGTCAGCAAGGGTACAATACAGCAGGAGGAAAAGCTACCTGGAACAACATCCTTCGCGTCCATCGCATCCTCGTACTCAATGAAGCCGAAGCCATTCATAAGCTTGACTTCCTTGATGTTACCAGTGCCATGGTTGGAGAAGTGCTCCTCGATGTCCGCTTTGGTGACTGAGAAGAGGGGAGTTAGCTGTTGCCAGTCCGGGAGAGCTTGATATGTGCGCGCCAGTCCAGACGGTCAAGGAATGGCCAGCACCAAGAATCCAGAACATCAGTCAAGCAAGACGGGGAATTTTGGCCGGCATACTGTTTCGAGGTAGATTGCCCAGGTAGAGCCTCGTGGAAGAGACATCGGATATAGCAGACATATCGTGCATGCGGAGCCTGAACAAGCAGACTGGTACTTTGACGAGTGCGCCAAGTTGTGCAAAGAGACCCGGAGCTGATCAAGCAGGCCTCGAGCAAGGGCCGCAACGTTGTTACACCGGCCAGTGACAGTATTATTGATGAACAAACTGCGTACAGAATCGGAGGAGGAATATCGGAGAGAACGGCCAGAGTCAGGATGAAGCGGAGGGGAAAGGTCTGAGTCGATGATGAGATGAAAGATGCTTTGTCTCCCGCTTGGTCGTGATGCGACCTCCCGCCTGCGCCTGCCGCCTCACTTCCAACCAACCCCGTCGCCGACAGCGCCAAGCTCCTCAGCCTTGTACAGCCTTGCGACCCCGATATCTGACTGTTTTTGGCCTGAGCAGTCTCGTGTTCATCCAACAGCTCGCAACCTTTCCTGATCGTGCAGGTTGTAAGGGCAGCATCGCCAGAGACCATGATTCTTCATTCACGATGATTGCCTCGTTTGGCGCGTACTTAGAAACAGTACTGCAGCGTGTTTTGCATCATGCATCGGAAGATCCCATCTTCCAATGCGAGATCGAGGATCTCAGTAAACTCGCCAATCATGCCGAAGCCGAAGAGCTGTTAGAGCTTGCGAACCAGAAGCTCCACGTCTTCCCCTTCAAAGAGGTAAAAGCCTGTTGGTTCCGCCTGTATACTGACGCGTCCATCGTGAAAGCCATTCGCCTCATCCAGTCCAACATAGAATTGGGTCATCACTGTTTACCAAGTGCAAAATGGATCGATGAGGTAGTCACTGCCCTCGACATGGCCTTGATCATGGCCGGTGGACTTGGCCGGGACGATGTCATTCATGAGCTTATGAGTCGTTTACAGGATCACGTGGCGGCGCTTAAAGGGCCACGGGCAAAGCGGAGGAAAACCAACGACGGCCCTGGACCGCTCGAGCTCCAATCTCAGTTGCCAGATGAGGGAGTGTCTGTTCCGAGGCTTGCCCGCCCGCTACGGGCTCTCAGGGAGCCATCTGTTGAGAGCTTCCAACGTTGGATGAATGAGGCACGAGAACCAGTTGTCCTGGAGGGCATTCTCCACCATTGGCCCGCCCTTGAAGACTGGAAGAAGTCGTCTTACTGGCTTGAACAAACCTTCGCTGGGCGTCGACTTGTGCCGATCGAGACAGGCAGAAGCTATGTTGATGAAGGCTGGGGTCAGAAAATTGTGCAATTTCGAGTCTTTCTTGAAGACTACATACTCGCACCGGACGAGACTAGATCTGAAGTTGGCTACCTGGCTCAGCACGATCTCTTTCGGCAGATACCGTCACTATATGCCGCAATCAGTACACCAGATTACTGCTATTTTGATGCACCTCCGCCAGAACAGGGCACTCCACTCTTCTCCAAGAAGCCGACTACAGCGTGCTCGATCAGTCATCCTACCTTTCTACCTGGAATCGAACAAGAAGACGATACGGAAATCCATACCAATATCTGGTTTGGACCAGCGTGGACTATCTCGCCTCTGCATCATGACCCATACCACAACATCCTATGTCAGGTTGTTGGGAAGAAGTACATTCGACTGTATTCTCCACATGTTAGCGCCCATCTGCAGGCCATGTCTAAAGCCGATCCTGCACCGCATGTGAACGAACCCAACCCCGACCGTGACCTTGAAGGCGAAGCAACCATTGATATGTCGAACACTTCCACAATCGATGTCGCTGCCATGGAGATTTCTCCAGATGAGGACTGGGACGAGGTCTATCCCGGTATAAGCAAAGTGCCATATCTCGACTGCGTTCTCTCCGCCGGTCAGGCCCTCTACATACCCATCGGATGGTGGCATTACGTGCGGAGTTGCTCTACTGGCATCAGCGTCAGCTATTGGTGGTGAAGACTCCTTCAATACTCTCTTCCGGTCTTTCGTCGAATGCTCGCCGCGTCCGAGCTCAGATTTGGCCTTTCCGCAACATACCATCTCGTTGTAGCGAGTCTTTTCAAGCGTGTGCCTGCGCAACCCCTCCCAAACCACTCTTGGGATAGTATTTTAGACTTTCATTCAGTCATTCGTCGCAAACAATGCACACTGTACTACTCGATTAAAGCGACAAAAGAAGGTCTTGCGCTGGTGGAAGAGCTGCGTTCACGTCTCCCGGAGATGCGATCCTGGACGGCCGAAGACTGTGAACTATTTGGAAGACGTTACTTCCGGAATGAAGGCTTGCGATCAGCCGTACGAAACTTCTGGTGGCACTCTCTCAACCCTGATGTCAAATTGGCCCTGCCAAACCCGCGTTCTCACGGCGGGCTAAGCCAAGCAATCAAGGCCGGGCAATGAGAACGAGGTTCCTGGGCAACTAAAGGATGTAGGGCTTCGTTGTTGGCGGAGACATACGGATCTGTGGTCACAGGATAGCGGTCAATGTGAGGTCGGGTCAAAAACCGCTTTTGGGGCCCGAAGAAGGGTCGAATGACTGACAATGAGCATACACATCGTGCATTTCTCCACTGCTATGTATTACTAGCACTGTTGTTGCTGCCTTCCTGCCCTGTCTGAGCAGGGTATGATACTCATCGTTGGCGTTTTCAACGTGATGTCAAATCCATTCTCTTCCCTCTATAGAGTTCGATCGCTTTCCTATCCCAAATGTACATTGCCACATCACTATTTTTCGTCATCATCTCGGTCATATTCGAGCATGTACGACAGATCTCGCCCAGATACTCTGGTTGCGTGTCTAGTAACCAGGCGCAGATGGTGCCGGATCTGGCCATGTCTGTTCAAACGTGCATTCGGGGGCCCGGATCCCTAGTTTCCTGGCACGCGCGACGGAGCATATGCGGCGTTCCCACATCTGTGTGAGCTTAAACGACAGCTTCCATCTCGCGAATCTGCCCCCACTCCGGGGTTGTGGTATCCCTGCTTGCAAAGGTAGCAATTCTGCCCGATCCCATTCTGCTGCAGATATGCTTCACATTGCACCTACACCTCCATTATTAGTTCCGTGATACCCTTCCATGAGACCCCAGTCAATGTCTCCGGCGTTCAACCTTGGATGCGGATCCAAGCTGTATCCCAGCAGCGCGGTCCGAGCTTGCGTGTCCACATCGCTGCCAAAGCTATGCTCGCTTCCCACCGGAAACTGCTGACCGGGGAAAGCGGGAAGGAAATCCTCCATCATGTGCGCGGCATTCGCGGACTCGTGGTATAGCGAGGATCGCAGGTCGCTCTGCCACGGGATCGGGGCCACGAACCCGCTGTTGGGATCGTAGGACTGTGTGATGGCTGCGTTCGAGATTGTCTGGAAAGCAGTGGGCTGCGCGAGTGTCGCCTCGTGGGTAGTTGGAAGCGAGAAAGGCTGCGAGGCGGTTGGTGGTGGTTGTGAGGGACGACGAGGTTGGCGGTCTAAGACAGCTTGCATGCGTTTATGGATGATGGCGTGAGACCTTTCGAGAGCCGGCATGGCGGCGGCGGTGCGGGAGAGCACTTCAAGAAGCAAAGAAAGACCGGCACGGTCAAGGCTGGTGGTTGGGTCTTGGGTGCCGTTATGCTCACGCTCAAAGCGCAAGACTGCGATGGTGGCAGCTATGTATGCACTGTAAGCATTCAGGTATGAGACATGGCTCAGACCAAAAGTGTTAGACTGCAACATGAGGAGGTCGTGGATCGCAGCAGTGGCAGATAGACACGTCTGATAGGAGCGGTACGGGCCAGCAGCGTTGATATCGCGAGCACCTAGAATCACTGGCCGATGAAGTAGAATGACCGTGGTATGATACAGTAGGTTGAGCGACATGATGTGCACGGGAGGCGCAAGACGAGGCATCTGGTCGGGGTTGATCCGGAGATGCGGCGGCAAGGCAATGTACCACTCTCGTAGATCACGAGATATACGAATGAAAGGTTCTTCGTTGGCGGCTTTGGCTTCGGCCGAGTTCTCTTCGTCATCTCGTCGTGCGGCTGCTTCGGGTGAGTAGATGTTTTGCATAAGGTCATTTAGAATGACGCATAAGCGGCAATTTTGTTGGAAGCACGATACAACATATCCTGGACAAGGAGGATAATTTGGTGCATGTGCGTGGTCCGGTTTCGGCGTCTCCCCGTAGTAGGGTGCCCAGTGGTCGGCGTCTGAATAGTCGTCCATAAACGATATGGGGATATCATCAGTCGCTGGATGGGTGAAGCCTGGCATTCGCCCGAGGTACAGCGAAAGGATTTTATCCCAAGTGTAGCAACTCCAGAACAATCGCTTCCGAATCTCGATGTCCTCAGGCGTCAAACTCTTGACAAAGGACTGCAATCGGTCGCTAGGTAGATGTATGCCCATGTCGAGGGCCATGCGGAAAGCAACTCCAGCAAAAGTCCATGCCTGCGACGAACGCCCGAACACCACTTCACGCGCGGATTGTTGCAGCAGGGCTTGAATGGTAGGTATGGAACTTGGCTGCAGCATGTCCATCCCAAGACCATACCGAGCCTCATCCGTCATCTTTTGCATGAAGTCCTGGGCCGAGAAAGTCTGAGTGATTGGACTACGACCATCGGCAGTGGCTTGGTAGTGATGTTGATACACATCGTGGTTGAGGAAACGCGCACAATGCGCATGCATGACTTTCAGAAGAGTGTCGGAGAAGTAAGGAGGGTCTCGAGCATCATGTGAGTTGTAGTCGATCATGGCCATACCTCGCGTAAAGGCCGGGCGGTAGACGAAGAGGAACAAGGGGTGTATCCAACACCAGTGATACTTCAACAGCTCGAGCGACAGCTCCTTTGGGATGTTGACCTTGACAGCGCTGTTGGCGATCGCAAAAGGCTCCATCTGTCGCTGCTGAGTGGCATTCATGACAAGATCTCGCTTCATCTGTTCATTCTGCGGCATTGAATGATCGGGTATCTTACCCATAGGCATTAGGGCGGAATTGTTGGGCGGCTCATGGACGGCAGAGGTTGAGTTGTGGAAGGTGACGCCCCCATGATCATCGACGCTGATATCAGCCTCCCATTTGACATGACGGTTGCGAAGGGATTGGTTTCCGGATTGGTGTGAGACGGCGGTGTCGCTTGCTGGCGAAGCCGAAGTGAGTTTCCTTTCGTCGTTCTGCTGGTTCTTGCTGAGCAACACCTGCTTCTGAACTTGGCGGAGTTGCGACTTCAGCTCGTGGATCTCTTCCTCGAGAGAGCGTACGTAGGCCAAAGACGGGGGCTTATCATAATGACATTCGTCTTTGTAGGCGATACAGCTAATGGAAGTCAGTACATGAGGCGAGTATGGGATGAATTCGCTCACGTGGTGCATTTTGGAGTCTTGCCGTCGCATTTAGACTGTAGCAGGTGTCAGTGGCAGTGGCGGGCAGGGAATGGCGGTAAAGGATTATTACCTTTCGCCTTCGACAGCCAGCACAGGTACCTTGAAGCAGTTAGTCGACAGCCAGAATACACACACGGGAGGACACATGCTTTTCCTGTGCTTTGGCTTAGATTTGTGATCGCCATCCGGCGACATTAGACCGTTCATCGCAGCGCTGGGGCCGTTCGGTTCATCACGCACGTGTCGAAAAGGCGGGGTAGGATATGAACCTGCAGGCATATGCCACCGACGCTCAATGACAGACGTGTGACACTCACATCAATGCCGCAAATGAATGAATGACGAAGAAGAGTACAGAAATGAATTTGGTTAAGGACGAAAGATCATTCGTTACAGCATGCCGGACGGGCAATTGAACTCGGGTGATGGCAGCGCGAGACCTTGACCTGTTCGGGTCGCTGCGAGCTTCAGCTGCAAACTGTAGAAGCCAGGACCGAAGATTGTTGAGAAGGGCAAGAACCTAGGAGGAGAATTCGACGAGGCCAAACAGAGTAGTCGACAAGAGGAAAAAGATGGGCGAGATGCATTGAAGGGTGCATGACCCCATGCTCAGGGCCCTTTAACCATCACCCCACCATCGGGTACGTCAAGCCCAGAGCACTATTGTGTACTTACAACATCAGGCCCAGGGTGGCGGTTCCAACACCAAGATGGGGACGCGTAGACTGCTCAGTCCGACTGCTGCATCGTCCTGCAACAGCAATCACGACTGCGGCTCTCACTGTCGCCGTTGCTGGCTCCTGTTGCACTCAGCGTCTGATCGTGTGTGTAGGGCGGCAGGGACCGCTACTGCGACAAGCCCAGAGACCAGACCAGTCTAGCCCCGGTATCCCCCCAGGGCCTACTAACAGGCTGAAGCGATCGGAGGTGAGCACTCTACTTGGAATAAGCACTGTTTAGGCACAATCAAGCCTCACAACAGGTGTAATTCTCGCACCAAGTCGTTTCTAGAACCGGTTCTGATCTCGTGAATACAGGACCCTAGCAAGGTTCACCTACAATGTTGAGCCTGTACAATTTCCCATCTACTGGCGTTGTCTTCCTCTGTTGTCAGGAGGACATAATCTCATCTGCTTGCGCGTCAACACGAAGAGATGGCTGCGGCTGAAACATGAGGTCAAAGTGATATCTTGCAATATCAATGGGCTATTGGCCCAAGCATGGACCACTGCGCCATGCCTGCTCGCAATTCCACACCTGAGATGCTAACATTGCGATCCAGCTACAAAGGCAAACCTCAAGGCCGACGATAGTCAGACGCTCGAAACTCATGTAAGAACTCGAAGCGCTTGTTGTCCCGACTGCGAACCCGAGCCATGATCTTGTTACGCCATGGTCGAGATTTGGCAAGCTGATGCTCTGGACCGTCTAAGCCGTTGTCCCTGTCAAAATCATGCACCGCCAGGAGCCCAGTGTATCCATCTTGCAGGTCATCCGCTTCTACGAGCTCAAACCTTCTGGTCCTCCGCCAGCCAGGTACTCGACTCAAATCGGTGATGTGTTCCTGTACCGGTGAGCCCGTCGTGCAGGCGAGTCAGTCGAACTAACGTACCTCTTCATACCAACGGTGTACTTCTGCAATCATGTCGTTCCGGACCAGCAGCGCAACCACTATGACCACGGGGGCGGGGCCTTTACTGCTACCACGACTTGAGATATCCTTATACACCCTCCTGTCGATCCAGTCGAGCTTCTTATCAAAGACTTCTGACTCTCGCGCCGATCGATTGCTCCGCAGAACAGTGTATTCGGGCTCTTCTAGTCCGGCAAGGCGGGACAGGTCATACGCGGCCATAAAGAGCGATGGATCTGGATCCACGCATTTGTATCGATAGCCGTTCTGCACAAAGTCCAGCTTTACCCGCAGCGGCCCATGCTCAGTGTTGTACCACTCATGATACTCCTCAAGGTATTCAGGTCTCGGTCGACTGAGGATATAGAAGAACCCGGCGGCAGGACGCGCGATTGCGGCAGGCATGTTTGCAATCTATGGTTCACTGAGAGAAGAGCAGAGAGACATCAGGACGTTGGGGCCGGCGTGGAAGGGTGGGCTGTCCATTGCGACTGCCACCGTTCGAACCGAGCCCCGCCATCGAGCGGAGTTTGGCCGGTGAAGCAGGGTCATCGACGGCATATGAAGCTGGTATCTTGTGACTCGTACATCGCAGTACTGTAATGCCTCACACAGCGTCGAAGCTTGAGCCAGCTCGCAGCAGCATTGAATCGACCGTCGTGAAAGTTCGATTTGCATGTTGCAGAGTAGTCACGAAGCTCGTGTCGCGCCACGGCTCAAAGAACACGCGAAACATGTCGAGCACGTGTCTGCAGGGGCCCCCAGCACCGCCGATCGGCCGTAATTCCAGTTAAGAAATATCGCCAAGACCTGCACATGGCGGCTGCATCGACCACGTTGGCGATCGTCGGTATCACTACCAAGATCCGATTATCATCGTGCTAGGACTTTGGCACTTTCCGAAGAGGGTGACTAAACTCAGGTTCTGTTGGTGCTCATGTGGTGGCCGAAGTCGCTGGCAGCAGACTGCACGGTCTTGATTGGATTGCCGACAGATCCGTAGCAACGTTGCAGCCATGCGGCGCCACTGACTCGCCACCCTTGACAATTTGGGGAACCCATGTCAGTTTGTCTGACAGACCGCGTGGACTTTGGAGAGCCCTTGCACATCTGATAAGAAGATCAACGGAACACAGGCCTCCGGCTCAGCCTCCTACGTGCTAGGCAGTTTCTATTGCTTTCTGGTATGGCCTGAGCCATTGACTTTTGCGCCGGTGATGTGGCTGATCTGGAGTAGTGGGTGTCGAGGTGTGGTGGGGGCCAGGAGGAAACGGGATCGTGGGGAGGATAGCGCGCGGAGCTGGTGGGAGATGAGGTGGCCGCGGCGAAAATATGAGGGGTCGTCTGCAGCAGCGCTCGCAAAAGAGGAAGGGAGTGTGTAGATAGAGAGGGGTCCTAGATGAGACTGAGAGGAAATAATCAGAGAGCGGAAGAGCTAGTCATGTCAATAATCACTGTTCGCTTGTGGTCTGCTCGGTGGTATCACTTTGCATAAGACGGGTATCTCTGCTATGGTATCATGCGTGCCGAAGCAAGCTGCGCTCTTCCATCCTCCGCATATCGTGCTAGTTGTACAGGGGTATCATAATGCTGTTCTTCAACTTGTGTCGATGTGTCGTGTCTTGAACAGGGTCTTCCCTACTGCCTCTGGCGACGTCTGAATGGCGGGTCTTCGTTACTGTCTCGGCCGTACACAGACCTGATCACATAAAACTAGTCCCGGAAAGCTCTCGCGTTCCCGCTCAAGACACGCATACCTATGTCGTTGTCATCGCGGCCTGCCGCACCTTCAAGCTCCCAATTCTCTTCGCCAACACGATCCTCCTCGAGACTGTCCCTCCAATCAGTGACACCAGTGATCAAGGTCGCGTCAGTCTCGTCTCTCGTGTCAAGAGCACCCGTCATGAGCGCCGTCTCCCGAACATCGCCTTGGTTCTCGATCTCACTGCCATCGCTAACGCGCTCCTCGCGGATACCCCCTCCAAGACCAGGGGCACCGCGGCCTTGCACGTTCATGGCTCCACCAGTGGTCGCCTGGTCGACAGTGCGTTGGCGTACCATACGGACAGCCTCCAGCCTCACGCTACGCTCCAGCTCCCGCGCGCGTCGGTTTTGCATAGTGATGGCTCGTGTAGTAGGTGTCTGGCTTCCCTCCTCGCTCATACCTTCTCTCTGGTTGCGGATGTGCCGGGTAGGGCTGTGGATCATGCCAACTGGTGCGGTATAGGCGGCGTTGTGCTCATTGAGAATGGGCTGGCGGGCAAGGTCCGCTGGACTTTGCGGCTGTATGTCTCCGAGGGCAGCATCGTTATAGACATAGAAGGGCAGGGTGCCATCGAGCTGGACGCCCGGAGGGTTATTTGAGGTGGATTGGTTAGAGTTGGGGCCAGCTCTGTTGGCAACAGTGGTGTCGACATCCACGACACGATTCCGGAGGCTATGGCAAGGCGTCGGACGGCGGCGGACTGGCGTGTTCGGCACGGAGAGAAGCGACAGCGAGTTCTCGTCATTGCCCTCGCTCGATGAGCTGTCATCAATCGATCTACTTGGACGAGTTGGCTTGGGCGGTGTGGTCGAAGAATCGGAGCTGTCGTTGCTACCAACACTAGCACGGATCGACGAGACGGCAGACTCGGAGCCGCATGGCTGGCGGACGGTTCCTAGAGCGCGACGATTGGCTGGAACAAAGTCCTCAGCTTCAGGACGCATCGTAGAGACTCGAGTCTGATCGACAGTGAGAGCAGCGGCACCCTGAATGAGATCTGATTCGGAAATCTCAGACTGGTTGTAGGAGTATGTGTCGGTTCGAGGACGATAGGTTCTCACTGGAGGGCGGAACTCGGAATTGGTGATTTGACTCTCGTCAAAGCGAGTAGGTGAGGCATTCTGGCCGAATCGTAACATAGAGCTCTGGCGCGGTGCATGGCGTTGAGACTGGTGAGGAGACTGTGCAGGTGATGAGACATCAAGAGGTTGCGAGCTCTGCTCCTCAGCCCCCTCGGCAGCGTGCTGCTGGCCATGTAGCTTGGCGTCATCAGGATGAAGAGGTAAGACATGTCCTACCACAGCACGGCACTCTCGAGCTTGTGTGATGAGATCGACTGTGCTCGGAGCGCGAAGATCTTCATTTGGCTGAGCTGCGGAGTTGGCGGCCGGTTTCTGCGCTTCGAAGTAGCGGAGAATGTCTCGCTTCTTGAAGCCTTGCTTGAGCAAGCCCAAGTAGATGTCAAGCTGCTGCTCGGCAAAGGCAACATCGCCCTGAGACAGGGAGATGCTGGTAGGCGGTAATCGTAACATTCTGTAAGTTGTGTTGTGCGTGGTCACGATCATCCAAGGTTGCGGGTGCAGAGGATAGCGTCTACCAAAACTCACCTGCGGCGCAGGCAGCTGCGATCCATGGCAGTACTTGCCACCTTTCACTTTGCTTCACTTTGCAGCGCCGTGAAGCCTCTCACCTATGCTTCACTGTAGCCTGACAAAGGGCTCAGGAAGCGATTACGGAGGATCGCAGTGGCAGAGTCGGGCTGCCGTAGCTTGCGTAAGATAACACATGGCTATGGCCTTTTGTCCTGCATACCACCACATCGATGTAAAAATAGCGACTCGAGGCAGCCAGGGCAAGGCAAAGCCATGAGCCGGGCCGCACGCGTCGTAAGGTGTTGATGGATCCAAGACATGGAGAAAACAGCAGAATGCGTTTTGAGTTGGCGGTCAAGATTTGGTACTCGGCGGTGCCCGAGTTTGTGCTGGGATAATCATGGCCTGCGCTGCGCGGCAGCATCCTCCTCGTCTCCATCCGCCCATCTACATCATTCTGCCCACAACTATTCCTTTGACCCTCGCTCTGTACAGACTGCTCACCTTCTACTTCCACTCGTTCAGTCCCACGGTTATATTCTGCCCCTTCGTCGCCCTTTGAACAGCAGTCGATAGCGCCAACTCCACCTTTCTCACTGCCCCCCGCATGTCTCAGCAGTCCCACTAAACAGCCAGGGAACAGGCTTAAGGTGATGCTGCAGACTGTGGCTTTGCTATAGCCTGCTACCAGCTCCAGAGGCCTGTCGTCATATTGCCCAGTCAAGAGTCCCTGTATCTTTAATCATGGCGACCGACCTGTCGCTAGGTCCTCTTCGGATCGCCAACCCTGACGACGCTTCTCCTGACGCACCGAATCAATCTCAACGAAACATTCACGGTGTATCCCCACTCCCTGACCTCAACGAGCCGCAAGACTATCTTGCTCACCCCGTTCACCGCTCTGATAGTCCTGTGTCGCCCCTCGAATCCCCATCCCATGACGACGAGCAACAATTTGCGCCATCGGCCCCACAGCAATCAACTACAACCCAGCCGAGCTCCTACCAGCAGCGCCCGGCTCAGCAACAACGAACTCAGAGATCACTCCCGCAGACATATCAAGATCAGCAGCAATCGCAGTTTCCCCAATACCCTGCTATGATGCCTCAGAACCTTCACTCCGATCCTCGCGCGCAAAATGGTAGACCGCAATCTACGTATTACACACAAATGCCAGTCAACGGCTCCTCAAGCACCAACATCTCAAGGCAGGGTTCCTACAGAATGCGCACCGAAGGCTCAACCATGCAATTCCCATCAAGAACCTCGTCTAAACGCACTGCCATGGGAGAGCAGCCAGGAGTGCCCTCCAGAGACGACTCGCACAGTGAACGATCTTACGGATCGAATGCATACACCGGCGGAAGCGGCCCTCTCCCACCGCGGAAATCATCTAGGGGCATGTCTGCGGCTCCTCTGCGCAACACTCCCCCTACCAACACACCTTTATCGAGCTCACCCTACGGCCTTGAAGGCGGTCCATTAGCAAGCAGTGAGGAGTGGCAAGAAAGGGGCGCCGCGGTCGCGACAAGAAGAGAAATCGATGCTGAGGGGCGGCCCGTTGTGCGCTCGATCAAGAAAGGAGTAAAGGATTTCAACTTTGGGCAAACACTGGGCGAAGGCTCATACAGTACGGTATTGGCAGCGCAAGATAAAGTATCCGGCAAGGATTACGCTATCAAAGTCCTGGATAAGCGGCACATCATTAAAGAGAAGAAGGTCAAATACGTCAACATTGAACGAGACACACTGAATCGATTAACCGACCACCCCGGCGTTGTACGACTGTATTACACTTTTCAGGACGAACGATCGTTGTATTTTGTGTTGGACTTATGCACAGGAGGGGAGCTATTGAGTTTGCTAAAGCGTATGACCACTTTCGACGAAGAATGCACACGCTTCTACGGCGCCCAGATATTGGATACGATCGAGTACATGCACAATCGCGGAGTCATTCACCGTGATCTGAAGCCCGAAAACGTCTTGCTTGACGAGAACAAGCACATCAAGATCACGGATTTCGGTACGGCCAAATTACTCGTGGAGACAAAGGATTCAGGTGCCGGCTCTAGCTTTGAGCGTGAAGCATCTGAGGCGAATGATCGAGCCAGCTCGTTCGTGGGCACAGCTGAGTATGTGAGTCCAGAGTTGCTGACCGACAAAAATGCGTGCAAAGCCAGCGATCTATGGGCATTTGGCTGCATTATTTACCAACTGATGGCCGGAAGACCTCCGTTCAAAGCCGGTAACGAGTATCAGACCTTCCAGAAAATTGTTGCTCTGGACTATGAATTCCCTCGAGGATTTCCCGAGCTTGCCCGCGACCTAGTGGAGCGTCTCCTCGTCTTGGAGCCGACAAGGCGATTGACGATTGAGCATATCAAGAATCATCCATTCTTTGAGGGCATCCGTTGGGGCAAAGGATTATGGTCACAAACGACGCCTAAGATTAAGACATTTGTGCCAGCGTCAAATCCACCCATCAAGCTTAATGGCAGTGGCACTGCAGCGCAAGGTAGTTTCCCTCCGGACATCGCTCATAGTACGCAGCCCACTATGCTTCCACCTACCAACAACAAGCCACATCCTCGGCTTATGACCGATCTACCTCCACCTAGCCAACTCGATATCGAATGGTCTCCTGTCCTGACCCGACACAACGAGCGGATCTTGAAGCTTGGTAATCTCTCAGTTGGGGTTTCACAGCAATCCGACCGCCCACATGAAGGCGGAAAGCTTTCCAGATTCTTTGGGGGTGGGAACGGGAAGAAGCGTGAAAGACTAGTGATGGTGACTTCGAGCGGCCGCTTAATTGTCGCTCCCGCTGGAGGTGATGAGAAGAAGGCCAAGTATGAGATCGCCTTGCTGGCGCCTGGGACCGAATATTCGAGCTCGACGGATGCTAAGGGCATTACGCAGTGGGTTGTGGATACTGTAAGTGCTCACTGTCTGGATAGAGTCAATAACTAACCTGCTCACAGCGAGAGCGACACTTTGTCTTCGAGGACACCAAACCACAATCTAAGGAGCCCATGGCGACAGCCGTATCGACGCAAGAATGGCTTGACGCCCTCGTTAAGTCCCGGGACCTTGCCATTAGCATCCAGGAGCGCAGCGGCAACCAAAATTACTCAGAGAACGATGAGCTCAACATGTCGTCTGGGCAGCTCTCCAGTCATCCCAGCACCATTGACCAACCGACTGACCTAAGCCCTCAAAACCATAGCCACTCACGTGGCATTTTGCATAAGCAGCAAAGCACCAACGATGGAGAATCACTCAAAGGCCGCAAACGCTTCAGCAAGCGGCAGTCGAAGAGTGGGCTGACGGCGGTTTTTTAGCAAGGCAGCGAATTGAAACTCTTGTTTATGTGGCGTTTCTTGCCATTTACCATTTGCATTGTGGGCATTTCAGATCCGAAGCGAAGCGAGCGTAGACCTTGCATAAGAGAGGCATTTGGCAACCCTGAAGGCATTGGGGTCGTCAGTCAAGAGGACAGGCAACCGACTGATGGTATATCAAAGGATGAGATAGGATGAGAACATGTCCTGAAGTGCTTGTTGGCTGTGGAAGAAGAGGAAAAGAGCGAATGGGTTCTTTGATATAGCACTGCCCACACGTGGTGTGACCCATGATCCACCTGGCAATCAGCATGGAAAGACACATTTTGGATGCTACGAGTCTTTCAAGTAGTGATGTGCAAGTCCTTTCAGCTGCCTCGAGTCTGCCTCGCTAACCTGCAGGGCATTGGACGTGTAGGAGGTAAGCTAAGCCAACCCACTTGTTGTGTATCTTGCTGGGAGGGCGAACTGGTTGGTCCAGAGTGATGGGAACCTGCAGCGCTTCCAGCCGAGGACCCAGTCATCCTCCAGCACCATCGCCACCGCGTCCAACTAGTACCTAACAGTGTGCTGAACAAAAACCCACGGCACGCCTGCGCGTGGACGAGGGGTTTCAACGTGTCTTCCAACGCTGAGGTCGTCGTGTTGTTCTCCGAGTGTCATATTGAAAGTCGTCGCCATCCCGTCCCTATCGATAGCGCGCCAGAGCCTCTAAAACGAGCTCCAGCCGACGCACTGCGACACTTCCGAACCCCTCCCTTCAGCTGCCGTAACAGGGCGCTCAACTGGGCGTTCTTCAACTTGAAAAGTGAAGATCACAAAAGCCAGCGTTTCGCCCTGTTATATTTCTGGCCGTTGATAGCGGTCCGTTGCGCTCTGTTGCTGCCACTCATCGTCCGCTTGTGCTGGATAGCAACCTCTGGGGTCGACAATGCGACGACGACCACATGAGTCAGATTGACAGCCCATCCGTGTCGCAAGCGCAGCTACCCATGGTCTCCCACCCCGAAGTTGCGCCTGCCCCGTCGCGACGCGCCCCGTCAGTGTCCTCCCGGACGTCCCGCTCCCGGCATCACCATCGCGGTCATAGCCACCATGGCGGCTCCAACCACACCTCGCAGAACGAGTTTCCGTTCTTTGCGCTTACTGGGGATGTTGAGATCGTCATCGCGTGCGATGCGCAAGAGAAGAGATACCTCCTGCACAGACTCATCCTCGGCCAGTTCTCTGGTTTCTTCGAGGCGGGTATGAGTGAGGAGTGGTCACGAAGTCACGCGTTGGCTCCCCTGTCGCAGCCACCTCCACAAGGTGCGCTGACGGTGATCGGAGAAGAGGCGCCAGAAACGGTCCGACAGCCACCGCTCGTAAGACCGGATCAGATGCAAGCGCCGGGCAGGAAAAGGTGGAGGTACGAGCTGGACTGGGCCAACCTGGAGGAAGACGAGGAGCCCATGCTCATTCAGAAGGTCCGTCTACCACTGTAAAAGTAGAGTATCACTGACAATCATAGCCACCATCCGGCGGACTATTCACCGCCTCGTTCCAGCCATCAGCGGCACCTCGAGCTCGGCCGCCGACGAATCAGTCTTTCTTCCGCTCAGTTGCCAACTTAACATTGGGACATCATGGAGTACCACAGTCTTCAGCAGAGCCGGTCGATCCAGCTTTGCATATACCCCTAATTCGAGACTACGACAATCTATTTCGCATCTTTTACAACTTCGCTCCGGTCCTCAACTCCACCAACATCGCTGCCGCATATTCGGAATGCAAGTCTCTGCTATCGTTGGCAGACATGTACGATGCTCTCCCAGTCGTTGGCCCTCGCATCGATCACCATCTGCTACGCTTCGGTTCTCGACTCTTTAAACAAATTGCCAAGTACCCACCCTCATATCTCAAGCTTGGATATCTGTCCCGAAGCCGCATCATCTTCTCGGAAGCTCTGACACACGTAGTTGGTCAGTGGCCCTCAGCATATCCGTACTTAAAGCCTCCAGATCAGACAGGCGGCGGTTACGAGGTGCCTCAGTCTGTCATTGATCTTATCGAGGACAAAGTCGACGAACTTGAAGAGCTCAAGCAGAAAGTGGAAGCTAAGCTTTTCCGCCTGACTATTACCACTTCTCGCGGCGAACGTGTCAACCCCAGCAATGACTACCTGGGGTGGTTAGCGATGAGCCTGTTCCGTCAATGGGTGGCCGAGAACACCACACCAGAAGTACGCGGCATCTTGAAGAATAGTCCTGGCTCCCGACCTGGTAGCGGGAATGCAAATCCTGGACAACCTCCGCCACCTCCAACGTTGTCGCCATCGAGAATATACCGCCTAATTGCGTCTACAAATTCTCAGTCATATCTAGCGAATGACGAGCTCAGACGCTTCCTGAAGTGTCAACCTCACTCATCACGTAATGAGTCACTATACTCCAAGGACAACCTTCGCAGATTTGAGCGGAGAATGGAGGAGATTAAGAACATTGCCAGAGACATGGTGAAGCCGCTAACGCGCAATTGCCTCGAGCTGGACTTGAGACTGTTAAGTGACGGCGGCGGTGGTGGGTTAGGGTATTTGACCTGTATGCGTTGTGAAGAGGATGAAATACCCTGGGACTAAGGTCCTGCTTTTACGTTTTGCACGATCACGACTTACGACTTACGATTCTGTCTTCTATTCGGTTTGACTTCAAGGGAATCTCAACCACAGCGATCTAAGCGGCGGATAGCAAGAGATGGGAAGATGGATCGTCCGAAAACGCGCAAGGTAACGTGTCGAACAGTTTCGACGAATTGGATAAGCCCAAGACTGGCTAGTTGAGAATACAGAGCTACCTCTTGCATTAACTGCCGATGTCTACCAGATTCAGCTCGTTCTCGCCTGGTTTGTTCCAACGTCAGTCGCACACAACTGGCTGAAATTCTCTGACCGGTCTAGCTGTCCGTCCGTTACCGTTACTCTTGCTCATCCTGATGGTAAGGTGCACATAGCGGTACGAGCCTTCCTCGCCAGTTACCCCATTCTTACGCAATACCTTAAACCCGCGAGCGATCTACATCACTAATATGGAGGAGTTGGTTGTGTCGATCAGCCTGTCCGCGAGGCTCCCGCCTGGTGGGGAAAGTGGTCCGCGAACGTTGGCAGCTCGTATTCAGAGCGCTTAGCGGCCTCTTCTCCGCCCCTGTCACGCCCTCACTCGGGCGATGAATGCACGACGAGGTAGAGTAAAGCTTTCAGTGGTCGGCTTTGGTCGTGACAGATGGGATAAAAGGACCAGCCACATGCATCTTCCCAGATGCCTTGCGCTTCGACATGCTCAGCCTGGTCAGGCGTTTAACCAATCTTCATCGACCCATTGCTAATGGCTCGATACCTGCTGTATATGATAGGCTACCTATGTTCTGGGGTGGCTGCCTGTCTTCTCAGCACGCTCGGCGGTCCGGACGTCGAAGCGTGAGCTTCATAGCCTGACTCCCATACCGCTACCACATCGCGAAAGAGGTCTCCCCTCCACGTGCAACGCAGAGTCGCTAGCATGCGATACAAATATCAACTCAATCTTTTGGTCCTACCCGAGGAGACAGCGTATACCCCTATTACGGCGGAGTTCGTGCCACGATCTTACTATATGTCTCATTGGCTAACCCCTCACAGTGTGATCTTCGTGCATGGCCTCAATGGCGATGCTAAAGAAACATGGACTACCCGCAAGACGCGAAGGCGATGGATAGACGATGAAGCATTTCTGCGCACAGGTCTGCGACGTGCAAGGATTTTCACTTTTGGCTACAATGCCAGCGCAGTTCTCTTCAGCTCCAGCGCCGATATCAGGGACATCGCCGCCAACCTTCTAGAGGCTATCCACTGCCAACGAGGCACGCCCTCCGTAAATCCGCGCACATCATTCAGAGGCACGAATTGAGGCTGACATCTTCAGGAACGACACAGGCGTATATTGTTCGTTTGCCACAGCCTCGGAGGTCTGGTGGTTAAAGAGGCATGCTATCCCTAGTAACCCGGCGTTCCACTGAAGAATCCAGCTAACGTTTCAGGCGCTAACCCTCAGTTGTGACGACGACAACTGGCGGCTTGTCAAGAACTGCACAACGGGCGTTATATTTCTCGGTACGACAGACATCTCGTTCCTCATGGTTGTCCTCAATGTCTGAGATTGACAGGTACACCTCATGGAGGTTCTGCACTTGCATCGACTCTGAGATCTTTTTCCTGGCTTGTGGACGCCCCGAACCACCTGGCTGTCATACTCGCCAAACATTCAGAGCCGCTGAAGACACTCAGCTTGACGTTCAAGGAGCATTACCTAGGTAAGTGCAATTTGTTTTAATCGACCACGAGCAAACCTAACGAAAGAAGCCCGGCGGCATCCGGACTATCCTGGAACTCCTCTTCACGTGAAAACGTACTACGAACTACACAAAACGCCAGTCTTTCCATTCTCCGCTCAGCCAGCTTTTCACGTAAGCTTTCGATGCTCACGTCCGGCAGCGTATCTAACATGCAGAAGATCGTGCAGAAGGACAATTTGAAGTCTGGACTCGATGGAGACCCCGGAAAACCATGCGAGAAGAACCACCGAAGCATTGCCAGGTTCGAGTCCCCTGACGATCAAGACTACATATCCATTCTACACAAATTACGCGAATGGATGCTCAAGGACAATCCCGTGCAATACGATCTAGCCCATTTACCAACCTCTCCGACTCTGTCGGCACCAGCACCGACACAGCGTCCCAATTATTTTGAGGTTGAAGCGCCAACTCCCATGTTCACCGGCAGATCTCATGAGCTGGAGCGTCTCAAGAAACAGCTACCGCTACCCGCCCATGGTGAGTCGACTGGCATGTATGGCCCAGGTACGATTGGAAAAACGCACCTAGCTCTCAAATTCGCAGAGATGAGACAGAACGACTACCGAACCGTTGCCTTGTTCGATGGGACTTCCGAGGCCGTCCTTCGAGCTGGTATGGATCGGTTTTTCGATATGCTTGTGAGGCGCCATGACGAGCATCTTCACGACACTGCCGGAGACCCAAGAGACGTATCAGACCGGCCAAAGGCTGTTACAGAGTGGTTTGAAAGCGAAGTCGACTGGCTTCTTATCATTGACAACCTCGACCTACATGAAGAAAACCCAGTCCCAATCAAAAAGTACCTTCCTCGGCGATCACGCGGCCATCAGCTCCTGATAAGTCGGAACAGTGATGTTACATATCATGCAAAGTTTCAACATCAAGTCGGCCCGGTCAGTGAGGGCGACGCTTTCGATATGCTCGTGAAGATTAGCAGGCTATCAGAAACGGTCCTGACTGAAGACCGCGAATCGATCAACCGCATTCTGGACGAAGTGCGCGGTATTCCCGGCGCCATCGAGATGGCAGCCAAGTACATCAAGGGTCACTGCGACCGTCCTAGCGCCTTAGTACCGCAGTTGTTGGACACGTCAGAATCGTTGCGCACCTGGAGCACACGTAACGAGCGAGGTAAGGCATTCGCCATCTGGCACCTAGCCTATGACAAGCTGGAAGAAGGTCCCCAGCAACCACTCTTTCTTCTCCAATTTCTAGCTATGTTGAATGGTTCACAAATTCCCCGAGTACTGTAAGTGACCCTCTTATCAACTCGACATTGCGCTCAAGAGTCCAGCTTCAACCGAATAGCCCATCCCGTGCCCCGGTGGGCGCCATCCGGAGAAGTTGCCAACTTAATGCCACAAGAAAGTCTTGCGTCTTCTCCTCAACTGTCTGAACTACTGCTTGACAAGGAGACCTTCGAGGAGGCGTTGACGAAGCTAAAGAACTCAGGATTCCTCTCCGTCGACTTTGAGTCTGCTTCTTGCCATATTCAGATCCATACACATGCTCAGATGATCGTTCAAGATCGGATGGGCCAAGACCAGCGCCTGCTTATGCTGAAGCTCGCCATCTGCGTCCTCAGCCATGCGTTTCCCGAAGACCCGACCATCGACAACGACTATCAAACCCTTCGATCGAGCCTGACATTGCAGGTTCTACATTGTGTCAAGGAGGCGAAGAAACACGACACGAATGACCTTTCCGAGGTGTTGTCGAAGCTCATCACTATGCTCCTTTCTGCGCTTGAGAGATCGGGCAATGAGCAATTTCTTCTCGAGGACGCCGAGCGCTTTATTGAGCATCAAGACGATGGCTACTATCGTTGCTTGGCTTCCAGGTGGCGAGCATACATGTACCATTCCACGTGCTCTTTGCGGTGGCGTACGACGCTAACGTTCGACAGGCACCATAGGTTGGGCGAGGAGCGCTTGATGCAACAAACTTTAAGTCACAGGCAGAACTACGAACAGCGAACGGAGCGCAGCGAACAAGTTGTCAGCTCGCGTGCCCATGCAGCACTTGGCAACATCATCATGCATCGAGCCCAGTTTCTCACCAAAGCCGGCTTGTATGAGGATTGCGAAAACGCCCTTGGCTCCTGGGTTCAGCGGAGTGGTTCCATGATGGAGAATCATACAATGAGCGAGCTCAAGACCGCAAGTGCGGTCAATCTCTACGCACAGGGAGACCAGGCGGAAGCCATCAGACTCCTGTCGGAAGTGGTCTACCCCTTCATGCAAAGCCAAGGCCAGTTTGGCGGACGATTGCCTCAACGCAACGTGTCGCAACGAGCATTTAATTGGGCGGCCATATCTCTATGCCAGATCCATTGTCGTCAAGGCACGGAAGATCAGCTTCGTGAGGTCATGGACATCATAACACCACTTCTGGCCGTTCTGATGCCGACGGACGAACGCTTCGGATTCGCGGCTTGCGACTATCGCATCTTGGAATGCGAGGTTCTTCTCCGAGGCAAACACTGGGAAGACTTCCAAGCCAAGGCTAATATCCTCATGGAGGACCTGACGCAGCCGCCCATCTACGCCGGCCACAACCCGCGGAGAGAGGACCATCAGCGCCAAGTCAAACACATGCTAGCTCGCTATTTCCACATGCGCGGCGAATGGTCGTACGCCGTCGAGGCTTGGACCGCCGCGCTTGCGAGCGAAAACGTCGATCGTGCCAAAATCGAATCCAACGCCTTCAAGGATGACTACAAGGTTTGCATCTGTGTCTTATCACTCGCGGTGTGCCTAAGCCACAGCAAACAACCACAGGCAGTCAAAACAGCCAGAGTATACTTTGAGGTGCTGGAGAAGCACGTGAATGGCTTGAAGCATCCGGCGGCCGAGCCTGATGCCACGAGATGGCTTGAATACCTTTATACGGACGCGAAGCTGCCGTCGAAATTCCAGAAGAAAGTGCTGGGGAAAGCCCTGGCTGGGGGAGCCCGTTAATCACACGAGGCTGCGAGCCTGCCATGCGTCAACATCTGAACACCTCCCCGCGCAACGGGGGAGAATGTGCTCTGCAAGGAGATCTCATCGGCTAGCCAATGCAACAGTTACTCTTGGCTACGAATTTCGTGACTTTTGATGCGTCGTTTATGAGGAGATCTCTCCTGAGGCCGCCGCCGCCGCCGTGGGTGTGAGAAAGTGATAAGACATTTCTAACCTTCTATCAAACTCCGCTTGTGACGTGCGATTAATGACTTGACTTGCTCCAATAAACGCCTTCGAAAATGATAGATGAGGTCTGGTCTGGTCTGGTCTAGTCCGACCTGAATCCCTGCAGCAAACTTTACTAATCTGGCCATCCCAACTCATGCTTGTCTCTCCCAAATCGAGTTGACTTCTCGTGCGATTCCAAACGAGTGGGTTTCGGGCCGTTTTTGGGAATGAATGTGCCGCGTTGGCGTGTCCGAGATGTCCAAGCCTCCGGGTAGCTGTTGACCGCGAGGCCATGACTCGCGACGACGCCGTTGATTGCCATCATCCAGCAGCCTCTTGAGCCCGAATCGCAGTCCGCGCGCCATATGCTCACCGCCCTCCATCCTCGCCGAACATCTCCAGCTCGTCTTCCTCGTCCCGCCGCTCTCATGACTAAGCCACTTCTCGTCGTGATCTTCCCCCAGTCGACGCTCCTCCCTCTTGCCCTCCTCAGAATCCTGAACATCGATTCAAATGCCCAAACCCCAACCCCCTTTCTTCCCATTATGCTCGGCCCTGATCATATCTCTAATCTCCGTCCGAATCGCGCTCAACTCGGAGCGCTGCTCCTGCAGTAAACGTGCATGCTCGGCCTTGAGCACGTGGAATTCCTGCTCCAGCTTCTCGTGCCAGGGGAAGAGCACAAAGACCTGGAAGGAGAGGGCGGAGGTGCCGATGAGGAAGTTGGTGAGGGAGAAGCCGCGCGTGATCAGCATCGTGATGGGGGCGTGCGTTTATGTGTGGGGTGTAAATAAGGTTTGAACCCGATGTGGATGCGGGAATGGTGGTGTGACGGCGACGATCAGCGGTGGTGTCCGTGCTGACTGAGCGCTGTCGTACTTGGACGTTGGTGCTCGTTGTTTTCGATGGCGGAGAGCCTGGCGAGGTTGGTACCAGCTCACTTTGTGGTGTTGAGTTTCTAATAACGGTCCGTGGATGGTCTATATGTCGGTCTTCGTCTTGATCTTTCGTCTTTGGTGTATGTCGCAATCTATGGGCATCTTTTCTAATGCGGAGATCTAGTCGCAGAATGTAGAAATGAGGTCGACCAAAGAGACAGTCTGAGTGAGAGAGTGGAGAGGAGATGCAAATAATGCAAGGAACGCAACAGCAGCTGAACGACCCAACAGCAGCAGCAACAGACTGATTATACCGAGGGATGCTTGGAGAGAAGAAGAAAAGAAGTTCCAACACATCGAAATCGGGTAGCAGAGAACCTTCAAGAAAAGTACCTCGTGCCTTACCTTGCCTCGCCCGTGATCCTCGGTCACGCTCTCCCTTGCCCTCCCCACCACCTCTGACCGAACGTGGCACATCTGCACGTGCTATGCCTCCCGGCCTTGTTACCTTACCTTGCTAGGAAATCGTCTTGATCCACTCTAGACCTCCGAGGCATTTTCTTCGAGAATCGGATGTCTGGGCCCTGCGCGACGGGCCTGCGTGATGAGGCTGGGCTACTTGCCAGCAACAAATCGAAACGCGCTGAAAGGTCTCTGACTCGAAACTCGAAACGAACGGCACGCAGGTTTGATGTGAAAGGGATCCACGAGGGACGAAAAACAATTGCCGCATTTCTCGGGCTATCTCGGACTTGGTTCGGAATCATGGGGGGCCGTAGCCTTGTGCGGTGCGTCGGAACGTGCGAGAGCGGAGCCGCTGGGCTTTCTGGTCATTGCTGCGATCGTGCAAGTCTGCTTCTGACCGTGAGATTGTCGAGATGACTCGTAGTATGAGGTCGATGCAAGGCAAAACTTCAATCAATAGCCGGCTGCTTTGCTGCTCGGGGTCGGATTGGTTTTGCCTTTTTCCGCCCTCCCCGCACGAGGCAACGAGGTCGTCATGGGGCCACCGCCGTGTAGTAGACCCAGATCATTGGTGCTCGAGTTCATCGAATCACTCTCTGGTCTCGAGGATCATGCGTAGTCACAATCATTGAGATTCCGAGCAAGGTATCCCCGTCATTGATCGCAGTATTGCCCTATCGCCACATAAATCGCCTTACCCATGGAATACCGTTCCTGGCCCCTCTCACCCCCCAACATGTCCTCCAATCCCACCACGATCCCCTTCACCTACTATCGCGGCGGCACTTCCAAAGCGCTGCTCTTCCACGCGCACCACCTCCCCCCGCCCGGCGGCACGCGCGACCGACTCATCATCCGCCTCTTCGGTTCCCCCGACCCCATGCAGATCGATGGCATGGGTGGCTCCCACCCCGTGACTTCCAAGGTCGCTGTGCTGAACCCGTCCTCGCGCGATGGGATCGACGTAGACTACCTCTTCGGGCAGGTCAGCATCAAGGAGGCAACGGTGAGCTGGGATGGGGGCTGTGGGAATATCAGCGCTTCGGTAGGACCGTGGGCTATTAATGAGGGCATGGTGAGTGTGGGGAGGGAGGAGAGGGATAGCGGCGTGAAGGAGGTGGGAATCTGGATGGTGGGGACGGGGACGAAGTTGGTGGCGTTTGTGCCGCTGCATGGAGAGACGGGTAGGGTTATGGAAAGGGGGGAGTATAGAATTGATGGGTGCCCTGGGTTAGGGGCGCCGATAGTGATGGATTATAAGTTTACCGCTGGTGGGGCAGTGAAGAAGGGGTTGTTGCCCACTGGACGCCCGGTTGATACTTTTTCCGTGAGGGGAAAGGAAGTGCCGGTCACAGTCTGCGACATCGCGCATATCATTGTTTTTGGTCGCGCGGCGGATTTCGGTATCGAGGGAAGCGAAGATGCAAAGACACTCAACGCCAACAGGCAGCTTCTCGACGATGTGCGAGAGTTTCGCGGCAGGGCAGCGGCAATGGTTGGCTTATGCTCGTCATGGCACAAAGTGGACGAGGAGGCGCCTAATTTGCCTTATGTAGTGCTACTGTCGTCTGTAGCGTCTGGCGGGGGCGAAAGCGACGATGATGTCCAAGCACGCCTCTTTCTCGACAACCACTGCCACACAGCCATGGCCGGCGCCGGCGCGACTTGCACGGCTGCTTGCAGCAAGATAGCGGGCACGCTGGTCAACCAAATAGCCAGACCGCCTCACAAGGGCCGCGAAGAGTTTCACGTCAGGCATCCGTTAGGCCACTTGCCCATACAGATCGAGGTCAAGGGGAACCCAATGGGAGATGAGCTACCGGAGTTCGAGGCACTGAGCTTTGTGAGGACCGCGAGGAGGATCGCTAAGGGAGAGCTGTTCGTGCCGGGGGATTTTGACTGGGGCGATGGGCAGGCTATCGATCGGCAGGCCATCAATGGGCACGTGAATGGATCACGATGAAGCATTACTGATCGTCGGGCGAGCGTCAAAAGGACTTGCTATATGCCAAGACTTTTACTGCCTAGACCCATCTGATGGTTATCTTTCGTCCTAAAGGCTCTCAGTGGGTGGCCTATGGTAGACTCAGGCCAGATCAGGTCCTTGTGAGCGTCATATTTTATCGACCTGCCAGAGTGCTGAGACCTAATGCAGAAGAGGCCATGGCGCTTGAACTGACATCAGAGGAGGTCACTATATTGGCCAATGCAACTTCGTGTATCAGGTACTCTAAGCAACAATATTATCTGTGCACTGAGCCCAGGTTCTGGCGTGCTATAATACGTTGAAGAATTTCCGCGTGTAGGGCCTTGCTTAGACACAAGCTCTTAGCCTGCTGCTGAAATCTTAGTAGATGCCGGAGCAAGTGCAGTTCCAGATCTTCGATTTCTTCCAACCCCACATCTGAAGCATAACAATCGTTAAACTTGCATTTGTGCGGGCGAGGATCCTTGAGGGATTCAGCAGGGCCTGTCATTCTGCCGTGCCGCGCGCGTTCATGATGTCTCAGGTCATCGCGGCGCGTAAAGTGATTGAGCATTGCGAGCAGCAGTAAGATCTAACGCCTCTGTGGACATTGATGTGATCGGCGAGAAGGGTTCTGCGGGTGTAGGCCCTGTTGCAGCCATCGTAGGGGCAGTTATGCATTCGAAGATATTTAGCTGACGCCTTAGCTGGCGCGACCTTCTTGTACGGCTGCGTAGCGTATAAAAGCTCTCGCGACGTGGTTCTGACGTTCGTGCAGTCTCGCGAGATCGTGTAATGACCGGTTTTGAGTGCGACGTGTTTCCGCTTCCTAGTCGAGTAAACCGCCGTCATTCGCGCAAGCAGTCGTGGATCTAGAGACCGAGGTTCCGCCATGTCATCGATCAGCGTGTTTTCGTACTTGTTCAATCAGGGATAGACGCTGCTATTGGTGAATCTTTTGCGCACTGGTGACGTTCCAGGCCCCAGCTCGAGATGGGTCTCTTCCAAGCAGATATCTCGTGGGCGGCGCATGAAGTCAACAGGATTTATTTGCAGTGGCGTCTTCGTTGATCTGGCTAGATCTGCTATCCCCGTCCGGCGGATATCGAGGTTTGTGTCTTAGGCTGAGAGGCTTAGGTCTTGGGGACGGGAGGTAGTTGATATTGCCAAGATCTCGCTTCGCCTCCTCTCTTCCTCCAATCAGAGCAGGGCACGAGCTTCACGCACAACGTAAGCGCCGTGGGTATAAGATGGGGACACGATTCTGTATTAGATGTATATGTATATGTGTTTGTATCTTATGAGTCTGCGGCAAACGATGGTATTTAAATCCAAGGGTATATTGCATTCTTCAAAATGCTCCAAGGAGCCCCCCTCGGAATCGCGATGTATAGCGTGCCAGACAGCACTTTACGACTTGGCCTTCATCTTCTTGTCGTCTTCATCTTCGTCGTCAGACTTCTCGAACCCCTTGGCCGCTGTTGCGGGGGACTCGTCAGGATCGGCCGCAGGAGGGGCTTCTGCTGGTGTTTCAGCAGACGATTGAGGAGGTACTGCCGGTTTTGATAGCTCTTTGGATTCTGGAGGCGTAGCCTTATAGCTAGGGGGTTTATCCTTGGAGTCTTCAGAGGATTGAGGTGTGTCTTTGCTGGAACCCGCTGAACTGTCCTTCGTATCTGCAGCCGGCTCTTTGCCCTTGGCTTCTTCTGGCGGAGGCGTCGGAGGCTTGGGAGGGGCCGTGGCTGGGCTCTGATCGGGGTCTTCCTCGGCGGGTGGGGCGGGAATGGCAGCAGGTGGCGCAGATGGATCAGGGGCACCAGCTGCCGGGATTGTAGATGGAATCGCGGGCAGGGTAACGGGCGCAGGAGGGAAGCCACCTCCAATACCAGCTCGAGACCGCAGCGCCGTGCCACTACCATCGGTTTGACCCATCAGATAGTTGTCTGGATTGGACATCATAAAATTCCGGGTGGCCTTCTCATAGAGGCGCATGAGGCGGGCAACTTCACTGCGAACGGTAACCTTGTCGTCGATATCTATCTCGTCGTAGCCATGGATCCCTTGAGATATGCCCAGCCACATGGTTTCGGAATTCTCAATCTCGTCCACCACGCGCTCTAGGTCGTCTCGGAACATCCGGGTCCGCGCTGGTTGGCCCCGGCTCTTGAGGTACGCGACCAGGCCAGCAATTACCGTGTTCATCACGCCAAAGACCGTGATGAGAATATGCGAGCTTTCGCTGGCTCCTAGGGCGGTCATTGTCGCGCCCAGTAAGACTTGAGACAACAGCAGTGTGTTGTTGAGGGCCGCCATGAAATCTGCTCGAGTCAGCCATATTCTGCACCTTAGCCGCTTCCAGGCTATTGAACAACGTGAGGAGGGAAGGAGACTGACTGTGCGACCGCCGAGCCTTGGTATACCGATGGGTTGCTCTGCCATAGAGAGTTTTGGGCCCGATGTAGGGGTGTTTGTCCTTGGCATTGGATGGAGGAACGCCAGAGAGCGCGCAGAACTGCTTATGGGGATCATCTAGAGCACTCGCATCCCATAGCAGCGGTGTTTCCTCGTCGGGCATGACTCTGATGACGTGTTGTTCGCAGCGGCAGACGGCGTAGATGAGCAATTATCTGGCCTTGGAGTATTATCTCCAGGGTTGGTAGCTGCTGGAGGGATTTTGAAAGGTCACACCTACCTCGCGATAAGAGTGAAAGGAAGACAAGCTTACCGTAGCATCGTGGAGGGGTGTCGTGTCACTCTCGGCGGCGTGAGCGATGGTTGACAGCGCCAGTGGGATAGCTTTGATAGCAAAGGCATTAGCTCCGCTCCGGCCAGCGCTAAATCAAGCCTCGCTTCGGCGCACCCGAATCCGCTGTCGAGTAAGCGCCGATGCCCCACGCCAACATTTTCCCCGCTGGCGAGTCCAAGAATTCAAGATTGTAACGCATTCTATCATTGATATCTTTCTACTGGCTGTGATTTACCCCCAAGAGAGGCTGTCTCTCACTGCTTGCCGGTGTGGTCGTCCCTGTCGTGGGACGTTTATCCTTTGACAGAGACAGCCACCGTCAGAAGTTGCGATTGCGGATGTTCCACCACTTCTTCTCACCATCAGTCGGAGATTCCATGGCAGAGGTGACTGGCCGTGCGACATTTTCCTCATCTGCGCCATACGCCAAGCTGGGGTCCTCGAAGTCGCCTATCTCCAGCCACTTACCGGTCGGGCTAGTAGCTGGAACAGGGACGACGCGACACAGAATATAGTAGATCCCACCTGAGACGATGAAGCCAGTGAAGAAATTCAGCCGATACACGTAGGTTGCGCCAATGGGCACGGGTGTCCCCACAGCTCCGGCAAAGCCGACCACATTGATCAATATGCCACAGATGTACGCAACGTAACCACGCCACTGAATGCCCCAAATACCGTAGTAAGGACCATCGCTCTCAGGACTAGCCTAGTCAGCTTTGGTCTGTCACAGGGGAAGCAAATACTCACTTGTACAGATCACGGATCTGGAGATAACCTTTGCGAACAAAATAGTAGTCGATTATCATCGGTCCTGCGATGGATGATAGGAACACGGAGTAGGCCGACAGGTAGGTGGTGAAGTTGCTCGCAGAAGTGAGGAATTGCCAGGGACAAATGACGATGCCGATGGCTGCACAAATATACCCACCACGGCGAATGTTGATATACCGCGGCATAAGGGCAGTCAGATCAGTTCCGGCCGAAATCGAGTTGGCTGCAATGTTGACACCCAGCTGCGCGACCACAAACGTGGCGGCAATCAGGAAGACACCGGCACGATCGCCTGCGCTTCCGACGCCATTCTCGATATCTCCATTGGTAATGAACTGACGCATCAGATCGAGGGGATTCCAAACTGCACCGAGATCTGGGTAGATGACCGCCGATGCCGAGCCCGCAATAATGCCAATGAAAGAGGTCAACCCGAAACCCATGGGAATCGTGATACCCTGGGGCCAGAGAGCAGCTCCTGGAGTTGATGCAAAACGGGCGAAATCAGGGTCGTTGACGATGAGCGTCGCAAAATTGCTGATTGACGCCATGATCCCGGTAATGACCCCCCAAGCTAGGTCAGAGCCCTCGGCTGTGTGTCCTTGACGCACGATGGGACCTACACCCCCGGCCCGGACGACTGACCAGATGAGTAAGGCGATACCACCCGCAGGCGAAACAATGGCTTTGACCGTGAACAGGTGTCGAATCTTGTGCACAGGGAACCAGATGAATGGCAGCGATCCAAGCCAGAAGATGATGAAGCCAACCATGTAGTTGACAGTCGCCCCCATCGCAAGCGAGCGGGTCAGGCTCGGGCTTTGGCCGAACGAGGGCCAGATGGAGGCAATCATCAGGAAGACGCATTGGCCGCCGATCCAAGACTGCACGCCGTACCAGATGCAGGCCATCACCGCACGGTTCAGAACAGGCCATAGCGAACCCCAGATACCGAAGGAAGCTCTGTTGACAACTGGAAATCCAATGTGGTATGTTGCGCCGATCCGACCAGTTGCGACGATGAAGAACCCAGCAATACTATATCCAACCCAGACGCAAAGCCAAGCCTGCCACCAGCTCAAGCCTACCTCGAGCGAAGAAGCAGCAATCATCCAGGTATTGATGTTGAACGAGTCAGCAATCCAGAAGTTAATGAATGAGATGTGCCTCCATTGTCTGCGCGCTGGCTCGACGGGTTTCAAATCATGGTTGGTGAGAAACAGCTGCTTGCTGCTGAGACCAGGCTCGGCATTTGTTTCCTGTGCTGATCAGCCACGCAACATCACGCGACCTAGGTGGTAGGTACGTACCAGCTTGCGAAGCCATGAGCGGGAGCTCTTCTCCGGGGGCGGAGAGGTGCCGTCGTAGGTGTGGGATGCCGCCATTGATACCGGGCCTGTTCGTGGCAGATTCTGAGTATCGAGAGGTCGAATCTCAACGATTCAGCGGGCAACTGAGATATATGTGGTTCCGCCAAGAGTAGCAGAAGAACTGTTACTTGGGACCACACCTGAAGATTGTAGCATCAATGCATGGCAGACATACTCCCACCACTCAGAAGCCATGTGTTTCTCTAGTGCTATCAGCATGATGGCAGCGAAGCGTGGATGACGATTAGCTGAAGCGACCAGCAAAGATTGTGTTGCAATCGAATCGAGTAACACGCGGGGAGCAGGGTTTGGCGCCCAGACGCTTTTTTGCCCAGAGAGGCCCGCTCCGTTCACGTCACAGAGGTCATGGCAACTCTGGGCAATTGATAAGGGAGCTTGAGCCACTCAAGCAAAGACCTGGAGTCATCGCTCCCCGAGTGCTTGTATACAGTAGTCAAGTCAGCCGGCGGCCCTGACCAACGACGCTCCAAACTTCGTCTTCCGGCAGAAGCCTGGTGTGGCTGCATGGGAGCGGCGAGACCGCATGGCACGTCATCGTCTTTGACGATAAGCTCGTCCGAGCAAACGCCTTCTTCACCAAATTGGGGTCAGGTTTTTGGTGGTTGTTGATGTCGACCATGAATTTTAAGACTGAAGATTTCCCGCTGCGTCAGTATCGCAATGACGCGCGTTGAGTAACGGTCCGGTGAAGCAGGAAGTGATTGATCGCGCGAGCCTCACACGCACGTGGATTGCATACGAAATGACCAACCAGCAGGACGCCTGAGAACCAGGCGAGCCAGGGGTGCGCGAGAAGCCCACTGGGGCTTACCTAACCTTCTGCAGTGATCTGCTCCTCTCCGGCATTGGGGCTGCCAATGGGCAGCTCTCCAGGCCGCTTCCGCCCAAACTCTGCCTTAATCATGCCCTCTTCGGCTTCGGGACCTGCGACCCTCCAGCACCATCACCTTTCGAGCGCAACGCATGAAAGTTGAGACTCATGAGTTAGGTCTCCGTGCTAACACCGTCAGCTGAATATCTGACCCTACTGTAGACCATTCCATGTTCCTTTGCCAATACGTTCGTCCCTTCCAGGGGCCACACTTACTACGCCATAGATGCTCTACATCTCGACAGATCTGCCTCTTACACGGCAACGATGTTGGCCCACCGGCCGTCTCCGACCTCTTCCAACCTTGTATCATTTGAGGCATACCAAGGCCCATCAAAAGTGTCGCAGCAGCCGAAAAAGAAAACGTCGTCCTCCGCCCACTCCAGATCGGCAGCAGAACACCCAAGCAGCACCCGAGCCACGCGCGCATGGAAGCTGGTCGATGCTAACAGAATTTTGACCAAGAGGAAGTATGTAAGAAAACAGCAAAAAGCACACAGTGTGAGTGGCAGCATTACCACCGAAGCAGGAGCAAAAGCCGAATCATCCGACGACCGCACCCTCATTCCTTCAGACCAAAGTGCCAGAAGCTTGTCCTGGCCGAGTCCACAATCCAACATTCGAACGGGCGGGTTAAGAGGCAATCCTTTTGCGTGCTACCCAGACAACAGTCCTTCTGTACATGGCGCCCTCGACTTCCTAGTCAACGTCATTGGAGCCAATGCTGTACCCGGGACCATACACAAGAATGGGTTCAGCCCCAAAGCATCGGCCTTCATTCACCTGGGCTTCGAGCATGATCTTGTGTTCCACGCAGTCGTCGCCTTCGCTCAAGGATACGATGAAGTTGCCAATACCGGCACTACGGAACCTTCTCCAGCGGTCCTGTATCACCGAGGCAGAGCTACGCAGTTGCTCTGCGATCGACTGAAAGACCCGCTGACTCGCGCCGATGATGCCTCGATTCTGACCACCTTCCTCTTAGTCGATAATGTGTGGAGGTACGGTGAGAACGATATTGGCCGCGCCCACTACAGTGGCCTGCTAAAGATGATCGAGATGAGAGGCGGCCTCGACAAGCTTGGGGTGAATGGCGTTTTACGATCCGTGATTGAATTCGCAGAAGTCACAGATATTGGTGACACTATGCGCAGTACTATAACCCCGGCTTTACCTGACCTCAAATACTGTCGACACCCGTTCCCGCCCCAAGTCTGTGGCCTGATCGCGAGGTTGCCTGAAGGTTATGCTGAGATGGCCATGCAAGGTTATCTTAGTGTGGAGACTATGGTTACTATCGTCTCATTGAAGGATTGGCTCAACACAGACCCAGAATGTCGCTCGCCGGCTCCTCATCGGCAGATTGGCTCTGCTCGTCGTTGTATGCTTGCTTCGAAGTCCCCGCTTGGCGCCATGACCGAAGAAGCTGTCTGTTTCGGACTCGTTGTTACTGGCATGCGATCCTTCCATGCCAGATTTGCCAGAATGGACCACCCCGTTCTAGACCGAATTGTTGAGCTCGGCGAGCATTTCGACAGCCAGGCGCAAAGCAGCAAGCCGACTGCGGAACGGCAGCATATCGCATACATAACAATGGTAGCTGTCGAGGCTTCGGATAAGTGCATAGAGCTACAAGATCATGTCAGAAAGCTCGTCGATCTCCTGATCAAACGAGAGAAGTTCGCTGCGAGCTGGGGTGGCATGGAGAAAGCCATGAAGCGATTCTTCTGGATTGACTTTGCCGCCTCCAGATGGAAAGAGTGTTGGACCAAGCATCTTCGACGCCGGGCGGAAGAGCAGGCTCTGGCCAAGGCAAGAGCGGCTCGATCATCCGAGGGTGCATCGATCTGGGCTACCATGAACTCAGCACTAAAGTGAGCGATAGTCATCTAATTTTGGTGTGTACTATATGCAGACGGGATGAATCATGGATAGCCCGTCAAATCGTGAAATCCGAGACTTGGTCCTGCGAGCCAAACAGTCTCGAGCGAGCCATCCAGCGGCCCAAGTTCAGGATTGCTCTGCTCTTCTCAGGCTACTGGAAACATCGCCACTACAGGCCGAGTTCCAGATCTCCACGCGCAAGCTTCCGATCCCAGACGTCTATCCTGACGACTTTGGCCCCGACGATCACCTCCGCCGACGGCTTTTCGCCGTCGAACTCGATAATAACCATGCCCTGGGGCAAGTTTCCTGGAGAAGGAGGCTCCGGGTAGGGCAAAAGGCCTTCTACCAATCTGTATGCGACATATCCCTGGCAGCCAGTTTTCGCTGTATATGCCTCTAGCACTTTGTCGAAGCTGCCCTTGTCGGCGCTCTCCGTCTGAACGCTCACCAACCACTTCGAGCCTGCCTTTACCCCGTCCTTGCGATCGACGGTCTCATACGTTCTTAGACCCGCATGCCAGCAGTTAAAAACACTGCCATCGCTTCCGTCTGGCTCTTGTGGGACCTGTTTGCTGGTCCTCGGCATATCATTGAACGGTTGGCTGGCACACCACGCCACGTCTGACAGCTTTACCAAGGCCAACGCTTTCCATGAGAAGTCTCTGATTCTTTCGAGCGCCGCCGCAGGCGCTGCATAGCGGCTTGCAAAGTCTGGATCGCTCCACAGGTCGACAGACGCGTCAGCGTTGATATATCTCAAAGCTAAACCACCGTTGCCCGGAGTGTTGAGGACATCGGTAAGGTGCTCTTCATACCAACTGTCGAATAACTCCTCGGACAGATGTGGCTCGCGCTTCATGATATTACAGGTCACCCACAGCACACCAGGAGTCGGCGTCACAGACGACGCCGGAGTCGACGGCGACTCAGAGACCATTTTGCCTATTCGTGTGTATAGTGTGGTGAAAGAGGTGGAAATCTGAGAAAGGAGAGTTTGACCATAAGCTCGAGCGGGAGGAAGCCGGACTTATCTTCCTAAGAGGCCAGCTCCACATATCTACCATCAGTCTGCTCATCTGTACGCCGAAGCGCGCTTGCGGATGGAGTAGCTCGACACTATGGAACCGATATCAAAGTTCACTCGCGTACATCCGCCAAGATGGATTACCTGGAAGCGGGGAACGAAGATCCGCGGCTCGTCAATCCAGGATCTTTAGCCCGTGCCAACACATACCTGCAGCAGTGTGTGCGTTAGAGTGTGGGTAGCCAGTGTTTGGTGCGAACCTGCTTGACACTGTGAAACGTTAGACGACTTTCCCGAGGCTATCGGTCTCTGGCCTATGAAACGTCGCTGAAGATCGGCATGCGTGCATGCGGGTCTTTTCGCATTAATGACATTCTTGCATGATGCAAAGATCCGGGTACTGACAGTACTTTGGGGCAAAAGCAGTTTTCCGCAAAACGAAGAGAACTCGCTCGAATATACTAGGTGGTAGAGCAATTCATACAAAGTCCACCCACACCCATCAGACCTGCCACCACATGCTCTCGCGCCCCTACCGACCCCGTGCCTGCGCGCCCACATCCCGCATCTCGGATTCCACCTCCACTCCCGCCACCAACCCCTTCCACTCCTCCCTCACTACCACCCCCTCCCACAGCGCCCGCCACGTCTCCGCATTGTGCATGTACGCCGTTCCCTGGCCCGTCCGCCTTGCCCGCTTCCCACCATCGACGTCGCCCACCTGACACCCCAGCCCCAACGCCCTATTCCGCTCTTCCTTTCCGTCCTCCTGCTGCCCCCCACCGCCGCCGTCGTCGCAACAGCCTCGCCACCCGCCCCGCTACCCTATCCTGCGCCGTCCACTCAAACAGGTGGAACACGGCCGTGGCGTGCACGAATTTGACGCGCCCGTCCAGCACGTCCGCGGGCGCGATGAATTGCGTGGCGCGCGGTAGGAGGGACGCGTCGCGGAAGAGCTCGTCGCCTAGGGCGATGAGTTCGGGTTTCAGGTCCGCGCCGTAGAGGTGGGGGGCCATGTTGGCCAGTGTGGGAGGCGTTGGAGGCGAGGGGTTGGTGGGGTGGGTCAGGTTGAAGAGGAGCCTCCGTAGGTCTTGGCTTGGGCAGCAGCCAAGGTTGAGTAAGGTGCCGAAGGTGTCGCCGCTGTTGGTGTTGTTGGCGTTGTTGTGGTTGAGGATTAGGCGCTGGACCGTCGGGGAGAGGGGGTGGGTGGAGAGGTCGAGAGAGGAAGCGCCAGCGACCGAGGCAGGGGTAGATGTGGTGGGCGTAAGCGCGGTTGCGGAGCGAGAGAAGGTAGGTTTCGGGTGTGATGATGGGTGGGACGGCGTTGTGGTAGGTTAGCAGAGGGGTGGGGGTGTGGGTTTGTAGAGTGTCTGGGCTGGAGGTTGAGGTTGTTCGGTGGAGGTATCGATGGGAGGCGGGGTTTCTGGGGAGGTCATTGTGCTGGCGGAGGGCTGTGGAGGTTGCTGGGAGTGTGGATGTTGAGGTCACTGCTCTGGAGCCTGAGTGACCGGTGCGCCGTATATATGGTCGAGAGGCTTTTGCGGTTTGGAGCAACGGATCGAGATTGACACAGGCTCCTAGTTCCTCTATGCTGCTCTCGTGTATCGAAGCGTGAAGTCTGGGTGGTCAGCGTCGCTGGATCAGCGATATCTTCGAATGGACACGCAGCGTGCTCTAGTCGGGGCACTTTACATATGTTTGTTGCCTTCCCAGCAAGCCGAGCACGCCATGCAGGCATTCGGACTTTATGATACATTTGACCTCTGTCCGCGATACGTCGGATTTACTCTACGACGAATTGACACGCGGCGATGATTGACCGACGCCGCAGTCGGCGCCGTTGCGCGGAGGGGTTTAGCAGTCCTGTGTTAGAGGCAGTTCGCTTGCAGGGATTCTCAATGCACGCCCATGCGGTGGAATGTCTTGGCTTGGTCGCGTTAGGGCACATTTGGTTGGATTCGTTGTATTCACTTGCCGTGTACCGACGCCGGTATTCGATGCAGTATGGGGGCAAGTCGGACAGGCGGGCGCTCGGAGAGACGTTGCAGTAGTGTCCGCATTCGAAAGTGTCGCGACATGGAGTGGGGGAGATGAGGAAATATAATAGTTACAGCATCGGCAGTGTTCTCCACACGGACATTTGCATCCGCAAGCACAGTCGACATATTGGCGTCCTCGAAGTTTCAGGGTTGAAGTTATTGTTCTATATAGCTGACAGGCATCGAGGCGTGTTCTCTCCTGGAGCGTAAGTCACTGAGGATGTGGTTTGTCATACCAACGATCGTCAACCGTTGTTGCTTCCCCGCCGCAGATAACACGAGGCAATGAACGCGGGCCAAAGAGGGACTTGCGAAGAGAGAGCTCTCGTGCGGTAGCCTGGGACGTGGTTTGCGATGTGCTGGCCCGCAGGCTGTGGGAGAGGGTCCTCGAACCACATTGCGAGGATAAGCACAACGGGTTCCAGACAGGAGTAAGCGTCGATGCGGTGCAGTACTACCAATTCGCACCCTCGATGTCGCATCTTGCTGGGCCTACATGCCCTACAAGAAAGAGCAGGCAGATTGATAGCTATCACTCGAGCTTCCACGTCTGTGAGGATTTCCCGCCCCACTTGACCTCGATGTCCAAGCCGCGAGACTCTTCTCTTTTCCTATACGATACTGTGCCCTCCAAGGCATCGCCGGCTGTGAACTTGTCCTTCGGGTGTTCGATTAGAAGCACACCCTGCTGCCAATGGGTCGGTGTGCCAGCCGGGCTGGTTGACAGATTCAGCCACCTGTTGTCAATGGCCTTGCTTGTTGAGTCGGGGGCGAAGGGCGTGTCGAACCAGATGATAAAGCCCTCCAGAGTGTCATGATCATCCTTCCAGGTCGTTGTGAAGGGTTTCGTGAACGAGAGATCCGCTACACTTGCAGTGTGCAGATTCAGCTCAAGAATGGTAGCCGCCTCACCCGCTAGCTCCTTCGACTCCATTGTTCGGATGAGGACTTCCTCATGTGCCTTCTCTATCATCGCTGTCATGTCAAAGCCGTAGACATCACGCCAGAAGTCGATATGAGAGGTCCGCAAGTCCGAGTCGCCCAAGGGCGCAACTTTGATGACGGCATGAGAGGGTACCATCAATCCGCCAGGCGCAAGGTATTTGTCTCGAGCGTAGATGACAGAGTCCAGCATGGACTCATAAAGCAGGCAGTAGCCCATCCATTCCGACACAATGATGTCGACTTTGGTGACCGGTAGAATTACCTCTTCGATCTTCCCTCGAACGCAGGTGATGCGATCGTCCAGCTTGTTCTTGAAGACGTTCTCTCGCGCCTTGTTGATGATGTCGGAGTTATCAACGGCTACAACTCGGGCAGCACCGGCGCGAGCGCAGAACATGGACAGAATACCGGTGCCGCAGCCCACATCAAGTACAGTCTTTCCGGTGAAGATGTGCTTGTTGTCGTAAATGAAGTCTCGGTAGGCATCGGTGCGAATGGTGTCCTTGATCATGAGCTCGTGAATGGTGTTGTAAGAGTACGAGTCAAAATAGCCGGCGTCCACCTGACTCATGTTGCCGTTGGTCTGGGATCCCGTTGGCTTGGATAATTCAGCTGATTCGAGGTCTGATAAGAGAGAGCGCTGCACCTCCTCACGGTAGCTTTGGAACTGGCTGCTCAATTGAGCCAGCTGCTGTCGAAGCTCTTCGACCTCATTCTGTGCGCCGTTTCCGGCTCCATCCTCGAAGACGTCGTCAAGGCTGTAGAGCAACGCATCGTCTTCCAAGACAGGCTGCAGGTATTTATCGTCCTGGAATTTTGAGGCACTGCTCAGATCTGGCCGACGGCTACCGGCTTTGACCTCAGACCTAATGTAATTGACGAGTTTGATCAGATCCATGAAGTCCAAACCTGCTGCTGGTCAGTCAAGTCTTGATTTGCAACGAGACCACCTCTACCGAACTCGGACCGCACCTTCCAGATGTCAAATCCGTGATTATCCTTGCAGGAGGAGAGCATTTCCTTGGCCGACCCGAAGGTTTTGTCATCGAAGAGTGAGACAAACGTGATGGCCTCTGTGTCGTCCTCGATATCCTCCCATCCTTCCTCATTTCGCTGATCTAGAATGTCCGAAGACGAACTATCGCTCTCCGCATCCATATTCCGAAGTAGAAGCGCAGTCAGAATGGAACGGAATTAGGAAGACGTGGTTTTGGTTCTGACTTCCGCGGATCGAGAGCACACAGCCTGGAGTTCGCTTACCTTAACAAAGACATCATAGAAAGAGTTGAGCGGCCGCTGCCTCAACGACAGCACGGCAGAGAAAACCTCGATATCGAGAAAATCGGCGTCTGACGTACCAAAGTGCGCCAAGAGGTGGTCATTTGAAAGCTCCGACTTCGGTTAGAGCCAGTTGGAGCCCGTCTGGGGTGCTCGACCGCCCCTGGCATTAGCGAACAACTTTTTTTGTGACTCAATGCTTCTCATCTCCACGCAACCATGCCCCAGCTCAACGGCGTCAACGGCGCCAATGGAGCTTCACAGGAGATACGAGTCAACCTCCTGGGCAAGGAGAGCATCATAATCAACTTTGGACTCTGGCGAAATTACGTTGCCCACGACCTCTTGACCAACCTCAAATCATCAACATATGTTCTCATCACCGACACAAACATCTCCAAGCTCTATGTCGACTCGTTCAAGGCTGCCTTCGAAGCCGAGAGAGGTGAAGCGGCTTCCAGACTCCTGGTCTATGAAGTTCCGCCAGGCGAGAGCTCAAAGTCACGTGAGACCAAGAACGATATCGAGGATTGGTTACTGCATCAGAAGCCTCCATGTGGAAGGGACACTGTTATCATCGCTCTCGGTGGAGGTGTGGTCGGTGACTTGACGGGCTTTGTCGCCGCGACCTACATGCGTGGTGTCCGCTTCGTCCAGGTGCCAACTACCTTGCTTGCCATGGTCGATTCATCAATAGGCGGCAAGACGGCAATCGATACTCCCCTCGGCAAGAATTTGATCGGAGCGATATGGCAGCCGGAGCGAATATATATAGACCTGGACTTTTTGGGAAGCTTGCCAAAGAGAGAGCTGATCAATGGTATGGCTGAAGTCATCAAAACGGCTGCCATTTCCGAGGAGGAAGAGTTCGCCTTCCTTGAGGCTAACGCCGAGATCATTATGAATGCTGTCAACGCAGACATGAGCAGGGGTGCGGCGCGATTCCATGGCATTGAGAACATTCTCATCCGAGCCATTTCAGAATCTGCCAAGTTCAAGGCTCGAGTAGTGACAGAAGATGAACGAGAGGGTGGTCTGAGGAATCTGCTGAACTTTGGTCATTCCATCGGTCATGCGATTGAGGCCTTCCTCACCCCACAAGTGCTGCATGGCGAATGTGTGGCCATTGGAATGGTCCTAGAAGCCATCTTGGCGCGCTACTTGGGTGTGCTCAGCGGTGTCGCGGTTGGACGTTTACAGAAATGCTTGGCCGCCTACAGTCTCCCTACCCAGCTTGAAGACGACCGGATCAGACAGCTATCCAAAGGCAAGCACTGCCCGCTCGAAGGACTGATTACAAAGATGAGCGTGGACAAGAAGAATGTGGGTGCCATGAAGAAGGTGGTCCTGCTATCTGCTATTGGGCAAACATACGAGCAGAAGGCCAGTACTGTCTCTGACGCAGATCTAAGAGTTGCCCTGGCCCCAAGCATCCAAGTCACTCCGGGTATCCCTGCTGGACTCAATGTCACCTGCACTCCACCAGGCTCCAAAAGCGTCTCGAACCGTGCTCTGGTTCTCGCTGCTCTTGGTTCAGGAACTTGTCGAATGACGAACCTCCTCACTTCTGCCGACACTGAGGTCATGCTAGATGCTCTTTCAAGGTTGGGAGCTGCCACTTTCGAATGGGAAGACGATGGTGAAACTCTGGTCGTTCACGGCAAAGGTGGTAACATGTCAGCTTCCGAAATGGATCTCTATCTGGGAAATGCGGGAACCGCGGCTCGCTTTCTCACCACAGCTGTGACCTTGGCCAAACCTAGCTCGGTTAAGTCCACAGTTGTGACCGGCAATGCGAGGATGAAGCAGCGACCGATCGGCGATTTGGTTGATGCACTCCGCGTCAACGGTGCGCAAATCGACTATCTCGAGAGCAGTGGCTCTCTTCCGCTACGGATTGGCGCCTCCGGTGGTTTTCAGGGTGGTGAAGTCAGACTTGCCGCAAAAGTCTCCTCGCAGTACGTTTCGTCTCTACTCATGTGCGCGCCATATGCGAAGACACCAGTGACGCTGAAGTTGGTTGGTGGGAAGCCCATCTCGCAGCCTTATATCGACATGACTACTGCCATGATGGCACAATTCGGTATCAAGGTTGAAAAGTCCAAGACGGAGGACCACACATATCACATTCCACAAGGCGCGTATCGCAATCCTCCAGAATATGTCGTGGAGAGCGATGCGAGCTCCGCAACATATCCATTGGCCATCGCAGCCATCACAGGGACGACATGCACTATTCCCAATATTGGCTCGGCCTCACTGCAGGGTGATTCAGCTTTCGCTGTGGACGTGCTGAAGCCCATGGGCTGTACCGTCAAGCAGACAGAAACCTCAACAACCGTCACTGGCCCAGCTCAAGGTAAACTTAAGCCTCTACCGAACGTCGACATGGAGCCCATGACGGATGCCTTCCTCACTGCCTCAGTCCTGGCCGCTGTGGCCCAAGATGGAAAGTCATGTACGACCCGTATATATGGCATTGCAAACCAAAGAGTGAAGGAATGCAATCGCATACAGGCTATGGAAGACGAGTTGAGGAAGTTCGGCGTCAAGTGCCGGCAATTCGATGACGGTATTGAAGTGGATGGTATCGACAGATCGAAGCTGAAAGAGGCCGAGGGCGGCGTCTACTGCTATGATGATCATCGCGTGGCCATGAGCTTCAGCGTTCTCGCTCTGGTGGCCAATGATCCTACTCTGATCCTCGAGAAGGCTTGCACGGGGAAGACTTGGCCTGGCTGGTGGGACACAATGCACCAGCTGTTCAAAGTGAAACTCGAAGGTCAAGAGCCAGTGGGTGGCCATGCTGACACCCGAAAACATGTCAATCGCAGCTCGGGATCAATGTTCATCATCGGTATGCGCGGAGCGGGTAAGACGACCACAGGTAGATGGGCCGCGAAGTCACTGGCTAGCGAGCACAAAAAGCTCATCGACCTTGATACGGAAATGGAAGAACGCGAAGGTCGGCCCATACCGGATATCGTTCGCCAGAGCGGATGGGAATACTTCCGCAAGGTTGAGTTCGACATCTTGAAGTCGGTGATGAAGGAGCTTCCACGGGATCATGTCTTCGCTTGCGGTGGAGGCATCGTTGAAAATGCTGAAGCACGAAAACTGCTCGTCGACTGGCACAAGAAGACAGGCCATGTGCTACTAGTAGAACGCGACATCAACCAAGTTATGGACTTCCTGCGAATCGACAAAACGCGGCCAGCGTATGTTGAGGATATGATGGGAGTATGGTTGCGGCGAAAACCTTGGTTCGAGGAGTGTAGCAACATCCTCTACTACAGCCAGCGTGTTCCGGGCGAGAACCTGTCTCAAGCAGCTGAGGACTTCGACCGCTTTCTCCAAATGGTTACCGGAAGATACGACGCTCTTTCTGAGCTGAAACGGAAGCAACAGTCATTCTTTGTCGCTCTCACCTACCCAGATATTCGACCACACCTGCATACACTGCCGGAAGTTGCGTTTGGTTCAGATGCTGTCGAGCTGCGTGTTGATTTATTGAAGGATCCGCAAGCAGATGACGAGATTCCATCTGTCGAGTATGTGACATCGCAACTGTCACTGCTCCGCGCCAGTGTTCCTGTTCCTGTGGTCTTCACCATCAGAACCAGGTCACAGGGTGGAAGTTTTCCTGATGACGCCCACAAGGAAGCACTGGCGCTCTACAAGCTGGCTATCAGGATGGGTAGCGAGTTTGTCGACCTCGAAGTTGCTTTTCCTGATACACTGTTGAATGAGGTCCTCGAGCTGAGGAACAACTCCTTCTCTAAGATCATTGCCTCTCACCACGATCCACAGAGCACGCTCTCTTGGTCCAAGAACGGTTCATGGATTCCAACCTATAATAAGTGCCTTCAGTACGGAGACATTGTCAAGTTGGTCGGCATTGCGCAGACCGTTGAAGACAACTTTGCCCTTCGTAACTTCAAGTTATGGGCTGCCCGATCACATCCCGATGTCCCTGTCATTGCCATCAACATGGGTCGGACAGGACAACTTTCGCGCATCCTTAACAACTTCATGACTCCTGTCACACACCCTGCCCTCCCCTTCAAAGCTGCTCCGGGCCAGCTCTCCGCGAAAGAAATCCGCACCGCCCTAGCCCTCATGGGCGAGGTCGCACCCAAGCAGTTCTACCTCTTCGGCACCCCCATCAGCGCAAGCAAATCGCCCGCCTTGCACAACACACTCTTCGGTGCCACAGGTCTCCCACATAATTATGCCGCCAAAGAGACCGATGGCCTCGCCGTGATCAGGCCCCTGATCCGCGCATCCGACTTTGGTGGTGCCAGCGTCACCATCCCTCTCAAACTCGACATCACCTCCCTTCTCGACTCCGTCGACGAAACCGCACAGATCATCGGCGCCGTCAACACCATCGTCCCCGTCTCCGATTCCAATAACCCCGACTCCGCACCCAAGCTCGTCGGTCGCAACACCGACTACACAGGCATGATGGACTGCCTCCGCTCCGCCGGCGCCTCCGGCCTCCTCGGCGAAGGCGTGCAAGCCGGTCTCGTCGTCGGCGGCGGCGGCACCGCTCGCGCCGCCATCCAAACCCTGCACAGCATGAGCTACAGCCCCATCTACCTCCTTGGCCGCTCCGTAGCCAAAGTGACCGACATGGCCGCCAGCTTCCCGTCCAACTACAACATCGTTGTAGTGGACGCCGCTAGCCCTTCAGCATTGAGCGCCTTCAGTCCCATGCCCAAGGTCGCCATCGCCACTATCCCCGCCAACGTTCCCATCGACGGCCCCCTTGCAGCAACACTCAACAAGCTCTTCCTCGCCAGCAAGGCCGACGGGGGTCGCGTGCCGGGTGAGAGGAATGTGCTGTTGGAGATGGCGTATAAGCCCGCGTACACGGAAGTTATGCGCATGGCGGAGGAAGTGGGGAGGTGGAGGACGATTCAGGGGTTGGAGACGTTGGTCACGCAAGGGATGTGGCAGTTTGAACACTGGACTGGCGTGCGGGTGAGAGGCGTGGCGGGAGGGTTGTGTCGTGTAAGTTCCTTTCTGCCCCTTTTTCTATCGCTGAGTGGTGAGGAAAATGCTAATTGATGATACAGAGGGTTGTGCTCGGCGACAATGCCTGAAGTGCGTTGGGTGGTTGCGATGGTGTCTTGCAGTAGCGGTTCGGAGGAGGAATTTGGGAATACAATAATATTAGAGGCCGGGCAAAGGTCAGGCAGGGTCAAAAGCAAGGTGAAGAGAAGGGGCGTCACTTGAAACGCAATGTAGGCGTCAAAAAATTGATTCCATTCATTCGTTACTATGCTCGCCAACGCCTGCTCGTCAAGGGGTATCCTTTTCGTCTCGGAGTATTGACACATAAAACAGTATTGCACCTCAATCGGGCAAATGCTAATGCTACCGCAAGCGAAGTCGACCTGAGCACCTCATCAAGCCATAGTTCTCCCGTGATATCACAGACCATACTAACCCTGTCTTCCACCCTGCTGCTGCGACCGCTGCATCTCCTCCAGCTGTCGCTGCACCTGTGCGAAAGCCATTTGATTCGCATTGAAGTTCTGCTGACCGGGCTGCCCGAAGTTGAACATCGCTGGAGGGGGTGGTGGTGGAGGCATGCCGGCGAAGTTTGGAAACTGGCCGCCAGGCTGGAAATTGAACGCTCCATTGGGGAGGGGTGAGATGGGGGATGGTGAGAAGGGCATGTTTGGGAAGCTGGCACTCGAGCCTTGTGGGTTGAGTTGTGGCGGAGCGGGAGGCGACCCTTGGGATGGCGGGTACTGGCCGGTTGGAAAGGGGAATGGTACGGGTTGGTTCTGAGCGTAAGCGGGCTGATTCTGCGCGTAGACGTTCTGATTCTGTGTGTAGGGAGACTGAGAGTGACCGCCTCGAGACTGGAAGGCTCCACCTCTGCCGCCACGGTTGTTGCGTCCTCGACCGCGGCCTCCTCTGCTGTTCTGGAAGCTACCGCCTCGGTTGGAGTTCTGTCGAGGTTGATGCGATCCATCGGCAATCTCGCCAGGTTCGGCAGCGCCCATCATTTCATGCAAATTCGTGGGACGACTGAGAGGAGTATAGCCCTCGCCACTGTCATCGTAGTCGAGCGTACTGATGTTGCCATTGGTCTCTGGTACTGATGGAAGTCTGCCACCTCCTTGCTGTCCGCCACGACCTCGACCGCGGCCACCTCGTCCGCCATCGTCTTTACGGCCCTGTCGCCTGAGCTTTATCTGGCGCTTGTGTTCGGCTTCCTTCTCATCATCGGAGAACTCCATTTCATCGTCGCCGATTTCCTCGTCATGGATGTTGGAAGCGTCGCTGCCCTTGATCCCCTTGAGAGGCTGTGTGAAAACGAAGGTCGAATGTTGTTCGACATAGTAGATGGAGATGCCTTTCTCGAACACGCCGGCTTCCTTGATAGCCTCCTCATTCGTGAAGCGTACGGTGTACATTGGTTGTTCGACTCGTCCAATAGTCTCCGCGACAACTCCGATGACACTTCGGTCTTTCAGACACAGTACTGAGCCGGATTCCAGGACACGATATTCGCCGGACGTTTTGGCTTTGACGACGACAGTGTTCTCGACAACGAACTCCACGTTGCCTAGCTCCTCGATTTGCATGTCTTGAGTGACCGCAACGTCGGGCTTGGGTACGACTTCTTCAACCCTTTCATTGTTTGTCCGTAGACCCGCGCCTGCGTTATCCTTGTTCTTGCCCTCATCATCGGAACCGCCGTCATCCATAAGGATGCGTGCAGTCTCTTCTGGATCCATCATAGCATAGTCACCTTCTGCGTCATCACTGTCGTCATCTGAAGAGGAATCGTCTGAGGACGTGTCTGAATCAGACGACTCGTAAGGCGAGGAGTCGGTCTCCCATTCGCGGGCTTCAGGTTCAGCTGGCGCAGTAGTTGATCCGTTGCTCTCAGGCACGGCCCGCGATTCGGCTACGGCTTGAGACTGTATTCGCTCGACAGCTTCGGTTTCGATAGCAGCCATATCGACATCTGCATCTTGTTCGGCTTCTTCTGCTTTGGAAACTTCCGCTGATTCTGGTTTTCCACTTACATCGCTCACCTGCGGAACATCCGCACCGCTTCCAGGAGCAGCTTGAGCTTCAACGGCAGCCATACTGACATCTGCATTTCGCTCAGCGTGTACTGTTTTGCTATTTTCTTCTGCAGGTCTGGGCTGCTCGATCCCCGCAGTGGTCTGCGTCACTTTCGTATCACTGTCAGAAGCCGCCTGAGCCTCGACTTGTTGCATCAACATATCGAGGATGTTATGCTCGGGAGCAATGTCTTTGCCATCTGGGGCTACGTTCACTGCCGCGCTCGTATGCGCAGCCGTATCGGTCTGCAGTTGAGGTTCGTCGTGCTGAGTTGATTCCTCTGGCGACATGGTTCTCCTCCGCTTCGAAGGTGAGGTTGGAAATTCGGCTTCCATTGTCTCAGGGTCATTGAAGCGCAAACAGAGTCTTCGGAGTCGACATGTTCAGAGAAAAGTTCAGACCTACCCGCGGTTTATCCGGGCGCATGACGTCGGGTCTTGGCGTATTTCACGTATAGCAAACAGTCGTGGATTTGGCGAATAGTCCAAGGACATGAGGAAGTAGATGCAGCGAGGAGAGATGGCTGAAAGGTGAGTCCATCTCGCAAGGATATGACTTGTATCTAAGTGGGCAATTCTAGTCCAGGGAACACACATCGCCAACCGCCTCCCAGCCAGTTCTTTATCCCCCTGAACACAGCATTATGGCTTTGCGCCATTTCTCATCTCATAGCAGCATTCAAAGCTCCCGTGCAAGACTGCGATGAGACATTCAACTATTGGGAACCGTTGCACTACTTGAACCATCGTTATGGACTACAGACTTGGGAGTACTCCCCTGAGTTCAGTCTCCGCAGCTGGGCCTACATCTTGATCCATGCTCTTCCCACCGCGTTCGCTGGTTTCCTGGGAAACTCCAAGGTAGCTGAGTTCTACGGTCTACGAATCTTACTGGCTCTGGTCTGCGCGGCCACCGAGACGAGACTCTATTCAGCAATATGCCGAACTTTGAATCCGCGCATCGGCGCCTTCTACCTCATGATAGTTGTCTTCACGCCAGGCTTCTTCTACGCCTCGGTCGCATTCCTACCCTCGAGTTTCGCCATGTACACATCAACATTGGGTGTGACGGCATTCATGGACTGGCATGGTGGCTCTAAGTCTGCCGTAGGGATCATGTGGTTTGGTGTGGGTGCTCTTCTTGGCTGGCCTTTCGCAGGCGCCCTTATCATTCCCTTCGTTTTGGAAGACTGGGCTGTCGGTATCTGGATGGGCGATACCTTTGAGGTCTTCAGGAAATACCTGGACGGCACCGTTCGTTGTTTGATCGTCCTTGCTCTACAGGTCGCTATTGATGCCTTTTTCTACCACAAGGTCGTCTTGGTGCCTATTCGACTTGTCCTTTACAACGTCTTCGGCGGCAAAGACCGCGGCCCGGATATTTTTGGGACTGAACCGTGGGACTATTACTTGCGCAACCTCCTTCTCAATTTCAATATTTGGACCATCCTCGCCATAGCCTGTGCACCGCTCCTGGCCGTTCAATCTCTACTCTTCAGGCAACAAACCACAAAACAAACCCTCCTCCGCACCGTCATCCTAATTGCACCGTTCTACCTCTGGCTCGCCATCTTCACCATTCAACCCCATAAAGAAGAACGCTTCATGTATCCCGCCTACCCGTTCCTGGCCCTCAACGCCGCCATCGCCTTCCACATGCTCCTTACCTGGCTAGGCACATCCGACCCCAAAACTCTCATCGGCAAGATCCCCGCCCGTATCAAGCTGATCTTAATCCTCCCCATCATCGTTGGCTCCCTCAACCTAGGTCTCCTCCGCACCATCGGCACCATAACTGCCTACCAAGCTCCCCTCCAGATCTACGAACCACTCCACAACACAACCGCCAGCGACACCGTCTGTTTCGGTAAAGACTGGTACCGTTTCCCCACCTCCTTCTTCCTCCCCAACGGCGTCCACGCCAAATTCATCCGTAGCGAGTTTCGCGGTCTCCTACCAGGAGAATTCCACTCCGGCAAGACAGGCTTCGGCCTCTTCCCTGGCACGTGGCTGGAGCCGGGGGGCATGAACGACCTCAACCAGGAGGATCTCGGCAAATACACCGACATCGCGCACTGTACCTACCTCGTAGACTCGTACATGCCAGGCACAGACGCGACCGAGCACGAGCCTCTGCACGTGCTGGACAAAGAGACGTGGGAGAAAGTCTCCTGTAAACCCTTTCTCGACAACGCGCGCACCCCGTTCGCGGCCCGCATGATCTGGGTCCCTGACCTGCCTGGCTTGCCGAGAGCGCTACAGAGGCAGTGGGGCGAGCACTGTCTGTTGCGGAGGAAGGGATCGTGAACACAACTCAATAGGTTTCAGAAGAACGTCTCTGGTCGGAGATGCCAAAAACATGCGATGGAACCATTTTTGGGGGTGGCGTCTCCGCAGGCACACTCATACCCCCGCCCGATCGCCCAAATCGGCAAACCAGTCCATTATCGTGTTAGATGCTGCCATTGGCTATTTTCAACCACTTTGTCTTGTATCACTGACAACGATAAGGGTTTTACCACGTCGGATAAAGGCGCCAGAGGAAAGACCGATCGAGGCATGGGCGGCTACTATTGCGTATGGAGGGGTGATCAGCGAGAATGTCGCCAGTTTGATAGGTCATTTAGCTCAATATAAGACGTGAGTGCAGTACTCTCTATATTTGTGTCGGTCCCACTTGAGTCTTCGCTTTAGCAACTCCAGCAAACAGTCAGCATGCGAACGCCAGGCTTCAGCATGGATGTCGCGAAACTAAGAGACTCCCTCCCCTCTAAATCTGATATTGAACACCACTGCCAGAACTTCGCGAAAGCATCCCGCCACCAATTGAGTCTGCTCTCTGCTCACCCATACGCTCGTGAGGTCATCTATAGCCTGACCTTCGTGATCTTCATCGCTCTCGCGCTTCTCAGTTACTTCCGACGCCGGTCTCCAACCTACCCGTCGACGCCCACTCTCGAGAAAGCACCGCCCACTAAACCCGCCGCCCGAAAGCCAGGACACTGGACACCCTCAACTTTCACCACACCGACCCCTCCACCCTACCCAGACTGGTCTCTTTCAGAAACCAAGCCTCTGCCCTACCGCCCATTTCGCTATGGTCCCAAGTACTTTGTCACCATGGGTTTGCGGAACGTACATTTCCATGATTGGATCGAGCTAGACAACCACTATCCGCGCTACCATGCCGACAAGGCACGACGTATCGCTGAGCGGGGCGCCAAATGCTGCAGAACAGCGCCCGAGGCATATCCAGCTGCCGTGGAGCTGTTAGAGGAGCTGGTGGCATATCTTCCCGCGCGTTACCCCAGTCTGTACGCCCGAACTGAAGCAGGCATACGGAATTTGTGGAGTGGCGAGGAGTTGAATATCGTTGAGAGGCCATTACGTGAGGACCCCATGCAGATGTGCGCACGCCTGGTGCAGGATGACCTAGCGATTATGATCGAACGGCCCGATGGGCAGTATTATCTGTTAGCGGGTGCCATTCTGCTGGCTGGTTTCTGGCGACTGGAGGATAAGTATGGAATGGTATTGTCGGAAATCCACACTTCGGGGGATGTACCACAATATCGGGAGAAGCTGGAGAAAGGGATGATGAACTTCTTCCGACGCCTGAAGCCGGAAGAGATGGTTGCTAGAAACAATTACTTCATGCAAGTGGATGAAGATTTGCCGTGGAGTCACAGTATTGGGGACGAAGACAGCACCGATGTGAGTTGGAATACGGCGGAGAAGAACCGTGCGATTGAGCACCATTACTTCCGCAGTGAAAGGCAGACCTTGAGAAGGTTACCCAAGAGTGGAGGTGTGGTATTTTCCATTAGGACATATTTCCACCCTGTCACCGAAATCGCAGAGGAGGACTTTGTTCCAGGCAGGTTGGCAAGCGCCCTTCGAAGTTGGGGTGATGACGTGAGTCGATATAAGGGCAAAGAGAAGTATCAAGACGTCCTGCTTGAGTATCTGGATGCGAAACATCAAGAGCAGGTGATGCGAGGGTTGGACTTTGAGAAGGAAGATGATGTCCGGGCATATCCCTGGTAGATAGCTCAATCGAGGGACGTTTCAGAGCCTTATACATGACTCGTCTCGGGCTTAAAAGCTTCTTGCCTCAGGCTCTTCCTAGCCAAGGCTTCATTGAGAGCTTCACTGTCTCGACTGTGAATCCATTCGCAATCATTCCGGAAATCACAATGTCGACATTTCCATGCTTCTTGCAGCTCAACGCCTTTTGCTTCACGCTCTCCATGCCACCAAGCCAGACTATCCTCTAGGTAGTTCTTGAGATACTCGGCATCGAAGACAAAGGATTTGCGGCCGAGGGAGTGTTGGCCTGTCGTCTCGCCAGGCCGGTGTTGATACCATGCCGAAAGGTACTCCACCGTCAAAATAGGCGACAAACGTGTTGGCTGGTTTTCGGGAACAGGAAGATCGACCAAGGACTGTGGAGTGGACATGGGTATGTTCTCTGCTGGAAGCAGGAATGCCTGTTTCATTTGACCAATCATGAAATCCCATAAGTCTGTTAGTTTGTTGTACCTCAGGAGTAAAACCATGGAATCTTCAGAAGTCGACGAGGTCGGAGTTTCGAGCTCCTGATTGAGGCTTCCCACTTGTGCGATAAATGAGTCGGAGAATGTCTGATTCACATCAAAGCTATAGCGTTCAGCCAGACGTTCAAGAGCGAAATTGCCTTGCGCCATATTCTCCAACATATGATGGTAGAGGTGCAACTGAAGAATGGTTGGCTTCATGGCATTTGGTGTGGGTAGGCTTTTGCTCTGCCGCGTTTTGATGTCCGTGATGTAGATCTTCTTCGACTGTGGTTTCGGTAGAAGCGCATCTGACAATGACTTTCCATTCTCTCTCTTTGCAGCGGTAGAAAGGATATCTTTGATACTTGTTTGATGTTCGGGTACTTCGTGTGCTGATTTCTTGTGGGAGGTCGGCTTTTCTTCGAGGTTTGAATCTGGACATTCGTAGCTGACTTCGTCGATAATGCCGTTGACAAGTTCGCCGCCGACAGTTCCCCAAACCTCAAGCTCTCTTGTTCGGCCGGTTTGTTGTAGTGTTCTCAAACCTTGAATAATGTTCCATATCCGAAGGCCCCAGCCGTCCTCTTTCGTTGGGACATCAACAGGGACGGTAATATGGAGTTCTTCTTCGAGGGCTTGATGAACTTGAGTTCCCTGCTTCATCGCAGGTGTTCGTCTCTTTCGGCCATGCCTTGACAATGTATAGAAGTACTGAAGCTCGCACCAAGATGGAGATACGAGGTCTGTCACGGAGAAGGCCTTCTTGGGCGGTCGGCGGAATCTTTCGAGAGGTGATCGCGTATCTGGTTCCGCTACTTCTGGAGCTGACTCGAGTGCTGTTGTCGGAGCTGATTCGGGTGCGGCTTCTGGGACTTCCTCGCGTCGTATAGCTAATCGCTGGTCAGTCAGAGCGGTTCTTGTCAGGCTGGATGGACTTACCACCGTTGGCTTGCGAGTTGAGAAGACGCGTCGGAGATGCCGGCAATCGAAGCCCACGCGGTGCTTCAACATCTTCTATATCTGCAATGATAAAGTGACGCGTTTCATCAGCTTCGACCTTCTGAAGTAGTTCTTCAAGGATGGTGAGGTCTTCGTTATCGAAATCACTGAAATCATCGAGATCGTGGGACATGACCGCTAGGAGAGTCAAAGGCGTCACGACTTTTCATCCTGCGACAGCCCATTATTAAGGTTGTCATTCTACCAGTAGGCTCCATCGATTGTTGCCTGTGAATAGGATGAGAAGTTGCCCCGCCTGCGATTGGGACGCGTTCTGAAGCCGCTGATGCAGCCGAGACCACATCATCGAATCGTTCAACTTGGTCATGAGCCGGCTGCTGCAAGTGCTTGTCGTTGTTAGATGTGGCTTGGAGCCGTATTTGCACATTAAAAATGTCGAGCATCGATCTACGCGTAGTCGCTGTCGTAGATGTATTGCCAGGGTGCAAGCAAGATCTGTTCAGTAGAGCAGTGAGCAGCGCGTGCCTACCGTCCAATCGAGACGCCTCTACAGCTGTCAAAACTATCTCACGCATTGAAGTCTGTGTGTCTGCTGTCGTGAAATCGCACTCGGAGCCATCTATTGTAGGTGCGCGCATGATCTGAGCCACGAAGCGTCACGCGTTCGTGGCCATCGTGAAGCCATCCGTCGGATGCGTGCAACACCTGTTCATCCGAGCGACGAAGCGACTCTCGTCTTTTGCCTTCATAGCTTGGAGGTTACCGGTCGAGCTTGAGCATTGCTATCATAGATGGCCCTCCACTGAGGATGTACTTCGCTCCCATGAAGTCTGAAATCGACCAGCAAGCTTCTCTCGCTGGCGCAAATCTAAGCAGCGAGGCCTCGCGCCCATTGTTTTCATCAACTCTGACCTACAAAGCCGGGTGAGTTTTGCGGTAGTACCGTCTCATGTGAAGCCTTCTATTGAAATGTGCATTGCTCTCGCAAAATCTATATGCAGCCACCAACAAAGCGTGCTTTGCAGCTCTAACCTACGTCTAGTCTTTCTTGCGCTCGTTCAACTGCGCCAGTGCTCTTCCAGTGTGATGCCCAACTCTTTCGATCTTTTCCTCTTTACGATTCAAGAAGCTCAAGTACGCCTGCCAGCACACGGCGAATATCCCCGAGAACATGAACCTGTATTGCGCTGAGATGAACGCGAAACTGAACGCCGTCACCGCCGGCCATATCTTCAACGAGTTGAGCATGCTGACAGGTACGGCGGCCTTGATTCTTTCGATGCAACCTGACGGGCTCTCGCCCGTCAAAACAGCCTGCATGCCGAAAAAGTAGGCTGTTCATCAGCATCGCCTATATACATTCGAAAAAAACTCACTGTTAAACACCGGCGTGAACACTGCTTGCTGCACGCATACTTTGACCAGAATAGACCCCGCCCTAGAACTGTAGTTGAAATTGTTCCCAAGCCAGAGGAACCACTTGTATCCCGGTACGCTGGCTATCGACCCGATCGTGAGCATTCGCACAGTTCGTATAGGATCATAGTCTTCGCCTCCAATCTCTTGGGCTAGCAGATCGCCTGCCAGATACGTAACGAGCGTCGTACATAGCTGCACTGTGAGCGGTCGTTTGGTCTGTTTACGATGCTACTACTGTCAGCCCCGACCTCGGTCCCGGCGGAAAACTCACAAACCACTGGAAAAAATCGGTCACGGGCCCCAAACGATGGTACCAAAGTGCTGTGGGCACATCTATCGGTGGCTTGTCGTTTTTGGATGAGAAGCTACGCCACGCGACTCGTCGAAGAGGATACATGAAGGAGGGAAGAATTACATTTCGGAAAAGCGCATATCTACGTTGGTGGAAGGACGCGAATTTGTTTTAATTCGTTTGATTGACCTGAGCAGTCTCGCTCAAAGTCGGTTCTGACGCTTTGCTAGTTATGATACAAGCATCAGTTCTGTGACCCATTCCCCATTGTTAACGCATGCCGTTGTGAATAATCCCGTTCGCCGTTGCAATCATCATGAAACCCCTTCAAACCATCATCTAAGAGCGCTCACCACGGAGACGGCGGGCGAGCTGAATGTCCTTGGACTGGATGGTGACACGCTTGGCGTGGATGGCGCAAAGGTTGGTGTCCTCGAAGAGAGAGACGAGGTAGGCCTCAACGGACTCCTGGAGAGCACCGATGGCAGATGACTGGAAGCGGAGATCCGACTTGAAGTCCTGGGCAATCTCACGGACGAGACGCTGGAAGGGGAGCTTGCGGATGAGGAGCTCAGTCGACTTCTGGTAGCGACGAATCTCACGGAGAGCGACGGTACCAGGCTTGTAGCGGTGAGGCTGTAACCATGTTAGTATGATTGCTTGAGCGTTAGCAACGATTTGACTGACCTTCTTGACGCCACCAGTGCTGGGAGCGCTCTTGCGAGCAGCCTTTGAGGCGAGCTGAGGGATTGTTAGTAGAGTCCCATGGACGAAGCGACAGTGAGTTCATACTTGTTTGCGGGGCGCCTTGCCACCCGTGCTCTTTCTGGCGGTCTGCTTAGTGCGAGCCATGGCGGGATTGAAAAAGATGTGGTTGTGTAAGAGTGAAATGTACTCAAATGGGTGTGGCGGATGAGTGGATGGAGAAGTCGGGAAAGTGGGCGGGAGAAGACGTTTAAGTATCGGGGGGGGGCTCACCTGCCGCAGGGTTGATTTGTGGAAAGTTGCGCCTGCCGCCAGATCAGATCAACTGGAACTCAGCCCACTCACATTGGTGACTCCTAGGCCTTTGTTTTTTTGCCATGATCTGGGCAGCCTTTGGATCTAGGCGCCATCTTGGCAGACCACCTCTTGATCCAGAAGTGCATCTCTGAACTCGATTTTCCCATCACGCGGTCGATTTTGTTCGTTCAAACTGTAGGAATACTCAGATAGTAGTTATCCGCTTCCTTCCTAGAGGATCAGAGTCCATCTGTTGTGGATGTCTGGTGATTGTCGAATGAACTTCGGACCGTGTGGCGAGTACCAAAGATCAGTTGGCCCCCACCTTGATACTGATCTGGGGTGACTCGAGAAGGCTAAAATCTGTGATTGGTCAGTCCACCGGGATGATCTGGACGCACGACATTGAGCGCCGCATCATCCGGCCCCTCGCGCTTGTTATAACTGAGCTGCTTGCCCGACTCCAAGTTCCGCTTACTTTCCATCCATCTCAGGCAACTTCATCCAACTCCACCACTTTCGACTTCAACCCTTTCACTCCAACACCAAACAATCAACATGACTGGCAGAGGCAAAGGTGGCAAGGGCCTTGGCAAGGGGTAAGCACATCGTCGTCGCTCTGTATAACCTCGCTGACTGGCCCAGTGGCGCGAAGCGTCATCGCAAGATCTTGCGCGACAACATCCAGGGTATCACCAAGCCCGCTATCCGCCGTCTCGCCCGTCGTAAGTCCTCGTCATTTCCACAGCGTTATCATCGTTACTAAGACAAATTAGGTGGTGGTGTCAAGCGTATCAGCGCCATGATCTACGAGGAGACTCGTGGTGTTCTTAAGTCATTCCTGGAGTCAGTTATCCGTGACGCTGTCACCTACACTGAGCACGCCAAGCGCAAGACCGTCACCTCTCTCGACGTTGTCTACGCTCTCAAGCGTCAAGGCCGCACCCTGTACGGCTTTGGCGGTTAAACTTCTTAATGCACTCATGTTGCGGGCGTCATTCGGTTATGGGGACCTTGGGTTGGTCACGGGAATGGTCATCGATGGCTGAGAGCAGTCCACTGTATGATATGGACTCAATGAGGAAGCAAGCTCGGCGTTTGCCATAGGCTGAGCGATGATGACAGTATCAGCTTCTGCATGAATACAAAAACATTCAATCAATTTCGTCTTCAAGTGCCTGGTGTTCACGACGCGTTTTTGTTGGATGCTCTCCCACTTGCCGAGAGCGTGGCGCTGCGTGTGCGACAAAACCGGGTCAAATCAGAGTGTTTTGGCTCGTCCCTTGGCCTCCCTTGGGTACTCGTGACTCGTCCTCGATGTTTTCGCCGCATCTTCTCGTTTGAGATCGAGCCTGGCGTGAGCTTGAATTGAGTTAGGTGGTGAGGGATGGTTGATTCGTGTCGGGGTCATTGGCATTGGGTCTGACTTTGCCTGTGATGGCGGAGCTTTAGATGTCAGAGACCTTGGTGGTGCTAGAGTTGAACGTATCTTCGTTCAGCTTTCTGTTGTACTCTCCCGAGCATCGCACAGGTCCCATAAGTCGCATTTATATTCCACGAAATCATTAGGTAGCTATGGAGTAGCCGCAACAAAATTCGGACCAGTCTCCATGTAAGATCAGTTCACAATTTGTGATCCCCAGTAGCGTTGCAAACGACAATGGGTATTATGGACTCGAGTGCACAGGAAACGGTAGTGTGCACATCACCTTGCCCGTGGGCAAGTGCTCGAGAGAAATAGAGTAATTTGGTATCTGCCTCTTCGGGGCAGAGATCCACATCGCGCATTTGTTCCAGCGTTGTGGACATTCCCCCGGGCTTCCCTTCAAACCATACACGGCGATCACGCGTGAGGTGCCTTATGATACTACTTTTGCAGTACGCCACTGGATGCTGGCGCGCCTCTGGTCTCGCCATTGTTCGCCGTGTCCAGCGGCTCTTCAGGAGCTGAGATTTTACGTGAAACCGATGAATCCATACTCCAATCCTATAGTACCATTTCGACAGGCTTCAGAGCTACACCTGGCCAACAGTCATCGAGACGACCGGAGGAAGGTCATCTGCAGATATGGATAGGCACGAGCCAAACTGATCTGTACTGCCCATCGGCGAAGCAGCTCTTCCGCGGTCGGATGCAACCAAAGGGGTGGTGGCCAGCTGCTCAATGGCATGCTGCACCGGGATCTCAACTGCAGCATTCGCGTGGGTGAACACTCCTTCGATCGTCCTCGAGTTTGCAGCAAGAACATCCTGCTGCTGCATCCGCACCTTAGCCTCTTGCCCCTTACGCCGAGAAGAAGCTCGGCGGCCCTTTCTCGGCGGCCTCCTGCTTTGCGACGTGCTCCAGAAACTTTTGGCACTCATCCTCCCAGACCTTGCGTTGGGTATCACCGTCTTCAGACTTATCGGGCTCTTTGCGGAGTTGCTCCCGCAGCGCCAACGCCTCGCGCACAGGTCGCAGCACATATCGAGGCATTTAGCGATCTCGCCGTTGCGTGCATGTGCCTGTGCCAACAAGATAATCAGTAAGTTCCCCAGCGCAGTGCAAGATACTACTGCGCGGCGACGAGCACGATAAAAGCGAGAGATATTGTCCATGCTCGTCGAAGACGCTGTGATGGGTACAACGATGCTGGCTTGCAAGAATGGAAGAATGAGTTGATGGTTGATTCTTGCGGAAGCCTATTAAATCACGCGGTTCGCGGATACCAGGAAACCGTGCAAAGGCGGCGCTGCACCGAAACTGCAGTCACCCACTGAGCCAGTATTGAAGCTGCGGATGCGCACTCGAGGCCGCAGCACCTAGATCCACACCGCCCTGCCTGAGGCGTCGAGGTATACAAGACATAGGGCTGTAGTTTCCACAGTGAAAGTCCTTCAACCGATTGCTGAAGCTCGCGGTCACTGGAAAAGGGCGCTGCGGCTGCATTGGAATTGCTATCGTCGAGCCTCCAGCTGAGCCTGTGTCTCAAGAAGATGCTCTCGATCAACACAGGATACCGAATTCGTCACATTTTTGCGAGATAAGTGGCTGCTCGCAAATTCTTGCTACCCATAAGGCGGAAAATAACTATACGGGCAAGGCTTTACGAGACTGGGAACAACGTGGAAGTGCGACTGTTGGCGGGCATCTGCTGCGCAAGGGTAGTCGCCCTCCGAAGATGGCTACTCTGCTTTGCTCGATCGTCGTCTTAGTATGGCTGCGAACGTCAATATCGTTCGGTTTGAGTGCATTTGTGCGAAGGCTACCAGCAGGCAAGAGAACCGAGACTGTACAGTCGCATTGCGTCCTCGGATGGCCAATGATGTCGATGCTGCGAGGCACCCACGGCTCCGAAGCCTAACCAGAAGCCTACCATAGACGGTGTTGTTGCTAGTTCTTCTCCATGAGTGAAAAGTCCGTTTAGCCCTTGCATTCCGGGGAAGCCAAAGATCAGACACCACAATTATATTCAATGCCTCTCGCGCCTCCACCAATGACATGAACTCAACCGGTTTGCACCAAGGCCATGAGCATGTGGCTCCCAACTCATGATGTCCTCTGATCCACCGAAGCCCTTACCAACCACCCAAACGGCAAAGCGAGTACATCTGCCGCTACACAATACCAGCATTGACTGTCCCAGCCTCGTGTAGGTAGCGAGCCTGACGCCGTCTGATTGGCCATATTGCCCCGGCTCCGCAGCTGGAAGCGCGGAAAATTCAACTTCTCCTCTTCGCCACCTCGACAACCAGGCGCATCTCCACCTTCGAATAGCCGACATACTGCACCGACCGGCAAGTGTTGTCCGAGGCCTTGAACTTAATCTGCATAGACCGTCTATGCGCAAACCATCACTCGGATCACTGCCGTCCAATCACTGTAGCATTTATACCTTCCACTGAATCTCTCCCGCGCTTGGAACTTCGTGGATACCGTGAGAAGCCTTTGCTCAGCCGAGTATCGACGCGCAAGCCGAGCCATGTGATCACAGACAAGCACAGTCAACCAGGCACCACTGTTAAAGAACAAGAAACAATTCATGTCTCGAAGACTCAGGTCAGCGGATTGGCCCATCAAGGCCATTAGTGTCTAGTCGGAGTCAAGGATTGCTCTCCTTCAAATATGGATCTCGAGGCCTGGCTTTAACAAATCGGGGAGACCGAACGACTCCCGTTTGCAAAGTCGTCGTCCATTTAGCGACGGCATAGCCATTCGCAGTTGCGTTTGCAGGCAGTAGACCTTACGCAATCTCCAACAGGTAAGTAAGGACACGTTCACCGCTCGAACACGAAGTTGTTGCCACAATATCCTTCATGGACTGGGAAATCCTTGATTCGTCGGTGATTGGATGGGAATGATACCGACACAATGCTCAACTGGATGGCAGGTCTATGCATAGGCAGCTGTGCCGCGTATGTCGGGGACGGCAGCTCAGACGGTCAATTATGGACGGAGTATTTACCAAATTCGAACGATCGTAAAGCAGCGATTACTGCCAGTCTTCGGATGCTGCATTTTACTACCCATCGTAGCGAGGCTGAAGAAGACCAGGCTGTACGATACTAACAGGCGTATAGACAGCAGCAATCTGACTATAGCCTTAGCCATGCACACTAATTACCCAGTGCTGGACAAAATCTCACCGGCCTTATGACAGCTGTACCTGTCAATGACCTTTGAATCGTCACACAATTCTCAGCCCATAAATCTATTCAGCTAACAAAACCTCTACCACCAACGGACCTGCTTGTTGTCCTTCTGCGCCCTAGGAGATGTCAAACCTTCCACAAGATCCTACCACGTGGTATTGCAAGCCCAGCTTGACATGGGCCAACTGTCAAAGTATCAACAAGGCATGGAACTGCCAAATCAGGATTAGGTGACATCTCGGAGTCAACCGACAGGCTGGCTTTCACCCACTGGTCACACAATTCCAGATCTCTGGTTGGATAACAGAATTTTCCATCATGCATCTGGAAGCGCGAGGCTGCATCTGACCCTTGCAACCTTCTAGAACACTGGTCGAATTGCACCGATGCATGAAAAGTCTCTTCATGAAGTGCGGAATGAGTGAGACTGATCATCTGCCGGGTTCACAGCCGGGCTCAGCTTACCCAGGAACGGAGTGAAAATGTCTTGGTTCGGTTACAGGTCAAAAATAAGACAGAGCAAATGACAGTTGCGAGCTGATGAGTGATCGTCAGGAAAGAATCGAAAGAATCTGGGGGTGGCCACCAGCCACAAGCGGAACCGAGTGGAAACAACCAGAAGGAGCTGTGGCTGAGCCCCGTACGAGGTATGCTTGGCAGTTGTCTCATTGGTAGCGGCGCAGCCAGGGTCTCGCTTTAAAGCGGCGGCCCAGTCGAGCCGAAGACGTCCTACTCCGTCCGATCCAGACGAAAGTTGATGTCATAGCATAAATGCCTCTTCGGCCGGGTGCTTTGCTCACTTCCCAACCCTCCGACCGCCATCGAAATTTCTCAACACAAACTCAGGCATTGCTGTTTCCCGTGATTGCCTAACCCCGGACAAATCTGAGCCTTTCTCTTGGCCTGGTTTCCAACCCGAGAACCCGAGGCCCAAGCAGGCCAAAGCCTCAACTATATCACTTACCCTTTCCCACATTTTTTGCCACCAGCCTCGTACATCTCTAAGCCTTATACGAACCATCTCGGACTTGCTTATTACCAATCTTTTGGTCAGTCCTACCGATCTCACCGTGTTAAATATACCTCTTATTCTCGATCTTGGCTCCTTATCACCACTCTTGATGCAAGTCTACCATACCAGTCCTACGGTGCGCATTCAGCAACCCAGTCCGACTCCTACACAAGAACAACCAATGCTTGCGCAACAGTCTCCGTTCATGGGAGGTGGATGGGCCGATTTTCAGAACCACAGGACATATCTCAGCGCATTACCAAAGAATTTTCAAGAGCAAAGGATACATAAACGGGCATCATCGGGATCGAGTGTCGCCTCCGCGGGGGGTCCTCCATCGCCGCTCAGTCAAAACACTTTATATCCTCAGATCGCCACTTCCGACACTACTTTTCCCTCGACCTACGATTTTGACGGTTTCTCAACACCCAACACCGCGAAATCATTGCCATCAGAGATGTCCATGTATAACCGAAACAACCCATACGGCGCCGTGGACATGAGGAGGATACAGTCGTCAAGCGGCGACGACCGTGCGTCGTATGCTGCCTTGTCGGCGCCTCAGTCAGTATCTACCATGAGTCACAATTCACCAGCAACTCCTCAAACCAACTACGAGAATGAGTACGATGACTCGAAGCATGTTTACGGTGAGATTGACACTAGCGACGATGAGTTGGCCGAGTACTTACAGTATGATTTAGGCTACACTCCCACCGCCGCATACCAGCAGTCTCTACAGGACGTATTTCCTGACCAGCAATTTACGTACCAGGCACAGCCCATGCCACGCATGGCGCCTGACCACAGGCAGACAACTATGGCTGGTCGGTTACAAGCGGCGCAACAAGATCACATGAGTTCGCCAACGTCCAATCCTCGCGGACAGTCACCTTTCAGGCAGAACAGTCCGTACAACATGCCTCGACAGCCGCAACAGCCGCCTACGTTACAGAAAACGCGTACCTCAATCTCACCAAAGGAATTAATGTTGGACGAGCACGATATCGATGACAACGCCACGCCACTCTTCTCGAATCAGTCGCAACAGATGTTCGCTGGTCGCAGAAACCCATCGAATCTCTCTAACTACTATACGCCTAGCTTCCATGCTGAGCCAACGGTACAAATCCCTCAACAGTATCCCTTCATTAGCCAAGCACAAGGCAGCACTCAGTCCGACCTTCCGGATTCGACCCCGGACTTCCCGGCGCACCTGATCTCTATGGAGTCTACCAACGAGGAAGGACCATCTATGCCATCCAGCCAGCAATCAGGAGGCGATATCAGGACACAGCCTCAACCCACGCCACAAACGGCTCAGCGACCCATGGACACGTCATCCGATTCTGGAACCTACTCGTGTACGTACCACGGATGTGCTCAACGATTTGAGTCACCTGCCAAGCTTCAAAAGCATAAGAGAGAGGGTCACCGACAAGTTTCACCCCAAAGTGGTAACAGCGGTTCGGCGTCACCTAATCTTGCGCTTCGCAATTCACAAGCTGGGCCTCATCGTTGTGATCGAATCAACCCATCGACGGGCAAGCCCTGTAATTCGATCTTCTCCCGCCCCTACGACCTTACACGTCACGAGGACACTATCCACAACAATCGCAAAATGAAGGTGCGATGTCATCTTTGCTCCGAAGAGAAGACATTCTCTCGCAATGACGCATTGACCCGACATATGCGTGTGGTTCATCCTGATGTGGATTGGGTCGGCAAGCAAAAGCGCGAGTCAAGCAAGCAATGAATGACGTCATTCGAGGGGATGGAAGCATTTTCGGTGGTTTGATTTCGCAGCCGCAGGAGCATTCTGGCGAGGCAAGGGGGTAATGAGCGTTTTGCGTTGAATCTCAAACAGGGTGTTACGACTTTTTGATTGTGTGATGTGTGGTTTGAGCACTCGGTCATGAGATCACGATAATGGGTTCTAGAACGATTGCCAGGATATGGATTGAGGCGGACTCGGAAAGCATGATAGAGTGTACCAACAGCGGAACCACATGCTTTTACAGGAGCAGGAAAATAGGATCAATCCACACCGATAGACTGTATGTATCATTAATGGATGGAATCTAAGGATAATTGTGTATCTTGCATAACTCCCGTGGTCAAATCGATCTTCAGCCCCGTCTGGACGCATCCAGACCCTGTTTGGTTGCTAAACCGAGCCGAATCCCTTGGCTGATGTAACCTGTAACCGCCGCCCTTGCTGCTTTCAGTACCACCATGATGGTCTCCTCGTGTCTTGCACGCGAAATTGTAACAGTGACCGCTCCGGAAGTTCTGGCCGCCGATTACAACTGTCTGACTACAACCTGGCCCTTCGCTTAAGCAGCCACGCAATACTGACCTTCAGTGGACCCAAGTGAAGAGAAGCACGTGTCGATCACGCTAATAAGGCTGGGAGACAAGCCACCTACGCTTGCATCATTGCCCTTTCTAGGCGTTGGGACGACTGCCCGCGCCTCGGCCACACTATTTTGCCCTCTTTTCGCAAGTTCGCGCTTTTCGGTCTGACTAATGCCCGCCCAACCTGCCCAGCCAGTTCGGCCGCGCACACGCGCGGAAACGGCGGCAACAAATCACGGCATTGATTATAGTCAACTGTGTCCGGAGTACTGTGAGTCCGCACAAGATTCCGAAAATGTTCCCTGGTCTCAGAATTCGTCCATTGCCTCTGCAAGGTAATAATCGCAGAAGCGATATTTCACATTCAGCAACCCTGGCGCACTTAGCCCACTTGCGCTTTCACAGCCTTTATATGGATACATATTGATTATGAGAGGTTTTCTCGCTTCGTGCTCCGCCAACGGCCGGCATCAGCTTACTGGCAGTTTGTGTACGAGGCCACGTAGAGTGAGAACTAAAAGCAGCATTTCGGGGCCAGCCTCGTTCCAGTACCTACCAGTCGCTGCGCTTGCCTCAGGATGGTCTTGGTCGGCCTGTATGCACGATCGCATTGTTTGCCAGATGGGGGATCCCGTTGGGAGGAGAGAGATCCTTCGAACCCGGCTCCGATCGGGTCGCGAATCCTCAAATGAAGATTGTGTCAGATTGCTCACCCGTCGGTCGAGGACTCGGTGTTTGCACGCGATTCGATGCTTCGGCGTGCCTTCAGGCCGCAAGATCCGTCGCTGATCTCGTAAGCACTTCGACAGTCTAGTAGCAATACCCACCATAATCGTGACTGTCAGCCTGACGTGCATCATGTACTCAAGATGGATTCCTGCCGTCTCGCCTGGCTGTCCATGTGCGAACGGACGGTCCCTGGCCCGCTCGAGGCGAGCTGCAAACGGTTCGGGGTCCGTTCTTTGGGGGGCCGCAACAGCTAAGGCACTGGAGCGGGACCCTTCTCACTCGTAAGTTGAGAGCGCCGGTCTTGCGAGGCTGATCGAACCTGAGGGGCCGGTTCAGTCAGCCTCTCTTTGCCAGATCTCACATCTCGCATCGGTGGCTCGCTAACTCTATCTGTTCCCACCCGCGAATACGCAAAAGTCCCTGCGTCGCGAGAAGAGCAAGCCTTGGCAGACTCCGTTTAGGCTGCCATTTTTGGAGCGGATTTTTTGTGGCGGTGCAGGCGGCGATCCAGAACTCCAGGAATCCAGAACAAGGCCTAGCCGCGGTCGCGCGGCTATGCGGCGTTCCGAACTCACCAGATATTGTGGTTCGACTGTGTTTGGAGTGATAGTCACGCGCTACTTCCAACCTACCATTACCATTTCAGCTGGTGACTATGAAAGTCGCAACTTGTTTCTCGCAAAGGCCAGCCTGGCCTTCTACGCCTGCTCCGTGTATTAACGGCGACGGACCACATGATCGGGTCATGGAGTTCCGTCCGTGGTCCCACCCCAGCAGAGCCGCGCGCGCCTGTTCCGCCCCATGTCGGTGCCTGCGAAAAGTCCCGTCCATCTTCGTTACGAGCAGGCTGGTCTCGCGGCCTCCGAGGTGTGCCCACGTCGGTCATCAAGGCCGATTTGTGTCTGTCTTTGTACCCGTCGCTTTCGCGCGGCTGAGCAGGCTGCCTTGATAGGCTCGTCGATGCCTGATCTGGTGAGTCAATACGAGGCTAGCTGCCTGGAGGTCTGCTGTGTAAAAGCAGCAACGGCGTTTGCGTTGCCTTGCAGCTCTACTGACGATGGGCAGCATCTCGAGTCTGTGTCCACTGTGGCTGCTGCGTCCAGTCCGGGCTTGCGGTGCTTCGAAGTATGTCCATCGCTTGATGACCCGGGTACTCGCGGTTACTCGTCTTGGCTGCTGTCCAGCTCTCGTTGCCGTCAAGATGATGGCGCGTTTCGCATTTGGGTAGCAAGCTGCCATGGTGCTCAAGTTATGCTGCCGCTCCTAGCCCATGCCGAGACACACTGCTAACAGAGATGGGGTCAAAGCGGTGCCAACGATACTCATCGCTGCGAGATGCATGTCGGCAGGTTCGTGGGTGGTCAAGGACAGGCATGCCCTTTTGTCCACTGTCTCTTTATGACAGGGGCGTGACCGCTCTTACGCGGACGAAGCCACAGCTTGCCGTTGTGGTCAAGAGCCGTTCGTTTGAAGTTTTCACATGCCTCTTCGGCCACGCAGCCTGTGTTTGCAGCACTTGTAGATCTCGTAGGATGTGGATAGGCCGTTGATGTCACCAGCATCAAAGCCCAGTGCTCAGGCACACAAGCGGCCAGCACTACAGTACTATCAAGCTTCAGCTCAGGCTCTCAGCGGGCGACGTTGCTCAAGTAAGCCAACAACTGGATCCACTCGGACATAACTCTCCAGCCGAAAATGCCAGGCAGCACCTCAACCTTGCTCGGGCATGCTTACTCCTTACCTACTGATACGCCAGCAATGCCGGACGGACCAGATCGTACTTCCATCCTTGTCGTAGGGAGCTCATGCCATAGTGCTGTGGCGTACAGCGAGAATTTGCTGCATTATACTAGCTCGCACATCACGCGCCGTAGCTATAGGCTTTGAGTTCAAAATTGCTTCGAGACATGCTTATTGCTAGGCGGAAACACTGGCCGGACGAACCAAGACTTCATCGCTGCGGCCGACTACCTGATCCATATCACCGTCGTCCACTGCCGGTGTCGGCTGATATGTGCCAGCACGCAAGACCAGGTTAAGTTTTTGTACATATAACGGTATAGGACCACCACCGGACAATGGCTGTCCCACGTTCGCCCCGAACCCAACTTCTTCCTCATGTACGACATCGTCCTTCTCGGCGCGACTGGGTACACCGGCGCCCAGGTCGCAAAGTATCTCGCTACCCACTTGTCCGAGACTCACTCATGGGCGATCGCAGGGAGGACGAGCAGCAAGCTGAGGAGACTGGTCTCGTCATTGCAGCCCTGGCACCCAACGCCTGCAATAGAGGTCGTTGATCTCGACGCGGACAGCCTGCTGGCGTTGGCGAGAACAACGAGGGTCCTGATCAACGCCATCGGCCCATACAGTCGATATGGCGAGCTAGTGATTGCCGCTTGTACCGCCGCGGGTGTCGGATATGTCGACTTCAGCACCGAGACTCCGTGGATCGCCGATATGATCGCCAAGTACGGCAAGGTCGCTGACGATACAGGTGCTGTCATCATCCCAGCCATTGGCAACATCAGCTCCCCGTCGGACCTGCTCGCATATGCGCTCGCGTCGTACTTGTCCAAAGAGCACGGCGTGCCCACCGAGAAGATCGTGAGCTCCCAAGAGCTGGTCATCAACGGCATGTCTTCAGGGTCGTTGTCTTCACTCCTGGCCGTGGCGAGCAAGTATGGCGTGGAGAACTACCTGCGCCCGAACCCTCACCTGCTCACAGCGGAAAGCTCTCCCACAGAGGCGTCGGTACAGCCCGTTGTTGTCCACCACCCAACACTAGGCCACCTCACACGCTCCGTCAGCGCGCCAGGCAACATCGCTGCGGTGCACAGATCTGCTCTCCGAGCACCAGAGCTGTTCTCCCCAACCTTCACGTTTCAAGAGTGGATGCCCGCCAAATCTCGCTTCCAGGCCATCCTCGTCAGCTGCCTCACCGTCTTCGCATTTCGCCTCATCAGCTTCCGTCCCGTGCTCTACCTGCTGCAGCGTTTCCTGCCGCAACAGCCGAGCTCGGGCCCGCCCAAAGAAGCCGGCGAAGGGGAAAGCATTGATGTGAAGGGCATCGCCACCAGCGCCCAAGATCCAGATGGGGCACGATATCAGGCCGTAGGCCGCTACTCGTACAGGGGCTCAATGTATTTCCACTCGGCGATGCTGGCGGCCGAGGCTGCTATGGCGCTGGTTGATGAGATGCGTTCGGACGGCGATGCTGATGGGAAGCTGAAGCCGACGACAAGGGCGAGAGGGTTTCTGACGCCGAGCTACCTCGGTAGGCCTTTCATTAATCGTGTCTGCGCCGCTGGCGTGCAGTTTGAGATCGAGGAAGGGACGAGGGACAGCATATGAAGGCTGCCGGATGAGGTAATGGTGCTGGGCGTTCGGTGGGTTACTGGTGTTTGCCAGCTGGGGACAGCGAGAAGCGCATGACGCCTGTGTGCCATGGGGCGGCTGGGAGAGGAGGCGGGCGTAAGCGTGAGAGACCTTCCAGATCAAAGACGAACGAGTGGAACGCTTGACGGCGTGAGTTGGATGGAAGGTTATGTAGGTGGCCTGTAGGCAACAATCATCCGCTCCTGTTAGGGACAGCCTTGTGAAGAGTATTTAGCCGGTCTCGCGTGAAGCCACCAGTACGTCGGGCGAAGCCTGCGTATTCGAATGGCCACGAGGCTGTCCTTGACCATTGTGCTTCACAGGCAATGTCCTGACCTTATGCCCTTCCTTGTTCGGCGCAGATGCCCTGCATGTAGTGTATCCGTTGCAACCCCCTAACCAGCATCAACCCTCCGGATAACCTCCTCAGCTCCGACGCGTGCCGCAATTCGTTATCACCGCAAAGGAACCATGTGCTTCACGCCACGCCCTCGACTCTGCCAGTACTTAAATCGAAGACCCCACCCCAGATTCCAGCCCTCAAGTCCTCTCTCACCAAGACGTTGTTCTTCAACCACTGGACATCCTCCCTGCACATCTCCGCCGCCGAAGTCGTGCACTCGCCAAAACACATCCCATCCAGCTCCTGCCCCAACATCGTTTCGTTGGCCGACGAAGACGACAAGCGCGCCTTCAGCTCCGCCCTGATGTCATTGTCACGGAAGATCAACGAGCCGCAGTCCGTGTGGCGCACGACCAGCAGGTCCGTGAAGTGCACAAGAGTGTCAATGGCGAGAATATCGGGCAGTGCCTTGCGGGGAGAGCCGCCGGCGTTGCGGAGCACGATGCTGAAGATCTTGGGGTGGGAGGGTAAGGCGTAGAACTGGGCGTTGCGGTTAGTCTGTTGGCTTCGCATGGAATTGTGAGTGGAGGTTAGTGGGAGAGACTGACGTACCTGGTTGGCGTCGCAGCGTGGATCGACGCATGTCACGATGCAGAGTCGCGCAGAGTCGGGACCCGCGGTTTTCATCGCTTCGCCGAATTGCGCGAAGGTTGGTGGAGCAGTGTAATTAGAGCTGGCGACGGCGGCGTTACTCGACAGGAGTGTGTTGATGGCAGGAGAAGGCATTGTAGATGTGTAGAGAATGGTCGAGGGTCTAGTAGTGGGTGTGTAGAGGCTGAGGCACGACTGGTTCGTATCGTAGGTTGACAAAGTGCGTGCCGATAGAACACATCTTTATAGTTGCGATGCAGTAACCTTTGAGCTGCCACCATGCTGAAGCCACTTCCAAAGCAATTATTAATGCTGGCCATCTTGATTGATATGTTGGATGTAGCGAATTTGAGAATGCGAAGTTTCGTTATACCATGCACCCCAACTAGTTCTGGTTCCCAGTGGTTTCACCAATCCCGAATAGGCAATAAGACGGACGCTGGGCGTAATTTTGAGATACCTAGATGTCAGGCTCTCGGTGGTCAGGCTGGACGTCCGAGTGCATTGCACCATTGCCGGAACGGTTCGCTTTCGATCACAGTGGCCCCTGCAGGGGATGACTTGAGGCTATCTTGCCAAATTTCTGAAGTGATTACCACTGAACTTGCAACGCCTCGATGGTAGACTCGTTCACTGCTCTGATCAGGCGGCGAGTTCTCGAGTGCCTCTCTTGCGAGCAATAACGCAGATGTTTCTAGCTCGAATCTTTGTGGCAGTATCGATGAAAGTAGCCGCATGCTCAAAGCGGCACACGACAGAGTCATCTCAAGGGTCAATAGCCGGTAAGGTTCGACTTCAGGCGCCACGGGCTGACGAAGGCGTTCATGCCGCTCCTCAAGGAATGCCTTATAAGCGTCGCAGAGGTCAGATGTTCGGGTCATGACAGCTTCGAAGCCATGCCGTTCGCAGCGCATGATGATATTGGTGATATCGGCGAAAATACTCGGGATCTTGTAGCGTAGCAGTTGGGCAGAGTTCACCATCTCGCCACGAGGATGGAAGGTTGATGTGTTCGGCACCATAGTTCGTCGAACGGCGGCCTGCCAGGGAGGCTGATCCAGCATGCAGGGTAGTCCATTATGCAGGGTTTCGGTCGCAATCGCACATGCAGACGCTGCAAGCATGATCTTGTGGGATTCAGTGACAAGATTGTCGGGTCCAATATGTTGAAGCACGCTGAAGGCACCTTTGGCATGCATCATCCAAGCTGGGTTCCCCGCAATGTCCAGAAGCTCAAATAGTGTCAGGCAGATTGTAGCAAGCCACGTTTCGGTGGTTGCCATGTCAGAAGTATCCAAGGCCTGCTGCAAGCTGAAGATGGCACGTCCATACAGAGCCATCGGGTCTCCCTCCGTCGGAGTGGTGCCGACTCTTTCCCTGATACGAGCTTTTAGGCAATCAATGGCATGATCAAGGTATGGAACGCGACCACCACTCTCGCGAAGGAGATCCACCAATTGGGGGGTGCAGAGCCTGAGCAGTTTTGACAGCTTTACATACGGCGCATTGAGCTTTCCTTTCAGCGCCGCGAATATGGTCTTTTGCACCGCCGACGACGGTAGATACTGTGTAGCGTCTGCCTGCGGATGGATGAAAAAGATTGGCGTCCACGTTACCGAGTCGGAGACAGGTAGGGAAGAATTATGCGACCTAGACACTGCTTGCCGTTTCTTGGTAGTCGCTGCAGCTCGCATCGCTTTCTTACGTATCAGATGCCTCTCCACTGGATCGCGATCTTTGTGCGACCGTGGGCTGGAATCGTTCACAAACTCAAATATCATGGCGGCCATGACTGACTTGGTGCCTCTTGGGGCTTGCAAGAGGATGAGGAGATCAAAGTGAAAGTAATTCCACTTGGAAATGGTTCAGAGAAACAAGGCGTCCTGTGCGGGGAGAACTTTTGTTGATGACCAATGCAGCAAAACGATACCGTACGTAAAGACCTTCAAGATACCATTTTTGTGCTAGCTCCTCGGTTGCCTTCCACCTGCATGTTGAATAGTGCACCTAGCTGCAGCTAACCTTCAGGTAGTTCGTTCGCAAGAGTCATCCCATCGGATGTTGACTGTATTGCTGCCGTTATGACGGAGACGAAAACAGAGTTGGTGGCGAGGCACAACGGCTCTGGCTATATGGCGCGCCACGAGTCAGCAATCTCAGTCGTGAATCACTTTAGTCCAGAATAGTATTCGCCAGAGCTCTTTTGGTCGACCGCATGTGGAACCTCGTCATCTTGTGGCGGCCTTTTGGGCTCATGAAATCAACGATCAGTCTCGTATGAGGGTCGCGTCGGACGCCTGAGGCGACGAAGCACCCCCAACTATCTCGAGGCAACCTACTGAGGCTTCGGTTGATCGCCTTGTGGTTGCCAAAGAACTTGTGAGCACGAATGTCTTTTCCTGTGCGATCCTGCAGGATTCCATGGCCGAGACTCACACAGATTTGGCCGCTAACCTCGACAGCATGGGAGTCGACATGGTGTGAAGGCTCTAGAAGGACCGAATAGACCGCTCGTGTGCACGGCTGCATTCCGTTGGCGACTTGTAAAGGAAAGACCCAATTGCCGTCGATGAAGATCGGATGCCAAGGAGTGACCCATAAGTCGCCAACACGCACAAGCCATCCTTTCTGACCTCTGGGGATGGATTTCAGGACTGCGACCACGGAACGTCCACCATTCGGAGTCCAGACCTCTATGCCAGCCCGAAGACTTGCTACGGCCACATAGGAGTCGTCTGCTAGGCGTATCTTGCAGTCGCCGTCAAAGCAAGAATTATCACTGTTGTGATATCTGCTCATACTGATATTGTTCACGATCGGCCCACGGGTATAGTCAAGCCGACTCGGCTTTGGAGCTGGTAGTTTGTCGAAAGCAATGTCCAACTGATCTCGGCAGTGGATGAACAAAGGACTGGCGTGTCCGTAGCGAAGTGGACCAGGATCTTTGAAACTGTTGCAGACCTGCCTGGCATGAGCATGAAGAACACTAGGCAAATAGTGTTTGCCCCATCTTTGCCAGTATTCAGTTTTGGCTTCTGACAAGAGCGCTTTCGAGATTTGACCTGCAGATCCGTCGCCGTCGATGTCGTCAAGTAGTGACTGGATATCCGCTGAAATCAAGGCGGAGTCTCGCATGCGGACGGTAAGGGCTTCGAGCGCAACTCGAGCTGTGGTAAACTCCTTTCTGTCTTGCCCAATAGCTTGATGTTCGTCATTCTTCAATCGTGGGAAGAACTGGGCCAGGATGAAACACAGTTCAGATCTGTAACTGTGATAGTCGAGGTCGAATTCATTGCGTCCTTGTATGAAATTGATGGGTGCAGCGTGCTCATCTCCTAGAGAATCCACATAGCGGAGAACCACATCATTAGCGTTTACGTCGTCTGGAAGTTGCACAACTAAGTCTCTGCTCTGGCCGTAGTGAAGATTTCCGAGCCTCAGCACAGTGGTGTTGTTGCCCTGAATGGAAGAATTGAAGACTGTTGCACAGCGGACCTGCTCGGGAGAAGAGCTGTTGATTTCCAGAACGGTTTGGGTAGCAAAAGTCGTAAACAGGTTGGCCACTGCGTGGATGAAGACAGTTCCGATCATCCCAGCATCAGGAATGAAAGCATAACTCCCAAGCCCAACCTCGGCGATAGATTGAAGCAGACCTGAGCGAATGTCATAGCCGAAGCCGAATGTATGAATGGTTGGAACGTGCCCGTTCACAGCAGCCAGATTGGCAAGAAGCGGTTTCATTTTGGGAACATAGCCTTGAGCGGGACACATGTGGTTGGGCTGTCCGTCCGTGAGCACATACATGCCTTGGACGTTACCACTCGGGCCGGCATCTTCGAATACCTCGAGACCAGCTCGGATGCCTGCCCAGAGGTTTGTGCAGCCCTCGTCAACTAGATCTTCAATGCACTTCTGCAGTCGACGCTTATTATGGCCGGTCGTCGTAGTGAGCTTATGAATGACCTGTAATTGTCAGTAAATGGGAGGCGCAGATTGGTGTAGCGAACATTGGCATCTTTAGAGAATGTGACCAAAGCGAGACGATCGCCTTTATCGAGTGTCTCGAGGATGGTCCTAGCAGCATGTTTGACAAGGTCGAGAATACTCAAGCCGGCTGATTCGCTGTTACTGCCATCGAGATCGGGGAGTGGAGCAGCTGAGCTCATGCTGGCGGAGACATCGATCACAAGAACAATGTCGCAAGGTGCGCGTTTCAGGATCCCTTCTGGTTGACGTGGTGGTTGTAGAGAGAGGGTGGCGGCCTTCTGTCCCGGGACAGGGGAGCAGTAGGTGGTGAGCCGATCCTGTGAAGCCTCAGCCATTCGTATTGGCATGTTGAGACCACTGCAGATGCTGGAGTTGAGTTCTTTCTTGATCTTGACCGTCATTGTGAGATCTGGTTCGAGTGTCTTAGGAAAGTTGTGATGTGAGGTTCTTGCGATGGTCCTGCTCTCGAGATATATGTTGTTTCACAGAAGGACCTTTGCTGCACAGCATTGCTTGTAAACTTACGGACGGACTCGCCAGCTGGCTCATCCTCGGCTCATCCTCTATCGAGGCCATGACTGACTGCAAGGCTCACCAGGCACTCCGCTGTCTTTCGACACCACCGTGGTACAAGTCGAGTCAAAAGAATGGATCATGATCCACTCAGGCATCGTATGCTCCAAATCTTACTCATATCCTCGTCACGGAAGCTTCAAACTATCTGGCCGGAGATTGGTGGAGGCAGTGAACTGGCGAAATGGTTGCCTCCCGCAAGGCGCCATGAGACGTGCCTCAAAAGTGGATAGACTGTTGAGCGACGGTGCGAAATTCAGATTCTCATAGGCGCAGAAGCATAGGAGTGTCGCCAGAGTACAAATGAAAGGACTTTGGACGCGTGCTGGAACTTTTGGTGCCAAGAGAACGCGCCAAGCTTTTGAACGCGTCGGGAACTTCGCGCGGGGTCGGGACTTTTGACATCACAAAGATCTCACGACTGCATTTCACAAAGGATGACTTGTCGGTTGGGACAATGTCCGTCGCCTCTCATCGGTCGCATCTAGTCAGACATCGAGAAGTCCGGCGACTGATCGCCCGAGCTAAGCGCGAAGGTCGCTCTTTCGAGGACCTTTTCTTCGAGATGTTTCCTGACGATGCCTCCTCCGCTTCAGACACGGACGACTGCCGACCGTTGGATGGTATCTCGATACAGTCCTCCTTTCATGACGAACCGACCACCGAGACAGCCCCAGTTGTGGGGCCTCCACTTCTGACAACCACTCAACAGAGCGAACGTCTTGCGGCCATATCATCCCTCGCGGCTTCGTCCCGCTCCCGACGTGCCGCTCCCAACCCCGATGTAGCTTCGGACATATCGTCAAGCGGCCTCGAAGAAGACACAGCCTATGTTGGCGATCTGGAAGCCCAAGCCGAACGTTGCTACAGTCGACATTTGATGCTTGAGGTTCTGGACATTTGGAGAGAAGAGACACATAAATCACGACAGCATGGAGGGCTAGCAGACCTACGTTACGATGAGAAGATTGCAAGAAAATGCCTGGAAACCATGAAGCATGAGTTTCACCAGACCGAAGACCTCGAACGACGGCGTAGGTTGAAGATGTTTCTGGCTTGGAAACGACGCAAGCTGGCAATATGGGCGATACATGGCTGGATCATCAGACATCGTGAGAATGTGGTGAGGAAACGTTCAGAGGATGGTCAAGATATTCAGGTAGCCACTGTGACTCTCGCTAAGTGGCAAGCCAAGGCTTTGAGTTTGCGGCAGAAGAAAGCCGAGTTCAGACAATTCTTCTACGCAAGCAAATTCGGCCGGCGGTGGATCGAAATCGTCTACGAGCGGCGCATAACTCGAGCGATGGCGATCTTGGAGCAGAGTTACCACACTTACCGACGTGAGAAGGATGCAAAGCTATTGCGAGCTTTTGTATCTGGTTGGCGTGGTAAGGCAGCAAGCTCAGCTGCCATGGAAGTCACCGCTCAACAACAACTACAGCAACAACAAGTCAAGCGAAGCAACAATCTTGCTCATGGCGCATTGACGGCCATGTATATGGCGACTGCAGAAGCTGTGAGCATGGAAGCTACCGCCGATGAAACCCACCGAACATCAGCAAGGCTCCGAGTGCTTTCTGTGGATGGTCAATGGCGTTCAAAGACACGCATCATTCTCGAGAAGGAAGAGCTTGCGGATGAATTTCGGTCCATCAGAGATCAATCAAAAGCACAACGTGGCTTTCGTAAGATGCGAAATGCTGCTGGATGGGGCAAGCAGATGGATGATGAAGCTGATGCCTACCGTGCTAGGACAACGAATGATGTCGCAAGGCAGAAACTGCGACAGTGGAGGGCAGTTGCGGCTACCAAGCGCGGCGAGGTCATTGTGAATGAACCCCCGGCAACACCGGCAGCAAGAATGTCGGCTTTACGACAGTACCAGCAAAACCAGCAGCGATAAGTATGATGATAACGATAACGATGTACGATGGCCATTATGTAACGATACCCAGGAGGATTCACTTCCAGACAACACTCGGGAGGCTTGACTTCCAGATTGTGGGATTTCAGCCTCAAGGACAAGTCCCACTTACTGGCAAAGGATGTTGTGTCCGTCGACGTGCGGGTGATCCGTGGGGCTCCGGTCGATGCTCTATCTTTGCGGGGCTTCCAATCCCCGGATCGCGGACCAAACTCCTCAGAGCTCAGACCCGGCTCTCGTTCAGGGTTTGTGGAGCATCCTTGGCCGCCCCGCTTCCAACATGCGAGGAGTGGTGGGCTACCGCTGAAGGGTGGACCAGCCAAGATCTCAGCACTTGGCATTCCAGCCTCCGCCAGTCCTCCGCGTCCTCCTCTTCCCCTAAGCGAGGTCACAAGTCCCTCGTCGGATTCGCTCGTGGATCCAGAACATGAAAGCCATGTGGGAGCCTTTGCTCGTGTCCTCCAAGGTCAATCTGGGAAGGTTTCTTGTAGACGGTTGGCCAGGAAATACTTGGACCAAGATTGATGTCGCTTAACCATGACTCCACTCCTGGCCCAAAAATTTGTGACCGAGCTGTCCCACTTCGAACACGAAGCTGATACTTATAGCACCTCATCTGGAGCTTCCCCAGATCCAATTTTTATCACCCAAATTTGAGTCTCTGATCAAGATGGCAGCACGCCACGATGTTCACAGGTAGGTGTTCAGCAAAGCTTCCATCCAGGTCTAACAGATTTAGCCACGCCCGTGAGCAGGAAGTTCCAGGCACATACGATCTCAAGGCTCGAGGTATGTCGTTGTGCCTCTCCGGAGCTGTTCACTTACGTTTGTAGAGGGCGAGGAAACCGGATATGGTCAGGCGCTCTACCCAGTGCCGTCCTCTGATCCAAATGATCCTCTACAATGGTCGAATTGGAAGAAAGGAACCATATTGGCTATTGCAAGCCTCTATTCATTTCTTGCCAATTCATCCCTGTTAGGTCCGTCGGTCTACATCGGCATCTACATTGAGGAATTCCACATCTCACCCACTGTATCGTCTGGCCTGGTCAACTTTCCCAATCTCTCTTTTGGATTCGGAGCGTTGATACTGGTTCCACTATTCTATAAGGTTGGCCGACGACCAATCATGCTTCTATCGATGCTACTCTACTGTGGCGGTCTCCTAGGATGTGCACTGTCTCAATCATACAACTCATTGATGGCCTGTCGAGTCCTCCACACTTTGGGATCCGGTATTTGCGAAGTCATCCCCATTGCCTTGGTCAATGACATCTTCTTCATTCATGAGCGTGGCAAGAAACTCGGATGGTATACAGGTTAGTCATTGACCTTTTGCCAACCAATCTAACCATAATAGTCTGCCTTTGCCTCGGTTCGACTGGTCCTCTCTATGCCGGCTATATGCTTGCTGGAGGTCACTCTTGGCGACTATTCTTTTGGGTCGAATTTGCTTTCGGTGTAGCCCTTTTCATCGCAGCCTTTGCCTTTGTTGAAGAGACCCGCTACAATCGCAAGGTGACTCCGTCCTCACCGATTGAAGACTCCAAGGAGGTTACAACCACTGTCGAAGCAGTCATTCCACGAAAGACTCTCCGACAACAGCTAAATCCCTGGAGCGGAATCGATCATGACGCACCCTTCATTATGATGGCACTACGCTCATTCACCTACTATCTCGTTCCAGTCGCTCTTTGGGTTAATACTACATATGGAGTCTTCATCGCTATGGGAGCTCTGACCTTCAATCTCACCTTTCCATACCTCATTGTCGAGGAGCCATACAATTGGAGTCAAACAAATTCTGGTCTGATCGCCGTTGCCTCCATGATTGGCTTCTTCATTGCCATCCCTCTCACACCTGCCTCCGACATTCTGGCCGCCAAATTGACCAAGCGCAATAACGGCATTCGAGAAGCAGAGATGCGTCTAGGGGTACTGCTACTGCCTATGATTGTTGCTCCCGCTGGTCTGGTCGTCTATGGATGTACGGCACAGTATCATCTACACTGGATAGGATACTTTTTTGGAGTCGGAATGGCTCAATGGGGTGCTTTCTATTACTTTACTGGTTTGTTTCCCGTCAATTGACATGTGCTGTACTGACTGCTTGTAGTGAGTGCATCGTCAATGTCGAAGAGCGGTCGACGTCGAAAGAGCTCTATCTGTGGACGAACGCTGACTTGATTTAGTATACCATGGCATACGCTGTCGACTCTTACTCTGCCAGTCTCCCCGAACTATTGATTGCCACGAATTTGGGCAAGTCTGCTATCAGCTTCGGAATGGGTTATGGTATTCTTGAATGGATTACTCAAAGGGGTTACGCCACGGTTGTGGCTGGCATCTATATGGCCGTTCTACTGGCTAACAATCTGTTTGTTATCGTCTTTATGATCTGGGGCAAGAGGATTCGCATCTTCATGCACAACAGCTGGGTCGGTAAACTTCATCAAGAGTCTGCGAAGGAGTATTAGGTCGATCCCTAGCAAAGCCCTGAAGGTCTTGGGAGGCTGGGAATCAGAACGAGCCCGTCCCTGGCGCTTCAACCATCAACTGGTTGCCCAACTCATCACAGCTGATGATATTCCTTCCATACTACATTTGAGATCAAGTCCTCGTGGCTCAACAGCGGAAGGTCTTTTCCAACGTCCGCCTTCCATCTTCACAAACCAATTACAAGTGCTGAAGTCTTGCCGTGCCAGTCCAGAGATCGAGTGCCGCCATGATCACATTGACTAAGAAGGTTGCTCGAGGCACGTCGTCGAGTCTGGCTTCAGGCATGAACGAGCACAAGAGCGCTCAACAGCGTCGAAGCGAAGACGTTCATGCTAGCCAGTGCAACCCTAGGGACCCCGGTCGCGGAAATATCCGGTCAACCCCAACGAGACTGCCGACGCGCCTTCCCATTGGCCACGGATTTCGCCCTGTCCAATCACAACCTGGCTCGTATCGTGCTTCAATCGACCGCAACGCAGATGGCTACCGTTATCAATAGTGACTCCGCATAAAGATCAGGCACTGCTGTCACTCATCTCTCTTCAGCATCTAGCAATGAACTCGCAACACCCTATCGTCGACATGGCCGCCCCCCCCAAAGACGACATTGCTTTGGCGACGGTTCGCGAGGATGATCTGAAAGCAGCGCAGGTCGTCGAGGTGGCTGGCGGCGTTGCAAGAGCCGATGCTATGGAGCTCGTCTGGGGAAAGCATGGTAAGAAGTTGCTGTGGGCCGGAATCGTCTGTATGCTGCTAGCATAGTAAGTGCTGATGATTACGGATTGGTTTGTCTTACAATCGCAGTCAATTCGACAATGCCCTTCTCTACAATTATCGTAACTACGCCGCATCCGACTTCAACAATGTAGCCGGTCTTGCAACTCTCGCTACAGCCGGCAACATTGTCTTTGCAGTCTTCAAACCACCGATCGCCAAAGTGTCGGACGTCGTAGGTCGAGGTGAAGCTTACGTCTTCTGCATTTGCTGCTACTTGCTGGGCTACATCTTGTGTGCCTCGTCTACGAGTTTCGGAGCTTATGCGGGAGGCTTTGTCTTTGCCAATATCGGCCAGACGGGCGCCAACATCCTCAACGATATCATCATCACCGACATTTCTTCCATGCGCTGGAGAGGCTTCGCCATTGCCGTCTCTTTTACCCCATTCCTTGTAACGCCCTGGATATCAGGGTTCATTGTCGAGCATGTCGTGAGTCCAGATGGCATCGGTTGGAGATGTAAGTCAACCATTTAGATCTGACCCAACTGACGAGAGCAGGGGGTATTGGAATGTTTGCGTTCATCATGCCTATCTGTGCAACGGCCCTGCTCTTTCCTCTGTTCTCTTTCCAGCATCGCGCAAAGAAACAGGGCGTTATCCTGACACAGCCTATCTCGGTTCTGGAATTCTGCTCGCAAGTTGACCTCGGCGGCTCATTTCTGCTCTGCGCGGGCTTCGCCATGTTCCTCTTGCCTTTCACGCTTGCAGGCTCGACGCCTAGCAGATGGCAGACCCCTTATATCATTGCTCTGATTGTTGTAGGGGCGATTACATTGATCGCGATGGTTCTCTACGAGGCAATGCTGGCTAAGCACCCAATCTTACCTGCACGATACTTCCGAAACCTCTCGATAGTCATATGCTGCTCCCTGGGCTTCCTCGACACCTTAGGGTTCCAGTGTACTCATGTGTACCTCTATACCTTTGTCACTATCGCCCAGAATATGAGCCCTCGTAACGCCACGTTTCTCAACTACACGAACGGTGTCGTGCAGTGCCTATTTGGCATCCTTGGAGGTGCCATCATGTGGAAGACCAGGAGCTACAAGTGGCTGATGGTGATCGGTACGGTGATCAAGCTCGTTGGCTTCGGATTGATGATCAGGCTGCGAGGATCTTCTAACTCATGGGCTGAGCTATTCATTGTTCAGGCTGTGCAGGGAGTGGGCAGCGGCTTCATCGAAACCATCATCATTGTGGGCAGCCAGATCGTAGTCCCACGTGTTGAGCAAGCTCAAGTTACTGCGCTGGTGCTTCTGTTTGTGTTCCTAGGCGCGTCGGTGGGCACATCTGTGGCTGGAGGGATCTATTCTGGCAACTTCAGAGAAGCCCTGGAGCAACGACTGGGTTCTGCTTCGCCAGAAGTCGTCACCGCCGTCTACGAATCGATCACAAGTGCTCAAATCCCAGCAGACGGCACGGCAGAGCGAGATGCTGCTAGTCTGGCGTATAGCGACGTGCTGAGATACATCACCTACGTGGCAGTCGCAACGTCGGCGTTGTGTGTTGTGATTGCTCTGTTTCTGCCAGATCATCGGCTGCGCGATGGAAAGACTCTGGTCAGTGGCGTGCAGGGTACGGATGTTGAGCGGATAGAAAATGGGCGTAGGTAGAGCAGCGTATCGAAGTGTACAGGACGGAGAGAGCGACATCTGGATGTTCGGTACGGCGAGTATTTCCTGTGATGAACCGGCAGCATCGTTTCTACGGTACAGCCTGTCAAGTGAATTTCGAGTGTACTTCCACCCTGCAGGCTAGCATTCCTAGCCGGGCATTGCACACGCCAAAATCTGTAGATCGAGACTGTGAATGTGGAATGATGTTATCAAGCAGAGACAGCCGACATCAGCGAGCAGCTTGCAAGATCCGCCGCAATCACGGTATCTGCGGGCGATGTAGTTCGTCGAGGAGATGTTGGGTCGCACGAGCCTGGCTTAGCGTATGCTCTGCGAGCATCTACTGAGTACCATACTGCAGACAGGCGTATAGCATCTGACGGGCTTAGCCCTGCAGTCACACTACTCACGTTCTGATACCTAGCTTCGAGCGGAAGCTGATTGCAGCCCGAACGAGGCTCATAGGCTCTGGAGATGATTGTTCTCGGCTGTTAGGTTCAACCGCCACTGGCTGCACGGCGCCAATAGCATTGTGCTAAGTACTAAGTCCTGGTATCAACAATAAGCCACTGACCATGCGAAAAGGGCTCGGACTTGGACTTCACTTCAACGTCAAAGTTCTATTCAGCGTTGAGGTGAGTGCATGTCCAGGAAGCCAGATCCTAGATATTCACGGGTGAGCCACAAAGCAGATTCTGCTGGTTTGGAGCATTTCCGCCCCATAACGCCCTTCACAAGTAATCAGATGTAAAGACCAAGCTGAACTTTCCTCTTTTCGGCCTGTCTCGACTGTTATGACCCTGAAACGCGACTGTTGGGCTTACTCTGACCTCTCTGTGCCGCTTGATAGCGCTGTGACAACGGATGGACTACACTGTCCGCAGGGAACGTATGCTACACAGCTACCCAGAGCCATGCGCTCGTGCGATGACCGCGAGTGACGACGCTGCCGACCTGACGGAATCGTCTGCAGTGCTCAGCATACCTATTCCATCCCAAGCGGTGCAGCTGTTGGCAATGATAGGTAGGTACAGACCACATCCATACTAACAGCCTCTTCGCAGTGTCTGCTGCGTACAACGAGATGTCTGAGCACAGCTGCACGCTGGACGATTCCATGGCAGGAGGTTCTATGCTAGCAGCAGGCAGAGAAGCTATGACATTAACATCTATGCTGGCAGCAGGTGGAAGGGCCACCTGCATTGTGGTCACAACGAAGCCTAAAGGAGCCACTTCAATCGCCCATTAACACGAACATGCACATGCTAAACAGGTTCTGGGACCTCTCTTTCGCGAATACGGGCGATCCCGTTAGAGTTCAGCTAACCAAAGCAGGTCAACGTTCCCTCAGCTGAACATGCTAACCTTGCTGAGTCATGGTACCCGAGCTCGAGCTTATAATAACTAGTACCTACCAGCTTGCCCTTCAGCTCAGGTCATGTTATCATTCAGACTGGAACCATGGCAGACGTTCCACTCTCGAGGGTTGAGACGCTCCCCATTCAGAACGAGCAAGCACAGTACTCAGTTCCGTACAGCGGATACTACACGCCGCCGCCGTTCCAGACATTCCAGATCCCGAAGCATCATAATTTGTCTTGGGAATCGGCCCGCCACTCTATCAGCTCCGCGTTCCGGGACAGTCCTTGGGGCGAAGGCAACACTCTGAAGAGCCCTCATTGTGACGTTCGAGAATCCAAGAAAGCCTACTACATCGATGTGGACTTACCGGGGCTCGATTCAAAGGCGAGCGTGGTGCTCAAATGGACCAACGCTACGACGCTCTTCATCGAAGCCATCACGAAACGCGCGCCGCTGCCGGACGGTGACGCGGATGCCCATCTCGTACACGCAGGGCGTCATGTCGGAACGTACGCCCGTGCGTTCGATTTCCCCGTTGGTGTCGAGCAGGACCAGACGAAAGCGAGGTTGGGCTACGGCGTTGTGAGGATCACAGTGCCGAAGAAGGCGGTTGAGCAGAAGACATTCAAGCAAGTGGACGTAGAGCATGAGGGCCACTGAGAAGAAGCCGTGCTGACGCAGAGTCAGCTTTGCTGTTCGAACGGCGGGTAGCATAATGATCAGTCTTGCAATTCTGCTACGTGCAGTCCACATCACGCAGTCGTTCCAGGTAGCGGAGCTGGAAAGTGAACATAGCGACTACGATGGATCCCTAGACTCAGGTTCCGCCGTCAGCAAGCACTGCCAGGATGCTGCGCTGCACAGCTTGATGGTTGTAATTGCGGCTTGCTGTGTAATGGGAGAATCGTGATTCTGGTCCGAGGCTAACAAACGAGCACCCTACAACAGGTTCACGGCTTAGACACTAGGTATGATGCCAGATTTCCGAGGCTAGTCATTGAATGGTATCCGGCTGTTGCGGAAAGAACAACTTGAAATTCAGTCAAGCTTCGAAAGACATAGGGCTGATGCCAAAAGATCGCCCGAGATGTATGACACGGATGATCCCAGAAGTATCCCCAGCACAAAGTTATTGCATCAGGCGTTCCTGCGCAAAAGCCTATCAAGGTCCGGGATCATTGTTTTGCTTGAACACTCTCACTTGCATCAATTGAGGTCCCTGACATCGCTACGAGTTGTGCTCAAGACGCAAGAACCAAAATTTGGAGCTTGCTAGAGCTCTTCGCACATGGGAATGACACGTGGGTGAATGCAAGTCGATCTCGCCGGAACGCGACAGTCCTAAGCTCTTCCCACAGTGAAGCAATCCTGATTAGGCCTGCCACGGTCTAGGCCTGCCTTGAAAAGGACAGCTTGAATCCAACCAATCAAATCATATTACCCCGCTCTGCATGAATCACTACAACCTTCACCCCGGACCTGAGCTCCAAATATACCGAGGCCTTGCAGCACGCATAGCCGCGCCCGGAGAAGCAGACGTATGAGCTGTTCAGGCAACTCCGCTCTAGCGCGTCGTACCTGATATTGATTTTCTAGCCCAGTCGAAATGACCTCAACACTCGATGCTCAGGTGAAAGCGTCAGGAACCCATGCACCGGACACGGGAAGCAAAGACACTGGTTCCCTGAGCTATAAAAAACGGACCAGCTTTGATTCAAGCTCAGTCAAGCACTTCTAAGCTCCAAACCGCTGCACACTTGTGTCGCCACCATGAAGTTCACCAGCATTCTCGCATTGTTGCCGCTAGCTGCAGCTTGGAACTGCTTGACTGATGCTGATGCTGAATCCATCGTGTCACGATCCATCATCTTCCTCGAGCATCACGATATCGCTCTAGCCAACGCTACCGCTCAGGGTCTATTCGCTGAGGACATCCAGGAGTTTGGAGACTCGATCAACTCTCTCCGTGGCGATGCGTAAGTCTACAGCGTCCGGCATGGCACAAGACTAATCGTTGCAGTCTGGGCACTCAAGTTGAGAATGGCAGAGCGAAGTACGTTGCAGAGACGCTCGCGACGCCCCCGATTCCCAGTATTACGACTCTGGATATCATTCACGACTGCAAGAGCTTGCTTTGGCAATGGCAGTTCGACGGGATTGGGTCGGGAGAGTACCGTGTGCGTGGCGTGACCATTATCAAGGTCAACGACCAGAATTACGTGAACTACCAATATGTGGAGTTCAATTCGTTGGCTTGGGCCTTGGATCTCAACTTCACAGTCATTCCCGCGCCGCTGCCGGGAAGCTGAACAAGGGTCTGCAAGTGGGGACATTGAACATGTAATAATGTAGCAGCAGTAATAAGATTCTGAATTGAGACATGCTCATGATTCGGTCCGTTGACTGTCAGATACGTTTGCCAAGTGGCTACATATAGCTAGAGCCGCCGCTAGATAGACCAATCCTGAACTCTCAGGTCCACAGTGTAGTATACAAAGCTTCTTTCAATGTTCCTGGATGTGAGTGTTATTGTAGACTCGATTGCACGCCAGACAGTACACTCGCGACATTGCGAGTCCATGAATTTTGCTGTCAGGCAATGGAAGCACATTAAGGTAGCTCTTGGTCGCGTACAGGCCTTGAGATGCAAGAGCTTGTTGAGTGATGTCGCATGCTATCACTCACTTAGAGCAATCTATGAGACATGATCGTCGTCCCGCGATTTACTAGGAGAAAGACACTCACTGTCTCTGGCCGAAGGTCTCCGGCTCTCGGACGCGCAGGAGGCCCTGACCGGCACGGGGTGGCCTTGACGTGTGCTGAGCAAGTAGCCTCTACTAGTATGCCGAAAACTGACATCCACACGAGTTCCATCATTGCACGTTTTGTGCGAACTATTGGGCGGCAGCAAGCGAGTCTTGACACCATCGTAGCGCCCAAGATGGCGGCGGTGGCATCTAGATTTACTGTATGTCGGTCCGAGATCTTGCGGACGCGTTCGTAAGCGAACACAGAGCCATGCATCACTCCAATGTAGTGCTGAGAACCGCAACAGTGAGTGACCTGCTGGAAGTGGACTGGGTTGCTGTGGGTAAGTAATGGGAATCGAGTTGTCGAAGGAACCAGACAGAGTTGAGCGGAAAGACACCTGCGTGGGAGCCGCCAGGACTGAAGGGGTAAGGCTATATCGAGTGGGACAGTCAGGTTGGTAGCGCTCGGTGTGATTACTCGTGCGAGGGCAGCAAGACGCATCCGCAATGTAGCACATGTTTTAAGAGCTCGCAACCGATTGACATAAGAAAGTCAACTCTCGTCGCCGTCCATTGAGCGCTTCCATGTATGATCATAATCTGCTTGCGACGGATTGCACTGACTGGTGAGCCCTATAGACACGAATGAGCGGCGTGAACGGAGAGCCTAGTGTTACGACCCAGGCCACTGTTACGACCCAGGCCACAGCGCGACCTGCAGGCCACCGGTGACGCCCGGCCTGAAGACATAGGGGAAGGTTAGCCGACCCCAAGGGAAGGTGTACATCACGTGACCCAGGCGCTGGGTCCGACAGGTATGATGGGTCTGCTGGGGCCCTGGCAGGCACAGCAGACACAGCAGGACCTAGCATTACATATCTTTACAGGACTATATAGAGGGACAACCTGTCCCGACACTAGGTAGGACTCTCGTAGTCAACTTCGTATATTGATTCGCTCTATACATTAGTAGTATAACTGCTACTATTAGTTCCTATGTTTACTTTGGCCTAGCCTTGACCCTAATACTATTCACCCAGCTACTAAACCCAGTTTAGACCTAACATTCAGAGCAGTTCATAACACTTTAACTACCCTGCAACAGATAGTATTAATTATGTCTAGTGTTCAATCCCTATCCCTATCCAGATCTGTCTTAGGAAAGAGAGGTGGTACTACTAAGGCTGCTTCTAGCCTTAGTACCTTGGTCTAGTCAGAAGGAGATGGTAAGCTCAAGGCTAGGGTGGAACCCTTTACAGGGCAACGCTCTTAACTTTGAGCTTATCTAATCCAGCTCTGTATAGCCTTTAACCTTAACCAAGGACAGTTTACCAGTAACTGACTGAAGGTTATCTACGCTACAGCCTATCTTAAAGGAGCAGCTTTTACCTGGTTTGAACCCTTTCTCAGCGACCACTATGAGAATGCAAACAGGGCTAAAGAAAAGACTAAGAGGCTTATTGACTCTTTTGAGGAGTTTGAAAGAGAAATAAAGGTGATCTTCAGTATAGCTAATAAAGAAAGAACTACTGCTAGAGAGATACATTAGCTTAGGTAAACCAGATCTACATCTACCTACTATTCTATATTCTAGCAAGTAGCCTTACACCTAAACTGGGATAAAGATAAAGCCTTACAGGACATGTTCTATCAGGGATTGAAGATAGAGGTTAAAGCTAAAATAGCTGTACTGCTACCTACAACTCTGATTAAAGTGATAGACAAGGCTATTAAGGTGAACAACCAACTCTACAAGCTTAGGATAGAACAATAATACCCCGGAAAGGTTCTATTCAGTAGATATAGGGGGAGGAAGGGTTGTACTTATGATTAAGGGGACCTAATGGATCTTTCTATGATATAAGCTGGATAGTCCTTATGACTTAGAGGCTGTAGTAATAGCAGGATCCTAGGCAGAGATAAACAGGAGAAATATAGACAAGACAACCTGTGCTTTAGTTATAGAAAATCTAGACATCAGGTGAAAGACTGTGGGACCCTGACCTAACAACTATATATAATAAACAAATAAACAGCTGGTACACCAGGAAAAAAGGCTGACACTAGTGTGAGCACTACTAAAGAGGCGGGTAACCTCTCTGAATCAGAAGAGGTACAAGCACAGGAGGGATCAAGACAACCACTAGTAGGAATAAAGGCCTACTAGGAATGGTATAAGAAGGAGTTTATATAGGCGCACATATCCTCTAAAGACAAAAGCTTTGTTAAGATCCTGAGAGAGGGAGAGGCCTCTTACACACAACCTCCAGAAAAGGAGAAGGCCAAGCCAGAAAAAGAAGCGGATACACCTGAGAGACTCAGCCGTTTCCAGAAGAAAGCTATTTAACTAGCGGAGAAATATGACCGCCACACTAGAAAATCATAGACAGCCTGTTAGTATGACCAATACTTGGCTTATAAGAGCGAGAAGGAAGGGTCAAGGTAATACCCTAGGGGAACCAAGAACAAATATTAATACCAAGACCCGGCCAAATAGGTAAGAGACCTCCAATAGGAAGAGTCTAAAGAAGGTATGCAGGATCCCTATAACATATACATAGAGGATAAGGAAACTATACACAATCTTTCTATGATAAGCTAAAAGGTGCCTAAAGGAAAGCAACCTAGTAAGAGGGACTCTCCCTTAGTGATCCTTAATACAGGACCTTTCTATATTACAGTAGCCACTAAACAGTGAGGATTAACTATAGGATAGGATAGGGAAAAATACCCTACCTATTTTCTAACAGGAGGAAGGATAGAGACACAATAACCCATGGTAATAAGGGTGTGCCCTGACCATAAGTGTCCTAAATATCTGACTATTTATACACACAACGTAATAGAACAGTTAATATACTCTCTAGAGGAATAAGGGTTAACAAGCCTATATATAATAACTAAACAACAACCAACCGCGTCACTATACTTCTAAAACAAGGAAGAATTAACAAGTGAAGAAGAATCAAGTGACAAATTAGATTAGGAAGACTAGACATATAACAGCGAGCTCCCTAAGGCCCTAAATAAAGACTAAGCCTCTAAAGCTAAACTATAGATAGTTACTTATGTTACACTAGGATTAGTCAGGCTTATCACTAATTAATGGGAAAAGAAAAGGTGTACAGGAGATTGTTCAATTAATACCCAGCATGTACATATTATATATATATCAAAAACAAGCCTAAAGAGGGATATTAGAGCATTTCACTTGAAAATATATAAGGACAAATAGTGTGAAAACAAGGATAATCTACATGTACATATTAAGTATAGGGAAGATAGAGTATCCAAGGAGATAAACATACCTGCATCCTAGAAGGAACATTTTAAAAAGCTATAGCTTAGATCAGAGCTACTAAGTAAGGAGGTCAAGGTAAAAGACAAAAGACCTGACAAGACAATATGGAGCAGGAAGTTCTTGTGCGCTAATGCAGATTGCAGAGACTTTATAGAGCCACACGAACATCACTACACTATTAACCCTATAATACCTTACCTAGCTATCTCCTACTATTAGGTAAGAGGAATACTCTAGGAGGGAGGGCTCTATAGAGACAAAGATTACACATTCCAAGAATACTAGCATATCTACCTACTAAAAAACAAGAGAAGGGGAGGCCATTAAGGCAAACCTCTCCTCTAATAAAGCCTTAGCTTTATACACTTAGTAGAAACACTAACTAACATTTAGTTTTAACTAGATATATCCAAGGAAACTACACAAGGATAATAGTCAACAGTAGAGCCAACATTAATTATATAGGTGTAAAGGCGGCCTATCAACTAAAAAACCACTGGTACAATAAAGAACAACCTTATTAATTAGATATAGCTAACAGCAACCTAATGAAATAAGACTAAGGATAGGTTAAAAGAGAACTATAGGATATCTAACTTCAAATTTAAGAACATAAAGAAAACATTACACTGGACATTATTAATATAAAATACAATATGATATTAGGAATAGAATAGCTAGCACAGCACAATCCAGTAATTAACTAGAAGAAAAGAACACTCAAATTTCTGAATTATAGTCATAGACAACAAACAGAGACCTAATCAGTCTTAAAGGTTCCCTTCGTAAAGGTAATATAGGTATAACCAGTGGGAAGAGCTCTAGTAGGTATAGCTGTATTAGAGATTCCTCCAGAATACAAAGATTTTAAAGATGTGTTCACAGAAAAAGTAGGGAGTGCTACCCTACTAGAACACTAACCATAGGACTATAAGATACCCCTGTTAGTGGAAAATCTAAAGTACCATACCAGATTAATACCACTTTTAAAGAAGCAGGAGGACTTCTTAAAAGAATACCTAGATACCCACCTAGAGAAACAGTTTATATAGAAATCTACGTTACTAATAGCATATAGCATGCTATTTATACTAAAGAAAGACAGCAGCCTACAACTATATATTAACTTCAGGAAGCTCAACAATATCACCCAAAAGAACTAGTACCCACTTCTATATATAGATAAACTACAGAACAGGCTTCTAGGTACCAAGTAGTTCATAGCGATCAACATTAGGGACACCTACTATTAAATTAG